ACATTGATACCAGCGGGAATACCTATGTCATCTCAAATGAGCCAAATTATTTCATGATCGAGAGGCACTTGCCTCCTGTAGCGAAGTTCACAATCTCCAATGCAGTGAAATCCGGTTTTCTAAATACGTCAACCTCAAAGTCCTTACCCCAGGGCAGGACCTTGATCAACTCCGGTGCGCCATTGACGAGTATGTCATACTTGGCGCTAAGTTCTTTGTCCACGATGGCAGTAAAACCTATCAGAGGCAGTCAGCATGGCGAACATCAGTGAATACAAATGGCTTGCCTTCCCACTCGGCACGACCACCATATGGGTCAACATAAGTTTCAATAAAGCCTATGTAGCTTTCAACGACGGGGCCGACGTCCTTTACCCAATGTGCAGAGGCAGCCTTGTGTTCCTCGATTGACCCAGTCTTAAAGCTAATTGAATTGTACACCAGAGGTAACACAAGGTTGCAAAGCTTAAGACATACGAATTAATGTAGCCCTCAATCATCTTTGTCTGGGTGTCATTGGCTGTGTACTTTTTGGCCTAGAAGAAGGTAAGAAATTTAAACATGTGAATGAACATAAAGTTGACTGAACCTCATGCAATGCCGCAACGGCCTTTGCTAATGCCGCTGAGAAATCGCCGTACTCGACCGTCAACCTGATAGATGTCGGCTCCGCGTTTATTTCATGAATGATCGATTCAGTCTTATTGACAGAGGCAACGAGAAGGGTAAAGTCTTGAGGTCCGTTCTTGCGAACACTACAAGGGAAGGAGACGTGTTTCATATACATAGTAGATTTGAGTATCATGTTTACCGTGTGTTCAGCACATCAACCCCGATTTTCTCAGCGGCAGCTTGGACGGCTGCAACCTCTTCGTCCATGATCGTTTGACCAAGGTAATAGTTAGAGATATGTCCATCCCTTGGTTTGCCGATGGAGAGAGAATTTTCAGGTGAGAGTGCATAAATATGGTCTTTCAACTGATTGGATTGTGCTATTAGCTTCGGATATCGACGTGCATTTAGCTACTCACCTCGTTCCACAAAGGGATGGCGTTGGCTGCATTGGCTGACTTTTCGACTACAGCAGCAAATTTTGCTTCAGAAACACGAGGCACGATCTTCGTGAAACCGAAACTCTTGTAGTTTACCAAGTTGTGCAAAACCTGGAATCGAAGGGGTCAATTGCACAAGGTACACGACGATTTGGACGAGGAGCACTTGCCTGGGATGAATATTGCAGTACTTGCTCGAAATCTTCATGGGGAATACCAGATTTTCGACTGAGTGCATCCAAATCAGCCAACTTCCCGTTGGAACTGAAGGTAAGTATGAGAAGATCGTAAAGCCTTAGCGCTTGGGGAGTCCACTGTTCTTGGATGATCCGAGCACCTGCCCATGAAGCTTGTCCGACGAAATGAGCATAGAGTTGCTCCTTTTGTCTGCATAATAATCAACAGCCGACCTCTGGCAGCTGAACGGTACATACGTGAGTTGTGAGAATGACTTCGCAACCTCGACACGGCAGATCGGAGGAGCCTTGTCGGCCAAGAAGCGGTCTGCAGCTGCGGAAACCATATTTCGATGAAATTGGGTACGAAGCAGTGGTGAACTGCGGAGGGAGATTGTTGACTGATAAGATCTCGAGTCTAACACTCGATTAATAAGCTTGGTCCGAAGCATTCACTTGACAAGCTCTTGGAGCAATGAATAAAAAATCAAAAGCGCGTGACTAAATTACTAGACGCGTCGTGTATCAGTGCCACCGGTACCTGCCGGTTGCATGACGTCAGCAAGATCCGGGGCTAGTCACGAGTCGGCCGATAGTACAGTTTCAACACTCGTCCAAGTCAGCAACGAGGGCACCGCTATTCGTACTACCAGTACCGTCTGACACTGTAATGGCAAGATCTTCTATGTCCCACAGGAGACTTGTCACGGTTCGCAGCTGTTACATGATTCGTATCTTCGGCCGGACACTGGCAGGATAAAAGCTAACTGCCGGAGTAGCTGTTTGCATTACGACTCCCTTTCCATTCTACACGGCATGGCCGACATGGCTAGTATGCCAAACAGTACAACTGTCTTGATCGTTGGCGCAGGACCCTCCGGTCTTGTTACAGCGCTTTCTCTCCTCCATCACGGCTTTAAGCATTTTGTCGTTGTTGATGCTGTTGAGCAAGGCGAGAATACCTCGCGCGCTCTTGTCGTTCATGCCGCGACATTAGAGGTACGACATGTATCGCAACTCTGAGTTGAACTCTCGTTCATGATACACATTTGCCTTATTTAGGCGCTGGACACCATAGATTGCGGGGAAGAAATTGTAGCGAAGGGAACCAAAGCAAGGAGTATCAATATTGGCAATCGCTCATCGAAGCTCGTGTCCACCGATCTCTCTTCTCTCGACAAACACACCCGTCACCCGTATGCCCTCATCATCCCACAGAATCTTACGGAGTATATTCTTGGCGAGAAACTCAAAAGCTATGGCGTGACAGTTCACCGGCCATGCAAAGTCACCTCTTTGAAGATGAACGAGAATGATGACGATCTCACGGATGTCGTATTTGAACATGGAAAGATCATCACTGCAAAGTATGTCATCGGTGCAGATGGCGCTCGTTCTGTTGTAAGTCTCATCTCGTGTCACTTTTAGTAGTCCTGACTTTTTTCCGAAAGGTTCGTCGGATGGCTGGTATCAGTTTTACAGACCCTAGCACTGGCGAGAAGGGTGACAGGATTACCAACCTGGCTCAAATGGTTATTGCGGACATTGTCTACGAAGGTGGGGACAAGAATGACTTGGGGTTTTTAGCCACGATGTCGCCCGAGAGCTTCTTCCTTTCCATACCTTTGCCGAACTCGTTCAACGACTTACTCGCTGAGAACGGGCAAGAAGTCAGAGGCCAAATATACCGTATTGGCGCCGGTGTCCCTTTGGTGGATGGAGAGATCCCGCATTCACCAAGCAAGGAGTATCTACAGAACCTCGTTGATCGATTCGGGCCTACAGTCCTCTCATCGGACGCTTCGGTCAATCCCAGCTCCACACCGGTACGCATCAAGGAAATTATATGGGCAACTCGGTTCCGCACGCATTCCGCAATCGCCGAAAAGGCGTTCACCCGTCTTGGTGGAGACGAGCTTCAGGGTGCTACAGTAGCAGCTGATAACTCCTTCACGAAACGTGGTGGTATCATCCTTCTCATCGGAGATGCGGCGCACATCCACTCTCCCGCAGGCGGCCAGGGCATGAACCTTGGGATCCGTGACGCAGCGTTCCTTGTAGATGCCCTCATAAAGCATATAAATGCGTCTACTTCACAGCCCTCGAGCGTCGATGCTGATTGTATCTTGCGTGAATTTGCAGAGGAGAGGCACAAACGCGCTTTAGAAGTGATTGCATTCACTAAGAACTTACTTTCACTTTTGGGGACGCAAGATAAGAAGATATCGTGGCTGTTCCCAATCTCGGCTACTACTGTGCGGGACTGGGTGATGTGGCTTGGCGGAAAGCTTAGCTTTATGCAGGCAAGGATGGCATGGGCAATGAGTGGACTGGGGAGGAGATGATGAGCAATTCTTGTGGACGTAATTCAATCGTGCCCGAACTTTTTACTTTCACCTCTCCATTTTCTGGTTATTGGTTTAAACTGTCTACCTTCATTTCTCCATCATTTAATATCGCGGGCTCGTGTACTTAGCTCATAGTACTTTCATGTACTCTTAATATTTCATACTCAGTGATGAATGCATACTGACAGAATGAAGCGCAGAAAATAGCACTGATATAGTGCAGCCAAATACTCACCACCCAGGACTCTCGTCTTTTTGCCTTGCGACCATGCGAGTGCTGACTCTGACCCCCTCTTGTCTCCTCCTGGCTGACAAGCACAATGCTCACTAAGATTATCAGTTCTTAATACCTCCTCCCATGTGAATAACCTTTCAAAGTCACCGTCCGTCCATTGGTCCCATAAATCATCTGTTGAGATCTGGTCACCGGCGCCAGATTTGGGGCATAGTGAGTTGGATGATCGATCCGGACCATGGCATTGATTTTGTCGGGCTGCAGGAGGACTGACACTTCGCGTACGCCGGCGTGGTGTACACTTTGTGTCTGTGGAGAGATCAAATAACTCCTGTGAGTGGTGTCTCATGAGTCAAGGGGGCGGTGGCGCATTTTGAGACGGAGTGTGCAGTGTCATGTGAGGGCTGAGCGGTCTGCACGGAAGCCGGAAGAAAAGCTATTACACTGCCTGTTCTATTTATCAAATCTGAGTTCACAAGGAGAATATGTCGGACGGCACACCTGAACGGTCATAGCAGGGTACGGGGTCTTCAAGATTCAGCAGTAGACCCGGCCGATCTGGATAATTTTGATTCTCTGTCTCGTTGGGATTGAAAAAGTTGAAATTAAGGCCGAAAGGATGGTTATAACAAGTGCACGCCGTGTTTCAAAGCACTCACAAAGGCCATGATACGATTTACAAAAGCGTGATAAGGGTTTCTTCTCCAGGCCATAGAAGACAAACCGAAAGACTGCTTGGTAAATAAATTTATTACTGCCTATGGACAATTACAGTCTCAGGATGAAAAGGAACACTGTTAGAATATCGATTACTATGACAGATCTAACATAAAATATACCCAAGTTATACGGACAGTGTGACAGTTGAAGTGGTGAGGTTTGACGCAGCATGTGGCAGTTGTGACGCGGCATGGATGAGGTTTGACGCGACATTGATGCGGCACGACCTGTTTGACGCGGTATGTGCTATGGTTGACGCGGCACTGATAGTAGGCCTTGAAAGCTTGATGCGGCATAGTGTGGATGCTGATATTAGTACAGAGGCTGCAAAGATGTTTGGGAGAACTTGTCATGGTGTGAGTGGTGCTTGATCCAGCCTAAACGAGGCTTCTGACATGTCATGGTTGGGGCTTGACGTGGTGGTGCAGAGTATAGAGTGGATCGAACTTGACAGTGTGAGGTCGAGGCTTGACGCAGTGAAACAACACTCGACACTGCATCTGAAATCAACATATACATGAACGAATTAGAGGTAATACAACAATACAGGACTGACGCGCAAGATGCGTACTAGTACTAGTGTGGACGCAAAGGACAAGCACTGTATATTTGGTGAGAAGTGATACAGCACTATAGAGCCTGTACGCAGGCAGGCACTCATATGTTGATCATTAACGAGGATTTAAACTGCTTGGAATAACATAAACGCATGATTGTTAGTCCATATATCTTATGATGAAGGTGCACATGTACGCATTTCTCCTTTGTCAGACCGCTGAGAGCCCACTCGTCGAACTCGGGAGGAGTGTCTACGGCAGTCTCATTTGCATTCTCGATGAATGCCTCGCTGATAATGTTCATGGCGAATCCTTGGCCGCTTTTCAAGTTGGTAGCCGTGTCTTTCAGGTGGCCCACAGTGTTGTGGTTGACTGGCGGGTAGTAAGGTTGATTCCATTTGGCGATGAAGACCAATTGCCAGCCAAGGCTGCAGAGGTGCATGAATTGCTGAGAACAATGCACACCATGGACAATGCTGCAGGTATACTTGGTAAGAAGGATGCGCTGGTTCGGTGCGGTAATGTACAGCCACCAAAACTCAGAATTGCCGCACCCCACAGCCACAACATCTCAGAATTGCCGCACCCTGCCGCGTCACTACCGCACCCATGAAGTACTATATTCACCGTGATACCACTATAATTCTTAACAAAAACATGTACTATGGTATTTCTTAATCATAAATCATATCTAAGGCCTTTGTGGACGATGTAGACATGTTATATACACATATACAAGAGTTCCGAATCCTTCGGACAGCAACCTTAACTATCCATTTCATAATAACAGACGTCTGTATACTACGTTGGCCGTCGTCTCTTCCTCCTGTTCTCGAAACAGCGCCTGAATGTGTCTGCGACCACGTACTCTTGACAGCGCAGTGTACAGTTGACCGTGTGCGAAGGAATCAGTGCGTAAGTCGAGCACCGCCTTCTGTAACGTTAGCCCTTGGCTTTCATTGAACGTTGTAGCGTAAGCGGCGCGCAATGGAAATCGCTCCGTCCTTACAATATGTAGAAAAACCTGGCACCGACTATTCATGCTAATCAAGATTAAGAGCCAGCGGTGATCATACATAAATATCAACGTCCCATGAACCGATTCATGCTTTCCCTCGGTGTCTCTTCCTATTACCACCATCTACGCCCTCAGATTTGTTCAGCCTATCGAGCAAGGACGACGTTCTTGGTGTGGGATCTCTCGACTTTGAGAAAGGAATTGAAGGATACGTCGAAGGCACTGTTCCTAAGCCTGCGAGGGGTGTTGGACCGCCAGTGTGAGGAGCAAGCGGAGATTGAAAGGAAAAGGAGTGTCGAGATGTTGGAGCGCCTGTGGAGCTCAAGTGGCGCGCGCACATGGGAATCACAGGATATTGGAAATCGCTCCGTCCTTACAATATGTAGAAAAGCGGAGATTGAAAGGAAAAGGAGTGTCGGCCTGTGGAGCTCAAGTGGCGCACATGGGAATCACAGGATATTGGAAATCGCTCCGTCCTTACAATATGTAGAAAGACACATGTTGTGTAGGGTGCGGCACGGATGCGGCACGATGCGGCAAAATCCTAAGGCGTCACAAGCGCGTCACGACCTTACATAAACTCTAGAACCTCGCTACGTCAAAGATCTGCGGCAAACTATCATGCATCATAGCAACGAGGGCACTGCTATGCAGTGCTAATACTAGTACTAACACAGATCTTTTGCATGACTCGTAGGAGATTTGTTCGCAGACGACTCGTATCTTCGGCCGGACACTGGCAGGATAAAAGCTAACTACCAGAGTAGCTGTTTGCACCACGACCCCCTTTCCATTCTACACGGTATGGCTGACATGGCTAGTATGCCAAACAGTACAACTGTCTTGATCGTTGGCGCAGGACCCTCCGGTCTTGTTACAGCGCTTTCTCTCCTCCATCATGGCTTTAAGCATTTTGTCGTTGTCGATGCTGTTGAGCAAGGCGAGAATACCTCGCGCGCTCTTGTCGTTCATGCCGCGACATTAGAGGTACGACATTTACTGCAACCGAGTTGAACTCTCGGTCATGATACATATTTACCCCGTTTAGGCGCTGGACACCATAGGTTGCGGGGAAGAAATTGTAGCGAAGGGAACCAAAGCAAGGAGTATCAATATTGGCAACCGCTCATCGAAGCTCGTGTCCACCAACCTCTCTTCTCTCGACAAACACACCTGTCACCCGTATTCCCTCATCATCCCACAGAATCTTACGGAGTATATTCTTGGCGAGAAACTCAAAAGCTATGGCGTGACAGTTCACCGGCCATGCAAAGTCACCTCTTTGAAGATGAACGAGAATGATGACGATCTCACGGATGTCGTATTTGAAGATGGAAAGACCATCACTGCAAAGTATGTCATCGGCGCGGATGGTGCTCGTTCTGTTGTAAGTCTTATCTCGTGTCACTTTTAGTAGTCCTGACTTTTTTTCGACAGGTTCGTCAGATGGCTGGTATCAGTTTTACAGACCCTGACACTGGCGAGAAGGGTGATAGGATTACCAACCTGGCTCAAATGGTCCTTGCGGATGTTGTCTTTGAAGGCGGAGACAACATCGACTTTTTGATCACGATGTCCCCTGAGAGCTTCTTCCTTTCCATCCCCTTGCCAAGCTCGTTCAACGATTTACTCGCTGAGAACGGGCAAGAAGTCAGAGGCCAAATATACCGTATTGGTGCAGGTGTCCCTCTGGTGGATGGAGAGATTCCGCATTCACCAAGCAAGGAGTATCTACAGAACCTCGTTGATCGATTCGGGCCTACAGTCCTCTCATCGGACGCTTCGGTCAATCCCAGCTCCACACCGGTACGCATCAAGGAAATTATATGGGCAACTCGGTTCCGCACACATTCCGCAATCGCCGAAAAGGCGTTCACCCGTCTTGGTGGAGACGAGCTTCAGGGTGCTACAGTAGCGGCTGATAAATCCACTACAAAACGTGGTGGTATCATCCTTCTCATCGGAGATGCGGCGCACATCCACTCTCCCGCAGGCGGCCAGGGCATGAACCTTGGGATCCGTGACGCAGTGTTCCTTGGAGACGCTCTCATAAAGCATATAAATGCGTCTTCTTTGCAGCCTAATTCGCAGCCCTCGAGCATCGACACTGATTATATCTTGCGTGAATTTGCGGAGGAGAGGCACACACGCGCTCTAGAAGTGATTTCATTTACTAAGAACTTAAATTCACTTTTTGGGACGCAAGATAAGAAGATATCGTGGCTGTTCCCAATCTCGATTACTACTGTGCGAGACTGGGTGATGTGGCTTGGCGGAAAGCTTGGCTTCATGCAAGCAAGGATGGCATGGGCGATGAGTGGACTGGGGAGAAGATAATGAGCAATTTTTGTGGATATAATTCCATTATTTTTACCTTCACCTCTCCATTGTTAGGCTCGTGTACTTAGTTCGTACTTTCATAGACTTTTAATATGTCACGCTCAGTGGCGAATGCATAGTCATTCGAGGGATGGGAATGAGGGGTGGCAAACTTGATGGACGTCGTTTCTGCTAGATATAACATCACCATCTGGCGCCATAATGTGGATGAATATTCATTCCTGGCTTGATTCATAGCCATAAGCACTGTCAAGTATGAACCGGAAGTCGTCAGTTGGATCAACTGGATGTATGGAAGACTTGATTGTGGCTCTGCGAGGCAGTGTCACACACGCGGAATGCTTGAACAACACGGAGTTTCGAAAAGCCGCGCGGGATACCGAGTATCGTTCTTTACTAGACTTTAAGTCCGACCAGTTAAATCATCAATCTAACACAGGCCTTTGCGTGATGTGTTCACCGAAGAAACCTGCCGGCGTCTCAACGATTCTCGATGAGCTTATCGGCACTCTCAGCCCGAGTCGTTGCATCCACTGACAACCCCCGCCTCGGGTATAATGTCACAAGGATTGGAAGTAATATCGTAAGGGTCTGAGTGCGAATCTGATGCAAAACGAACGATAACGAATGTATCGTGAGGTTAACAGCGATGTTGCATCATTTCGCACATCCAAATACATCCAGGATAATAATGGAAGTACACACTATCTGTGATCCCTGCGATCGGTCTGGTGAGTATATGATACTATCTCCAGCTGACATTTAAATTGAGATGACAAGGGTGTTAGACATGCCTGGAGAAACCATTCAAATCAGCTCGGAGGACCAGCGGGGTACAACAAGTCGGGAAACATACGCACCACGCAAGACTATCCTCTTGTAATAGATAACATGACAAGGACTTACCCAGATTGATCATACCTAGAAACACCAAAGCCTGAAACACAGAAGACTGATCCCGATGGGAAGGCACTTATGGCAAAATCCTCGGTATCTGGGAATCGAAGGCAACCAGAGGGTCAAGAGTTATTGGATGTGCCTTCAAGTTATCCACTGTTCGGTAACCCGAGGAAATGTTGTGGTGTTGCATGGGTAGGCAATCAAGAAAAAATTAGCTACCTGCAGTGATGTGGGAGGCTGAAACGAGAGAAGAGGTTGAATATCGGTTTCAGCCTTCCGCAACATGAGGTACTTTGACGAGCCACGACGCCGCAAGTTGATTTAGTAATGAATCTTCCGCTTATATAATAAGCGTTACGTACACGTCCTGGAAGCGTTCGCCGGGACTTCTTGCTTTGCTTCCCATCTCTGTTTCGAAACAATGGCGACTCCACCTGCCCGTAAAGCCATATTAGATCTCTATGCCTCCACCTTGCGGACGGCGAAATCATTCAGTTCATATAACTTTCGCACCTACTTCGTTCGGAGGACGGAGGATACATTCCGTGGGATCCAAGTGTGTTTTGACTCAATAATTCTACCAAGCATGATATCCTGATGTAATTGGCTTAGGCAGAGCAAGATCCTATCAAGCTTTCACATGCATATAACGAGGCTGTGAAGGAGCTTTCGGTATTAAGACGGTGTGCAGTCATGAATCAACTGTATGGCGGTGCGCGGCTGGCAGTCGAAGAACAGAGTGAAGTGCGTACCTGAGGAGATACGTGAGCTAGGAAAATACCGGATACTAGGTGTGGATGATGAAAGCATAATAGAGATCATGTTCGTCGCACTGCACAGAATGGTACATGGACACAGCAGACGTCACTGTTGAGCATTGACTGTCACATAGTCAATTCTCAGCGTCATGCTGTTCTCTTGCTTCAATGAGAATTTGTTCTTGCCGGCGACTGTATTGTTATGCATCTGTAGAGAAGAGATAGGTAGCTCAGGTCGTTGTATTGCAAAAATTTCTGGTTGCTTCGTGAAGTACTTCAGGAAGCCGAGGATCCACCCCACGGCCACTTAAACCACCAACTTGCGCCAGGCCGAGACGAAGTATTTTGAGGCATTTGGCCTTGAACGGATGGCAACGCTTTCGATGTTGAGTCGCCCTTGGCCATATTCGTATTCGAGTCCCTCCCTGACAAAGCACCTTCAGTCTCATTCCACTGCCTCTCCGCAGCTTTCAGCCTGTCCTCGAATTCCTTTCGATCCCTGCCAGCACGAGCTTCCCTATGTGCCTGTATCTCGTCGAGTTGTCTCGTCTGCTTTGTTTCATCGCCAGCAGTTGAACCCAGTGTGTAGGTTCCTGCACAGACAGCTGCGATAGTTGCACCTTGAGCAATGACACGAACACGCAACCAGTTATTCAGAGATTGGGGGTCGCCTCGTTTCATTTTGACGGTAGCCATGATCAGTGCACCACATGTCAAAAGGGTACCTAGTACAGCGCGAGTCATCAGATTCGGGGGACAAAGTGATTGTAAAATGTCGTAGCATCATGCGCACCGATAGGGACTAGTGGTTGCTCCTTAAATTTTCTCCAAGCTTTCTCCTGATATGACTCTCCCGTGTGAAGGCTCGGGGTAGTCGGAACAGCAGCGGGGGAGGACATCCTGGATGATTCGTGACACAAATGAAAGAACGACTGAATACTATAACTGAAAATACCTACAGAAACAATAAGCTCGGGAGGCTGCAACGCAGACGATACAACCTCACGAATTTAACGTTGCAAGTTAGTTGTGGATGTTGTGTCCTAAGCGAGTCCGAGGTCGGCAGATATCCTTTTTGGGACATCTCTTCTTTGCTTTGTACACTAACCTTTTCCGTATCCGCAGTTGTAGTGTGCTCGTTCTTTCGCTCCCGCCCGTCGCACCCTCGACAGCATGCGTCTCGCGACCAACTTGAACAAGTACTACAGAATAAAGTCAGATTCCAGAATTTACGAATAGCACAATTCATAAGCATCAGCATTATCTTTACTCGACGCATCCGAGACACCCCTAAACACCGAGAGTTTGCCACGATCTTGAGTGCGGGTTGTAGTGGCCCTGCCGCCCTCATGGCCCTCTTAGGTTCGGAGTGCCAGAAAACTCCTTTGGGGCTTTACACATATATTTGTTCACTTTCTTTTCTCGTCTAGAATCTAGATAAGTTTTTATTTATCTTGCAATCAAACTGATATTTATTCTCTAACCAGAACACGTAGATAGGTGGTTGTGCAGACTGCGGCCGAATCCCAACAGGATTTCGTTCACGGAACATTCAATTAGATGTATATTCAACACGGTCTCCTGACGAATACATAAATGAGTCAAACTTGACATGATAGGTTAACCCACAATAGCTTCATGGCTGACAGCACTACTGGAGGCAAGGATAGTGGCTCAACGATAGGTTAAATCATACGATCCATGACAGCGTGGCTCATTCTTTAGCGATAACTCTGATGCCCACATGTTATCCGCCTTTGCTGCCGCATTTGAAGAACAACCCGCGAAACGTCACCGTGGGTCCAAAAAGGGAGGAAACTCAATTGCTCGGTAGTACTATGTAACTGTGGACTTGCTGTAATGCCAAAACAACTTCGCGTTCTCCTTGGGGGTAGGCTGTGCATGTGAGCCTTCAAGCGGATCTGACGCCAAATATATACTCTTATTTTTCAGTGAAAATGACGTGTTTTGTGTCCTAATCCTCTGGGTATCGATATATCAGGTCCACCTAGATGCTCCGTCAACATCTTCATGATGCTGATGCGCTACTTTTAGGATCATGGGATATCATAGGTGTTGCCAGGGGGTCTTCAAGCGCTACGCTGGACATGTATTTTCATAGAGCGGCCGAGGTCATGTAGCGATGCATCGTTAATTTAGTCTGAGAAAATAGTAGCCATAGGCATCGAACGGAAGGAAAGATCTTCCTTCTATCACTGGGATCCGCTTGGAAAAGCGGCCATCATGATGAGCGTTGCTTTGATATAGATGAGTAGCTTGCCAGTTGCAGTTCACTCCTGCTTTCCAGAATCCGTAACCACCCGCTGTATGCGTGTATGACGTTGCAGGTGGCCTCACTGATATACCGGGTGCATCCATCTGATGGCAGACTCAATTTTATTCTTTATGACAATGTCTCTACCTGAAAACACGACGGTACTTATCGTCGGCGCAGGGCCCGCTGGTCTCACAGCTGCTCTTTCTCTCGCCTACCACGGGTGTCGTGACTTCGTTATTGCCGATGCCACAGTCGAAGGACAAAATGCATCACGGGCTTATTCCATAAACTCTGCAACCGTCGAGGTACACTGAGGTCTAAGCGTTCATGGAATCTGCTGATGACCCTATGATTATAGGCTTTAGCCAGCATCGATGCAGTAGACGGCTTACTGTCTCAAGCCATCAAGGCGAAGAGCATCAGAATCGCATCCCGGGGTTCACAGATCTTTGAGGCCAAATTTGACCCTCTAAAGAAATATTCTGCCTACCCTTACCCACTCGTTACCCCTCAAAATGTGACGGAGCTTGCCCTGGGGCAGAAGCTGAAGAACCTTGGAGTTAGAGTACAGCGTCCGCACAGGGTGGTTGGAATGAAACAGAGCGAGAAGGATTCTCGCATTACCGATGTCTCCTTTGAGGACGGTCAAATAATCAGAGCTAGATATATCATCGGCGCAGATGGTGCGCGCTCATCGGTGAGAGCTCAGTCCCTGTTAAATTAGCTTTGCATAATATCTGATAACAATCTTTAGATCCGTACCATTGCTGGAATTGGCTTCTGTGATCCAGAAAGCCCGAATCTAGTCAGTGATGTACTCTCTCAAATGGTCGCTGCAGATGTTACATTCGAGCCCGAACCTACCGGTCCGCTAACTCTCGAGGGTCACCTCAATGGCACGATTTCGTCAGACAGCTTCTTCATGCTTATACCATTCGGTAACCGCTTCAATGTGGAGCTGACGCGAGATGGAGAGCCCACCACAAAACCTGTCTTCCGTGTAAGTTGTGCCATACCGGTAAAGAACGGAGAACCACCCCATGCGCCACCAAAAGAATACATCCAGGATATGATCGACACATACGGTCCAGCATGTATAACATCGGATTCCTCTCTTAACCGGACACCTGTTAAGATCGACCAGTTGATCTGGTCCACACGTTTCAGAACCCATTCGGCAATCGCTGACCGCACATTCACACGTCTTGGCGCTGCTATTTTCCTAGTTGGGGACGCAGCCCATGTACATTCACCCGCGGGCGGCCAGGGTATGAACCTGGCTATCAGGGACGCAATCTTCCTTGCAGAGGCTGTTACAAAGCACATCCAGGCCTCTGCAGAAGACCCCGATGTAGATGATACCATTCTGCAGGAAATTGCGGAAGCGCGTCACGCACGGGCGCTAGAAACCATTGACTTCACCAAGAAACTTCTGAAACTCGCAAGCCTTGGGTACGATCCATATGCTTGGTGGATGCCGTTCAGCTGGGCTTCTATTCGCGACCTGACACTACGGATATTGGGCAGATTTCATTTCGTGCAGTCGAGTGTTGCATGGGGAATGAGTGGGCTTGGACGACGCTGATCGCGTATTTTAGATGGCTTGTTCATCTTGTAGGCAGATACTTACAAACCGTTCCCATATGTGTCTTTTATATGAACCATCATATAAAAGCCCAGAGTGATGCATTGGCGATGACTTGTACCACTGGAGGATGGACTCGCAACCAACGTCTCTGAGATGGTCGATATTGGCAGGCGAATCGCGGGGTTTGAAATTTGCTTCACACCGTACAAACTTCAAAGTACTCAGGTATGCCTCTCAAACAGCATGTATGCATATCGCATGGAGTAGTAGTACCGAACGTTGAATAGAATAATAAAATGATACCATTGAATGCATTCCACCCATGCCCCAACATCAGCCACCTGTTGACCTTTGATTTGGATTTCCTAATCCTTCGAGCCTTGACCGAGATCGCAAAACCTGGCCATCTTAAAAATTGTTCGTAGGCAATGACGGTCATGGACATCGTATTATGCACTATCAATAATGATATCATGCATTTGAGCTGAAAGAATATAGGATGTTGTGTTCCTTGCGAAATAAAGTCGAGTTGTGCGAAAGCTTTGAGAGTTTGCTGGCTTTGCCATGTTTCGTCGAAAGGGTTTCCGTAAAGTCCTCTGGTAAACTGTCGATAGCTTCTAAAGCAGCACACGACAAAGGTGGGACAGAAGTAATGATAAACCTCATGCACATGGTTGCAGGTTTAACAGTCTGCATGACGGTAGACGCAAATTCAAACTCCGTGCTTCGTCTGCCAAATCTCTCCGAGATCGACTAGCCTGGCTTCGCTACACGACTTGTCCGCAGGGTATAATTTAAAGCCAGGCTGGTCACGGGCCTAACTGGAGGGGGATCAGCAATGATTAACTTAGCAGGAATCCACGGGCCACGTCAGACCACGTCTTGTGACGGTGAAGTCGACTGTCATCAACCTAGTAAGGATTCAGGAATGCCGTTGATTTTCAAACTAGGACATGTGTCCAGCTATATGATACAAGCGAGAGCCTGTGAGAGCGATGTAGCTTCATTCACCAACTTTGGGAAGTGGAGGACAAGCGGAACTCGAGGCATTACAGCCGCTACTTTCATATCGATGAAAGATTTCATTTTTCGATCTTGGTCGGGCGAAATGGCAAGGGCGCTCTGCCTGGACGTGACACACATCCTGCAGTGGCCGTCAAACAGCTTGATATGCATTGAAATCCTTTGGTTGTCATAACTGGTAGATTTGTGCAAAGTGAATACTTGTGATGATTATAATTCCGTATAACTCCGATGTATCAAAAATACGTGCGATAGTCGCGGGCCTCGGCGCTGGGTGAATCGAGTCCCTTGATTATGAGGGTATTCCGCCCGAATTGTATCGTAAAGAGAGGACCCTGTTGTTGCCCAGCACAGGGAAAACAGTAAATATTAGAGGCTGTAAGGGGAAAAAGTGAAATATGGTTCACCGATATGGAAGCAACTGTAGTAATCCGACCGTAAGATCTGTAATGTAGGAGCAACCCGCGGGTGTCACATTGGGTATGTTCCGCGACAGGAAAACATATGAGTGCAGCGCCATTTGCAAACCCGCATAGCTGCATGGTGTTGTGAACATGTGATGATAGGTGTCACGGTGTCAGTGAATGATGGCACAAGTATGTTGCGCCTTATTAGAAGGAACGGCTGTATTCCTTCGTCTATGAAGGGTTATTCACTGGTGAGGCGGCCGTGTATAATCTGGGATATGCTGGACTGCCAGTGACAAGGACTGTCAAGGCCATCAGGGAAAACCTGTCTAGGACCATGATGCATCGATGTACGATTGTATTTGTACCGATTGTAGCCGCACTTTCGGATATATCGTTTTCGAATCAAACCAGATATCACAATGTGACTTTGTCGTCGAAGTCGAAGACAGCTTAGTGCAGGAGTATTAATGTGGGAAATGTTGGAGTCGGTGATGCCAACCGCGCGCCCCGCTAAGCGTGCACATACAAGCTTACATAATTCAAAAAATCAGTGCATGAACTCAAGATGAACTGGTCCGACCGCCCATTGCCGCCACCACCCCAATAATAAGAACGTCACTTGACTATCATATATCGTATATCATGCGCCATGCCCATCATGGCATATCTTAATTGCTTCTGAATGAGAATAGTAAAAGACAGCGAGTTATCCGACAAATCAGCCACAAACAGCAGATGACGAATTCAATCTAGGGTTCTGTTTTCTTTGCCGTTTGCTTCCGTGTCGCTTCGCGCACACGAACGTAGTTATTCCAAAGTACTTTCCATTCCGCTTCTGGTGTGCCTTCCCCAGGCTCACCAATGCCGCCAGAACGGTCTGCTGCAACACCTGCCCACCCCAGAGCGCGTTCATAACACTCAAGGGCGCGTTCCGTGCCATCTTTCTCGCCTTCCTTCAATATACCCATGAGATTCCAGGCTTCGGCAGCCGTCCGGCGAGCATCGCGGAGAAGGCTTTTAGCTGGCTTTCGCATTGCATTCGATTTCGCATACACGGGAACTAGGGATGCTTCCGAGGCGGGCGGATGGGGAATTGTCGAGCCTGGTGCATCAGGATGGGTGAATGGGAGACCTGCAAGGGCGAGAGCAACTCGCTCGGAAGATTCTGCAGCGCGCGAGAGCCATTGTATGGACTGTTCAGGTGCTGCGCGGAGGGCGTAGAGAACTTCCGCGAGGTGAATGGAAAGTAGAGACGATCGGTGAAGTAGAAATAGTGAATGCAATGCCTGTGGCGGAGATGCTGTTGAAATTCTGGAAGGAGACGGAATCGAGCGTAGGAGATCGAGTCCGGACTCCTGTACATGTTGCGCTTGCTTAAGGTAGCCAGAGGTGGAATAGTACGCGGAAAGTGATACCAACGTGGAGGCAAGCGTGCGTTGTGCACACGGAGATGAAGGGATGGTTTGTGTTAATTCAGGAGCCGAAAGATTTGCTTGCTGAGTGCCCTGGGTGAGGTTGATAGTCCGCGCCCACCATCCAAGGGCGTCCTCAAAGTCTCCAAGACGATAGTCAAGGTCCCCGAGTTTTAATGCAACTCGTGCAGCATCCGCACCCTTGGCGGGCAGCCCAGCCCACACTCGCTCATACCGGGACCGGGCCTGCAAAAGTGCATCCCTCGTCCCCATCCGCTCGAGAATGGAAGCATGGCGGGCGAGTAGCTCGCCCATAGTTTGTGGGCGTAACTTGCCGGACGGCAATTTGCCTTCGATAATGGTGATGGCAAGAGCCATGAATTTTTGGGAGACTTCCAGGCGAGCCTCTACAACATTGAGACTACCTGTACCCTGGGAGCCTCGTCCCGAAAGTGTGTTCGAGCGGCTGATGATCGCTCCTGAGCCCGTTCCCCAGTTCTCGGCAATCCATGCACTACGAACAGCATGCCTGCCTTTGAACCCGAGTGCCGGGTCCGTTCCACCTCCGTCCCCGCCTGACCACTTCTCAGCTTCGTGATCCCACTCCCATCTGCGTACTTCGCTATCTTGATCGCATGCGAGTTCGACGTTCTCTACCCACATATGTAAACCCTCGAATACTGTCCATCCGGTGATCCCGAGTGCAAAGACACCTATAAGGGAAAATTTGGCCAGGCGTTTGAAAAAGTCCAGAGTAAACAATGTGGATTGGGTGAAGGGATTCTCAATGAGAGCGGGTTGATCCGCCGCAGCTGCATCTTTTCGTCGTGATGTGGGCTGATTGCCCGTACTCTGTGATTTGAGCCGACGATGTCTGGGTACTAGGGGTGCATAGACACGCAACGGGCGAGTATGCAAATTCGAAAGTGCTCTGAGCATTGGAGCTGCAACCTGCTTGTAACTCAAGCGCTCAAGCTTAAAGTTTGGAAATTTGATGAACAACAGAAGTTTCGTAAGGTTGCGAGAACCTCGTGTCAGGTAACTATCTTGATAAGATGTTAACGTTGACCACTCGGCTCAGTGTTATTGTTGCGGGGAGCTGAAAGCTAAGACCACATGAGTATTCAGAAATTCAAGGGGTACCTGCAAAGATATTTTCGAGCTGATGAGTCGGCCATCATTTCCCCCACGCGTCAGCACTAATTTCCAAATTTAGTTGATCAGTTTACTTTGCTGTGCTTTGGCTGTGCTCCGTCATGTAATGTTACATACACCGCCCACTGCCAGCACTTGCCTGCAGGGAAACGTGTGTCGTAGCATGCGTTTCAAAGTTTGTGAATTTACTCAAGGCGGTGGCGGCAAATATCCGTAGGGACTCGGATCGAAACGTCGCAGGCGTCGGCAGGACGAGACCCTGTCAAGTTGGCACCATGACTGTGTCTGTCGACAGGCTTGTGAACATGATTATGATAACATTTCGCGCCATCAGCTCATGTCAGTCAATTCCAGTATCCCCCCCGCACCACATGTGATCTCCGTTCGGATGGACCGTTTGTCCGCCTGCTACTAGGTATTTTTCCGATTTGCTGTCGGTGGTTCTTTCCAACATCACGCACATTCGGATTGAACACCGGTATTGAGTATTGACGCCTGGCTCGATTGGAAACAAACACGAGTCACACGCATGATGTTCTCGAAGCGGCGTGCCTTCCTGTCAGGCACGTAGTACAGAAGCTTTACCTGTACTAGGGTCTACCCTACTTATAGTTCGATGTCTGCATTTTCATTTCTCGCCTCTCCCTTATTGTCGGGTTGCCTCTGGTGTGTGTAACGTACGCTACCATGAACTTCCTACCTTGGGGGACGTTGTTCTTCAGCATCCTTTGGGCCTCCGTGGTATCTGCCATTCCATCACGAACCATTGATACAAGGGCTTCCAGTCCCTTTGTAAGCACCAGTGGCTCTGGCTTTGTGGTGAACGGGAGGTATGGATCAATTCATGTTGGATGTGAACCTCTAATAACTCATCTTCAATCAGTTCATTGAAGTACATCGGTACCAATGTTTATTGGCTACCTACGCTCAACACGAACGAGGATATACGGAACACGCTGGCAAACATATCAGCTCTTGGCATCAAGGTCGTCAGATTATGGGCATTCAATGGTATTTATCCCTGTTTTACCCTTTCGATGCAAATGATACAATCAATCACGGTCAGATGTGGATACCATCCCCGTGAATGGCACTTGGTTACAGCTTATTCAGAATGGTACCGTTACCGTCAACAATGGGCCAAACGGCCTACAAAAGCTTGACACAGTCATTCAATTGGCTGAAGAGCAAGGCCTATATGTCATTCCTATCTCTTACGAACAACTGGGACCCTGTGCCACTCTCGAACACCACTCGTCCTCGCAATTATCTATCTAACAACTACGGTTGGTCTTGACCAGACTCTTGATCCCTGCATCTTTTTGATCATGACTTTAGGTGGCATGGATACATACGTTCGCCAATTCGGCCTCCAAACTCATGACGAGTTCTATACGAATCCGTCAGTACTAACGTCTTTCCTGAATTATACGACGCAAGTGGTCTCCCGCTACGTGAACAGTCCATCGGTCTTCAGTTATGAATTGGCTAATGACGCCAGGTACGTGATGGCCTATATTTCGGAGCCGCTCAGCTCAATACACTTGATTCAGGTGCAACTCTACCTTGCCAGCATCTGCTACCTGCACGACAGAAACGATCACGGCCTGGCATGCGACGGTAGCTGCGCACATCCGCAGCATTGATCCAAACCACCTCATCTCTTCGGGGTATGTCACAATGTCGATAAAAATCATAGGCACCGTCTGACGGCTGATCTAGTGTCGGAGGATATCTGTGTCCAGATTGCACGAAATTATATCCCCTGACAGCACCAGCACCTCCTGTAACATCTCCGGCTCCTGGGAAAAAGAAGCGCAGCCAAGCAAAACCCGTGACCAAGAAACAAATTCTTCGAGAACAATCTGAGAGGAGACGCCGCAACAGAGAAGTTGCGAAGCGTGCAGGGACTCTGGTAGAAGACGGTGTACGAGTAAGAGGACGGTGGGTTTCTACAGGCAAGTCCAAACACATCATAGCAGTTTATCAGCTGATTATGTTTTACAGCTACCAAGAGGCAACAGAGTTCGACTTCGGGGTCACTGTATGACGGTTCATATGGCGTCGACAGTCAAGACATCTCGAACATTCCAGATATTGGATTCTCTTCCTTCCAGCTATTCCCCGACCAGCAATCATACGGTCCTGATGACCCGAATGTTCCGTCTTGGCAAAGTATAGAGCAAAACGGTGCCCAGTGGATCACCACTCAGGCCCAAAGTGCTGCTGCGTGAGCATCTTGTAATTATTGAACGTATCTGGATGTCTGATGTTCATCTCAGCGTCGGGAAACCTGCGGTGCTCACTGCCTTTGGTCTAGTTACGCAAGCCAATGCTCCTGACTTCGTGCCATTCAACTCTACGGTTGCTCCATTTGCTTCTGAAAATCTTGCGAAGCGACAATCCACGCTTGGTTATGGCGTGACCGACCAACAGCAAGCAACAACTTACACGACATGGCTTGATAGTGCGTTCTTCAATATTATCCTTAATATCTTTTCCAGCCTCACAAATATTTGATAAGCTGGTATTGCTTCGGGACTCAACGGCATAGTGCAGTACCAGTGGGGTCAGTCCGGCCTTACAGCTGAACCGGGTACTACTATCAGTCCCTCTACTACCACTGGAGAGTCGCCTACGCCGAGTAGCCCAGGAGAGACACCCACTCCCCAACAAACCACTGGCGAGTCCCCCAATGATGGTTACGCTATGTTCGTGGTCCAATCATTCTATTCTGACATGTACTGACCTCTTCGTAGTACCGGCTCCAATACTGTTCAGCAAATCCTTGGGAACTCGGCCCAGTCCATTGCCGCGGACTGAAAGACACTTGACGTTATGTTTGAATGAATGCTATATTGACACTCTTGGATTCAACGGACTTACGGTTCTCTCTGTTGTACAATCTGACAATTCACGTCACCCTTCTTGGACATCTGTGCGGACTTCCAGTACAGTTGATTTTTACAACATGTAACTTTAGAAGCATATATTTCGGTAGAAGTTTTTTTGTGACGTATTAAATCTATTATATTGTGGAGACTATGGTATCAGCCAGATATAATAATAGTAGAACTGGTTTGCAGTTTCAATTGAGTCAGTTCATAAAACCATCATGAGGCTAGGCACGGTTCTTGGCGGCTCACAGAATACAAATCATTAGAGGCGCTTATGTAACTTGTAGGAGCAACGTTGCCAAAGATGCTGTAAATTTGTTGTACATGTAAAGATTGTTGCAAGTCGGGCTGTAAAATTTTACAAGTCATTCTGTCATCAAATCGGGATCGCTAAACTAACCAGCAGCGCCGAAACGATGTAAATGCCGTCCTAAACGCCCTAAACCTAGACGAGACCTTTCCTAAAGCTTCCCGTACGCGTAGTGTATCCTAGTAATCCTAGTCTTGTTATCTTCTTCTTCAAACCTACTGGACCCCATCATATCCCATGTACACGTATACCGGATCCCACTGTTACTGGACTCAGTAGTGCACAATAATTTTGCCGAGCGCGCTAACGTTACGCGGTTAGTTTCTAAAAGCCGGCCCATCCGTAAAGTTGAGGTCAGAGTTAAGGTTACTTCTTGGGTCCAGAACTTCAGAAGCAGTCAGCGTAAACTGATGATGTGGACTTCTAGCCAAGTCGATAACTCCTGATTCACTGATCTGTCCATCAAACCTTAAGGCGTTTCACTTGGATGCCATCGCACCTTGTGCGCGTTCGACAGACATTGTCCGAGTACTTCATACATTACGTATCCCCTTCGTTCGGAGATCCTTCTCCTCCCACTTGGTAGAGGTGAGTCCACCCTTGAGTTCTTCTAAGTGCCCCTGCATCTCATCCAAATCCATGTCGTGCTCATTTAGCCTGTTCCCAAGTGTGCTCTCAGCCTCGATCAGCTTGCACCCAAGCTCTGCGTTGGCCTTCTGCAATGCCTCCAGCCGCTCCGTAGGTTCCAGAGACAAAGTTGACGATGTTGCTGACCATTCCGTAACTAAGCCTAAAGATGGATGGACCGTTCTCGCCAGAGTCTGAATCAGGTGCTGAGCGTGGCATGGGCAACGAGGAGAGTTGGCGCGCAAAGCTGTTGCCTTCCTGTGGGTAATCGAAAAATGAGTCCATGTCAGGTGAATACTCTCCCGAAGAGAGGTGATCCCAGTCTGGAGAAAAGTAGTGGATCCCAATGTTTGTGGAGGGCTGAGACTGTGCGGGAGTGTGGCCGCGCGAAAGGTGACGCGCCAGTCGTGTTGGAGAAGAATAGTCCTATGGAAATGCTTGAAGGACTCGTTGGATTTGACAGCGCGCGCGTTCGACCGAACATACTGAGACGGGATGAGAAAGACGACTAATTGTAGTTAGGTTCAACGGGTGGATATACATAGAAGGAGTTGCGCACTTCTGAGTCACTAAGAGCAGGCTGAGATCCGCCGTCAATACTTTTGCGTCTGCTGGCAGACGCAGGGCACTTTGACCAGCTTGAAGGGGACTGTGCGTCCAACGGGGTTGTTCGCTGTCGCCGCAACATATCAAAGGCAGAACTAATCGCTGTATTGGCCGTCTTGGGCGGCACAGACGGTGACCGGCTTGTGACACATGAAGTTCCTACCAGGCATCTGCTAGGTTATCGCGAGTGGTTGGTACTGCGAGACAAAGGATCGCGTCAGAAAGTCTCCGTAAACTTTACAGAGTGAGGGCGGGTGGGATGTATGCATCAGACGAAGGCCCATGGATGAGGGAGAAAAGAATGGCGCTGAAGGAGCAGACCTTGACACCTTCGCGTTGCTTATGAGTTGCTACAGCCTGGTAGTGTTCCAAAGCAATATACGGATCTCGCGGAGAATTATGCAAGATGCACTGAAGGTAGCGGAAATGTAAGAGCTGTTGGATGTGGCGGGAGTGATGTTGAGAACAATTAAAGGCGTATCGGCTTACTGTTCACTAAGGCAAGAACATGCTGCAGCGTGATATTAGCCGTGAATGTATCCAGAGTACCATAGAATTGAGTTGCTTGGAGTGTCGGCGTTGAATAAACCGTGCTGCTAGAATAGTGCGCCATTTAACGCGATTGTGACGAACGGTCACGCTGCCTCGTAATTAGGTCTGTCTGACTCGGACTTCCTTGCCACCATCGGTGTTCATGAAGTTCTTTATTGACAACCTACCTGTTTGTATTGTTATGTTTGATGGACATTAATGATGCTGAAGTTCTCTACTTCAGATTGTCTTCCCTTATGACCGGATTTACCCTGGTTCGTACATTCAAATGCCAGCCATACTCCACGTTAACTCTGTCACCTGCAGAACAATATGCATACATGTGCGATCTCAAAAGAACCCTGGATGCAACGGTACGGCACAAGTAGATATTGTCCTGGACGTGCCCTTCTGACTGCTTTCCTCTAGGGGCATTGCGTTTTGGAGATGCCTTCAGGAACAGGGAAGACCGTTTCACTGCTGTCTCTAATTGTGTCATATCAACAGGTATGTTTCCAAGCTCGCATCATAGCATGTTTCTTAACGCTTCTCGCTAGTTCTACCCCACGAAACGGAAACTTATCTATTGCTCGCGGACGGTTCCAGAGATCGAGAAAGCATTGGCCGAGCTGAAGCGTCTCATGGCGTACCGGATCAAGTTTGCGGAGACTCCCGAACAAGAAGCAAAAGAAGCAAGTTTCATGGGACTCGGACTCACGAGTAGGAAGAACCTCTGCATACACCCAGACGTGAGTACACACGTTATAAAGAGCCCGTTCCACAGCTTACGTTTCTCCGTCTGCTAACTTTCTAGGTCTCAAAGGAGAAGAAGGGCAAGGTAGTCGACGCCCGTTGTCGAGACCTCACTAACTCTGCTGCATGCGAGAAAGGTCGCGCAGATCCAGGTTCAGTCGAATTGTGCGATTGGCACGAGGTGAGTCATTGAAATTTGCATCAATTGCCCCATGGGTGCTAAGTCGTCTTAGAACCTGGGTAAAGGTGAACCTGGCTCCTTGATACCCCCTGGCATATGGACACTAGCCGACGTTCTTCAGCACGGGCGTGAAAACACGACATGTCCATACTTCACAGTTCGGCGAATGGTGAGTGACATCAATATCACACATTACCCCTCATCAACTGCACAAGATGCCGTTCGTGGATGTCATCATCTACTCATTCCACTATCTGCTTGATCCCAAAGTTGCCGAACAAGTTTCCAAAGAACTCTCAAAAGACGCCATCGTCGTTTTTGACGAAGCTCACAATATCGGTAAGCCTTGTCGAATAATTATTTGAATTTTCTATAATCCATCGCAGACAATGTGTGCATCGAGTCATTGAGCATTGACTTGACCCGACCGATGTTAGATTCAGCTGCACGCAGCGTTGTGAAATTGGGTGAAAAAATAGACGAGCTAGTGGTTTATATATTGTTGTGATCGTAGCACTTAAGTATATTTTTAGGATCAAGAAAACGGACGCGGCCAAACTACAGGACGAGTATGCGAGACTTGTCGAGGGGCTACAGGAATCGGCGGCGGAAGCTTCTGATGAAGACGCATTCATGGCCAACCCAGGTTCGTCGAGAAAGAAAGCAGCTTTCCACTCTACTGAAATTTTCTGGAAAGTTTTGCCAGACGACCTCCTAAAAGAAGCTGTTCCAGGAAACATCAGGAAGGCCGAACATTTTGTGGCATTTTTGAAGCGATTCGTGGAATATCTCAAGGTTTTTGGTCTGACACCTATGCGGCACACTCTGTTGACCGTTACCATAGACTAGGATGCGCGTTTTGCATGTCGTTGCGGAAACGCCATTGTCGTTTCTACAGCACTTAAAAGACATTACTTACATTGAGCGGCGACCACTGCGGCAAGTATTGTTTTCTTTCCGCCTGTATTCTTTAACATCAGCCTTCAGGTTTTGTGCAGAGAGACTACAGTCGATGATCCGTACATTGGAGCTGAATCGGCTAGATGAGTACTCGGCATTGCAGAAGGTCGCAAGTTTTGCAACCCTCGTTGCAACTTACGAAAAGGGTTTGAACTCTAATTCTTATGAATGTCGATATTAACTCTGTTACAGGGTTTCTTCTTATTCTTGAACCATTCGAAACCGATAACGCGACCGTTCCTAATCCCATCTTCCACTTCACGTGAGAGTTTGGTTATCTATTCTGAATTTTCTTTGCCTACTGAGCATTAATTTCAGATGCCTGGACCCGTCGCTCGCAATCAAACCCGTATTCGAGCATTTCAGCAGCGTCGTAATCACTTCAGGAACCATCTCCCCGTTGGACATGTATCCAAAGATGCTGCAATTCACCCCCGTCGTGCAAGAAACTTATCCTATGACGCTCACACGCAATGCTTTCTTACCGTTAGTGAGTTGTCTTGCTAATCTCTGTGCTCTTGTCCACTGAAAATATAAGGTCATCACGCGAGGAAGTGACCAAGTCGCTATCAGTTCACGTTTCGAAGTCAGAAACGACCCTGCTGTAGTTCGCAACTTTGGAAGTATTCTCATCGAGTACAGCAAGATCGTACCGGACGGCATTGTGGCTTTCTTCCCTAGTTATCTTTATATGGAGTCCATCGTCGCAGCTTGGAATGATATGGTAAATCTATGTACCCCAAGAGACGAAACCCTATTCATCATTTTCTTAGGGTATTCTCAACGAGGTCTGGAAGAACAAGTTAATATTTGTGGAAACGCCAGATGCAAACGAGACGAGCATTGCTTTGGAAAACTATCGCCGAGTGAGAAGTACCTATGCCACAGAGAAGTTCGACCACTCACAGTTACTGCAGGCTTGCGATAATGGCCGAGGAGCTGTTCTTCTGTCGGTCGCGCGTGGAAAAGTGTCAGAGGGTATCGATTTTGATCACAACTATGGGAGAGCTGTGATCATGTTTGGGTTCGTGATTGAATTCATACATTAGAGCCGGCAACTGATAGAATCGCAATAGGGTCCCATATCAATACACGGAGAGCCGTATATTAAAAGCACGGTTGGAGTATTTGCGTGATGCATACCGCATAAGAGAATCCGAGTTCCTTGGTTTCGATGCCATGCGCAACGCCGCTCAATGCGTTGGACGTGTCCTGCGAGGTAAGACTGACTGGGGTCTGATGGTGTTCGCAGACAAGGTTAGTCTATGTTTTGCAAATAGTCGTTTAACTAACTTGCCAATCGTGACAGCGTTTTGCTCGTGCCGACAAACGGGCCAAGTTACCCCGGTGGATAAATCAATACATCACGGAGGTTGCTTCTAATCTTTCTACGGATATGGCCTTGACACTTTCCAAGCTGTTCATGCGCACAATCTCGCAGAATCCAAACGAAAATCAGACTGGTGTATCGTTATGGACACTGGATGATATTGAGAAAGCGCAAGCAAAGCAGAAGGAACAAGCACTGCTCATGGAGCAACAACAAGAGCAGGAAGACGATATGGATATCGATTATGGAGACGGTGGGATTGATGATGATACGTTGTTGGGCTTGGATGTGTAGTTATACATAGTAGAGATATAATTTCTAGCAAGGGAATCCCTGAAACCACCAGGGTGGCAGACGTGAGCACTGCTGGACGATTGGAAGAATGCATTAGGTGATCCAAGATGTGATAGATATATATATACAGTGTCGCAGCCAGTGGTGAGATATGTCAGATTAGGTGGATCTTGTCATTGGGGGCACTGTGGACATATTCCGGACGAACGCTGTGAAGATGACGGATCAGCACCAGACCAAATTTAAAATTGAGGAACAGGATATACTTCTGATGTGACCAGCCGCTGGGGTTGACTGGAGAATAACAATAAGCGACAGAAAGCTTCGCGGAAGCAAAAAAAGCTATCACGATGGTGGCTTACCTATAATACCGACGGCAATTGCATGGTCTCGCCGGCGATCCGCACGTGGTCGGATGACTTGTGCTGAGGATGCAGTCTCGTGCCAGACAGTCAATGTAAGTGTCGCCTTGGAATGTAAGATGACCGCATGCCGTATTTTTTGTGAAACGCAGCTGTCGATAGCACATCTGATAGGATATGGAACAAGGGCTATTTCAGTTTTGATACGAGAAGCTTGAATGGGTCTTACACTTCGTCGGCGGCGGTAGGACAACGCTAATAAGCAAGCGACAAGTTTTGAGTTTACCAAAGGCACTGCTTTTAGTGACTTCGTGAGATCTTCCCGGCGGCATCGTTATTGCCAACGACTTACCGTACCGTACGCAGATGAAGAAGGTCGTCGGTGTTGAGGTATACAGAGGTAGAGACGGGGAGAATGCTCCTGCTTTTAAGCCGAGAGTACGTGTGCGCAGTATAATTAACTATTACATACGATTCAAATCTCGCGGTACAAGTCCGCCAACTCCCGTGTCATACCAATTTTTGGCCTATAGCAGAGACCTTTGGCAAAAAAGTACGGGTCTCAAGATCTCAGGGATGACGGTGCGAACTTTGGGCGAAATTTTCACCCTTTAACCTTGTTTGTAATTGATCGACGTTCATGCCGATGGGCGCGAGCACGACCCCCGGGTGCCCTGATCCCAATATTTTTTCGAAAATTCGTCAATTTATGTGCCGCGTTGACCTTGGTGGTCCGGGGTCAGATTAGTATATTTACATTATCTATCATCATAGAGTGTTCCTATAGAGGCTTGTCCAGTCTTTCTGGGCGCTATCAGAGGCCCTACGCGTGCAGCGGAGGCCCGAGTACTAGAACCTCCCTTCCTCGACTTGGCCAATTCCTAAAGCACTGCGATTACTGAGCATTCAGCCATCGGCACTGAGGGGAAATTATCCCGGGAGCCTTCTCGGGAAGTGATCAGAGGGGGCATGTGCAAACCTAAAAGCTTGTAGATCCGACATGTAAATTTACATAGCAAGATACGAGATAACCCCAATACTTTTCACCTGTGATTGTCAAGCATGAGGGTCGCTTTCTCGCCACCTTGAGAATAAACTGACATGAATAAAATCAACAAGATTAGTGAGTCGATCGAAAGAAACGGTGTTGCAAAACTGATCCTGACCATATGCCACACCTACCTTCTCCGAGTAGAACAGCATGCGCAATTCGCTCCAAATTGGAATGCTAAGAAAACATTGCTCAGGTGAGCACCTTGTGATATAATCCACCTCAAAATTTTCTGGAGACCAGGCCTTCGTCATCCTGCTTGTATTTTCCGGATAAAGGATCTGGCCCCAATTTGTCCTGATTGCATCGCGCATACGACCCTTGGACCTCGACAATTTGTCCGGACAAAATCAGGTCTCCCAACCTATATTCGGGGGTCCTGCGGGAGGTCAATGGAGACGTGAGCTTGTATTCCACCCAAGGAAATTGCTTCCCGAACTCGTGGACCCTTTCTCCATTCCGTGGAACATGCAAAAGGCACGATCTTACTGACAAGCTTCTCTTCCTGGGTATCAATCCCCTTTTGGTTTCCCTGAAGCTCGAAGGCGTCCAGGATAGTCAAGGATTCCGGGAATGTTTATAAATAAATCGACATTTTGTGAGACCACATATGAGACTTGTCCGTCAAAACAAAACCGGTCGGGGGGGTGAAGCGGCAGAATGCCAGGGACTCATCGACAAGGTCCAGGTCGACTGGTTACGAACGGATCTTTAAACGGTGACCTACTTGGGGGCCGGCTCGTGATGCATTGATGAGTCAGAGTAAAGGCCTGAAGCGTTTTAGCGGCGTCGCACCTCCAAAGATGGCTTGTGTTACAAGCTTAGCTCCTATCCGAAATATGAACTGGCATGTGGGCTGTAATTTTCCGTCTCCGCTTGATCGCACTGTCATCACGATGTAATTCAATTATACCGTTAACAGCTATTTGTCGCTGAAGAAACCCCCCCAACTTGCCCTTCGAGTCGTTTTTGGAAGAGCGACGTCAACTACATGAGTATTGACATTGCTATGCGCTCCTGCAAGTCAACCATGTTAAACCATGTTCCCACCTCGGTCAATCAGATGTGACAGGACATGCATGTTGCCGTACATCTTCCAGGTCCCCTCTCTATTTGACCAAAATTGTCAAACGATGAAATCCACAACTGATCAAGGAAGCTGAATTGACGCGGCGTCAATGTCATCGGTAGTCTTTGCTCTTCTTTGCTTGGTCCTGGTTCTGAAAGTTTTTCCACGACTTGGAAACCCCGCGCTGGAATCGGCATTTGTAGGCACTATGACACAAATCCCCATTCTCTTGGAAATCAATGCGGCACCAGGAGGTAACCTTATGCATATCTGCGATAAAAGCTTCCCTTGTTGAGACTAAACGCTTTTGACCAACCTACATAGGCATCCGGTGAAAGGCGAAAACCTGCAACGGGATTTAGCTATCACATACTTGATGAAACATGCGAAATTCACGGTACCGATATCACTAGCCTTGACAGTCTGTTTGGCATATATGATTGTAACAAGAAGGTCTACCGGGAAACGGCATTCTTTGTTGAGGTAGTGACAGTTCAGATAAACGATATATAGTCCCCTGTCGCCGCATTCTGCTCGGTGTTCAGTAATCGAACGTGAGGCAAAACGTCATCGCCAAATAGGTGCGTGGCTCTTTCGCGATGTAGATTTAATGCTCGCATGGTACCGCGAATGTTAACTAATTTACTCACATTGAATTGAAGAAGTTACGAGGATGTACGGCTTGTTGTCAGAGCATGGTGCGGATTTAGCGTTAGATTGGTTGGAGTTTCTGGATCTGCGGCATGTTGCTACTTCAATACGTGATTGGGTAACATCATGTCAGCGTCTATCAACACCAAAACTTCCGTTGACCAGGTCACATCTGTCACTGCGTGGCGTTGTGTGGCGTGAAATTGCAGCATGACGTCTTCATAGCGATTCATTTCCGTTTTCGGTTCTGGCAACTGGTAATCGATGACGCCAAAAGTACTGTCCACGTCGGGAACTGAAGGGAAAGCCATCGCCATGACGAAGTTGGCCAGACGGACTTTAGTCACGACTATACACGCTATAGTAATAGATCCTGTGTGAAAGGCTACCGTTCATTGAGGATCGGAGACGAGGCGACAATCGCACAACGAAAACGTGATGGGTTGCGCATAACAACGATCCACTGACGTACAAAACTAATCAGCGATCTAGAAAACTCGCGGTGTGTAAAGCTTGCCAGGGGCATCTTCCTCTGGACTTATCCCACCTTCACTTGATACAAATGACATATTCTCTGCCCCAAATTTCCTTCAAACTGCCTTCTGTTGACAATATCATTTCACGGGAATCAGGTCGTTTTGTAGACCCCAGGACAAGACTACCGCATAAAAAGCGAGGAGATCTCCCAAACTCAGCCCTGAGATATACAAAATATGCATCATACGTCCTAACCCCCAACTTAGTCTAATGTTTGTGCAAAAAATAAGGTGCACCTCATGTCAGTGCAGGGATTTCCTCTGACGCAACCTCCGCGACCTCATCGTGAGAAATCTTTTCCTTGATATTCCGTATTGGCTCGCCCCTGATGACCTTCCTTACTTCCTCGGCATCCAAAGTTTCGTGTTCTACCAGGGCATGCGCAAGCTGCAAACACAAACGGATGCAGGTGAGATGCGAACAGCAATAGAAAGAAGAAATGCGCGCACCCGATGTAGTTCCTCCTTCTTTTCCGTCAGAAGTTTGGTTGCCCGTGCCTCACCCTGTTGCAGTAATCTAATAGTAGCATGGTTAACATAATGGCAACAATTCAACAGAAGTTACTCGCTTGGTGATTTCCGCATCTATTTTCTCCCTTGTGGCAGGGCTTATCGCTTCATCTTGGTCGCTATAGAATACTGGACCAACTTTTTCAGAGAAACCCCATTTCTACAGATGTCACCCAATTAGCGGTGAGATGGTCACGTAATGTCCAAGAGAGTCAATTTGATTTATGCTAACCTTGACCATGGCGGTTGCAGTACGAGTGGCATGCTGGAGATCAGATGAGGCACCACTTGTAAGGCCCCCTGTCCCGTAAACTAAAATCTCAAGTCAGCAGTTGTGGGAGATCGGGGTGAAAAAAACTCGCTAAGTCCCTCCGCTACGCGACCACCCATGCAAACGTCAATTGTGGCTTTGAACTCCGTTTGCGTTACTGAATACCGGTCATCTTCAGGAAGTTGGGAAGTCTAATAAATGCAAGTATCAGTATAATTTTCAAGCCTGGAGGGTCACCATCGGCACGTACAACGCCCAACGCATGACCACGCGGCACACACGTGACTTTATGAAGGGGCATAGCACCATCCGTATAAAGAGCTGTCAGGGCATGTCCTCCCTACCACCATCCATCAGCTTCGAAATTTTCACGCGGGATCCGTGTAGTTGATGATGCACCTCGTGATAAGCGGTCAACAACTTGTTCTTCTCGTCAATGTATGCACTCTTCCTCTCGGCTCCCAAAAGAATGCGGTCCTACATCAAAGTGAGATAGGGTTATATAATCATCCTAGATTACCCAGAAAATGAAGAACACGCGCCTTGGCCCATTCAAAGTGCTTTAATGTGACCTCGCTATAACCTTCCTTCGATGCTTGTATAGCAGCCTGACTGATATATGACGTGTCAAAGTCTCTGAGAGACAGGAAAAGCGCATGCTGCACTCACTTCACCATGTTTTGCAGTTCGGCACCGGAGAAACCTGGCGTACCCCGCGCTAGTACTTTAGGATCAACAGCTAACGGTAAGCCCAACACGATTTAGTGATTGGATTGCACAGAGTAAGAGAAAAAGCGTACCAACGCTTGCGACCACCTCTTTCATGAAATGCTGAAGTAGTTGGACTCGACCACGGATATCGGGCAAAGGGACAGCGATAATCCTGTCAAATCGGCCTGGACGCGTCAAAGCACTAAACAAACAATTGTCAGAGACGTCGGCACCAGATATGACAAGCCTAGCACATACAGGTCCAAACTTTCCGGGAAGTTAGTCGCAGCAATGACGATAATGCCTTCGCTTTGCAAGAAACCATCCATTTCCACCAGCAATTGATTCAAGGTCTGTTTCATGTAATGTTGGTCTCTATGACTGCGCTTCCCACCAACAGCATCCAATTCATCGATGAAAATAATAGCAGGCTGTCTCTTCCGAGCGGTTGCGAAAAGCTCTCGGACACGCTTAGCGCCAACACCCACGAACATTTCCTCGAACTCAGAGCCGGATGCGAAGAAAAATGGCACTCCCGCCTCTCCGGCAATAGCACGTGCGAGCATAGTTTTACCGGTACCGGGAGGTCCTGTTAGCAAAACGCCTTTTGGAAGTTTACCACCAAGGGATGCAAAAACAGTGGGATCCTTGAGAAATTCTACAATATCGTGAAGTTCCTAGATGAGCGTGAAATATGTCTTCTCAGGCGATTTATAAACTGCAAAACTTACCTCTTTCACTTCGTCGACACCATGGACATCGCTAAACCGTATGGTCCTTTGTTGAAGTGGTTCGAACTCTGCTTGTCGAGGAACAGGTTTAAGCAGGCCTGAATTCTCCAAGAGCACAGACAAGATAACGAGAATGACTGTTGAAGAACACGAGATTAATGACCTTAAGCTTATGATCTGATGTGCACCTACAAAATCCACCCATAGCAGTCAAAACTAAGAACCGCACAAGACGCATAACTGTGGACCCTTTCGCTGGAAGCAAAGTGAGAGGGATGTATTTGTATATGCTGATGACTACCTACGCTCACTGATAGTGACATGAATCGGATTGCCGCTTACGCCACTACCCTTGCTCAGGGCAGCTGCGAGATTCGTCATGTCTGTGCTCTGAGAAGCCGAGGCACCATCAAGACGAGAAGTTGCGAGTAAAGGTCCTGCACGCCCAGCGAGTACATCCGAAGCAATCTCTTGACTTCGGGATGGAGGTGGTATCGGTGACGAAGTTGAAGGAGCATCAGAAGGGGAATTCGAAGCGTTGGCCGGAGAATCAGCTGGTGAGGCGTCTGTAGTAGTAGTACCAGTAGCAGCAGCAGCAGCAAGAAGCGAATCGCGTCTGCGAACAGCCAAGTTGACTGAAACCTCTTGACCAGTCTTGAGTAAGGATGTAAGATACAGCTGGAATGCCGCATCGGACCGAAGAAGCGGTGATGCTGAATTCTATCAAAAGGAAAACAACCCATGAGTTCAATGAGAACACAGATAAGAGATACAAAACATATTTACAAATTCGCACGTCCTTTCCCAACGAGTGATTACTACTTCATACCCAGCTTTCACTTGCGTGTCTACAAGAACTTGATACAGGGCCAGCTGCCTAGCAACATCATCTGGATTTGCGTTAGCTTCTGCTTCTAGACGAGCGACTTTCGCTACGACCGCGGGGGCAGGCGTAGACGATGCTTTCGACCAAGGGAATAATGACAGTGCGCGTCGGAGGCAAGGCTGTGCAGTCAGTGGTTGGATCCGGTGTTGGGTAATTAGCAGGGGTGCTTTAGATGCGAATGTAAATCTTGAGTAGGGTTGTATTGGTCGAGAATTAGAGAATGAGCGGAACTGTATGCATGACTTTGGAGGCAGAGAAACGACTGAACGCCCTTGGGCGCGCAGGATGCCCGGTAGCTACAAAACATCATGGTTGATGCAGTAGCATACGATTAAAGTAACAGTTACTTACCAGGAGGTGCACGGACATGCACTGGAGAGTTAGAGGGAAATGGTGGCACTAGTGCTTGCGACAAGAGCGTCAGTACATAAACTGCGGGAAGATTCAGGAAAACAAGTCAGCTTTACGTAAGCCCACTTTTGAATTAGATCCGCGCATTATATGTTTTGAAACAGAACATGACTGACAAGCAGAAAGGTGAGTGGCTCACTGATTCGTGAATTCTGTTTTAAATGATTATGACTACAAGTCATCGTCGCTTTGACATCTGCGTCCGAGACATGCACAGCTGCACTCTCCGCACTCGCTTCCCGAAATCAGCTCGATAAATTAGAGCCTCAAACCTCCGATCTCGCTATGATCCTAAAAGACCTAGACGCTCTCCTTTCTCTGATATACAATTCCAGCACTAAACTTTCTCTTGCGCTCAAACCATCATCCCCTACATACTCCGCTTCTCTACCCGTGATCGCGGATCTAATGAAATATACGTCTGGCATCGCACATTGCATCCATCTTTTGAATCCTGACTTACATGGGACGACGCTTATCAAGGAGGTGCAACATGAAGTGACAGCTATTTTGGAGGCTTTGCGTGCAGTCGTGCAAACATTTTTGAACCTCGCTGCGCGTGGCCCGTCGATAGCAAGGAGTGAATCCGCAGGAGAAGAGTATCTTGTTCGGACAGGCACTCTTCACGATCTCATAACTCAAGCGCGTGGAACTAACGGAATACCAAAGGATACAATTTCTGCCATCTGTCGAAGATGGAAGCAGGACCGAGAGGCTCTCGAAGACAGTCTTCGGGAACTGTCTGAAATGATAGATGGAGCGGAAGGGAGTGACAGCGATGATGTCGATGGCGATGATATCGACGACGGTTGGGATGAGCTCGGTTTGGGTGATGCAGGAGAGAAGATGGACAAGGACGAGTTGGCGCGCACAAAAAATGTACAGTACTTGTCTCCGCTACTTTCAAAACAGCTCTCTTTAAACGCGCCATTTGTCAGGTTCACTCCGTGCTGAGGCTAACCACACTATTGCACAAACGTATATTCCAGGATCTGCTTTCGTCTGCACCGACCCCACCACCTCCGAGCTTTGCTCTAGATGCTCTGCTTTTGCAGTCCCACGCACTCCTTGCTGCGTCCGACGAATTGGTCTCCTCGTTATATATTCCTCAGAACCCCGCCACGATCAGGAAGGAATCGTTAGCCCTGCTCGATATAATTAACGGACTCCAGTTACAGCTACGAATATTCTTCCCCGATACGTCCTCTCTAGAACAACAGCTCTCTGGGCTCAGCATCGAGGGAGATAAGTCAGCATCGACACCAAACAAACCCACAGCAGACAAAAGGTGGTTTGATCTTTGTTTCGACCAGGTAACAAAGGTATCCGCCAACCTCGTGTCTCCTATGTACAAGTCACCCCTAGGGGTCAGCCAGAAACAGAGATGAAAGACGCTCCAGAAGTGTTCGTTGTGCAAGTAATAGAATACAGGAAGTTTGTAATATTGCAGAGATTTATGCACAAGTCTAGTATTGCATGTTCGAAAGCAAGATCAGTACAACTTGAACAAAACAAGAATTGAAAGCCATCAACTTAAGCCTCGCCCTCCTCTTTTGTAGCACTGTGGCTCTGCTCCCTGTCATGCCGTAGACGCACTTTCTCCTTGTCGTACTCCTCTCGGAACTTAGCAGCAAGGAAGTTCGGGTGCAAAGCCATGCAATTGTTGGCTCTAAGCTTCTGTTCAAAACCAGCGATCTTGTCTGCTTGTGACTGCAGATCAAAATGATGTTTCTGCGCTCGAATCAGAAATAAGAATCCCGTGCGAATAAGACAAAGAAACAGACAGCTTCTTCCGCGCGCTTAGCCTTTGCTTCATCACGCATCTTGTTCAGCTCTTTCCGTCGTTCCTCCTCCTTCTCTCTCCTGTTGAGTCCAGAACGAGGAGTACTACCACCAGCCTGCAGAGTAGATAGATATTTGAACATGTAAAAACATCGTCAAAACCGCCTCACCCCTTTGAAGAGCTCAGCATACACGCTTTTATCTCGCAGGTCAAAGTCTGCTGCGCCCATGAGACCTGCAGCCTTACGTTGTGGATGAGGGGCGCCGATTTTTGTTACATCGTCAGTTGAAGGTGGTGGCTTAGAGGGGGCAGCGGCGGATTGGGACTGAGTGGAAGTTGCAGCTGAGGTAGAGGGTTTGTTCTTCTTGATTGTTGGGAGTTTGCGCTTCTTCAGTTCTGGTGGCGGCAAGGCGGCCTGATCAGGTGGGGCAGAAGGATCGACTACCGATGGTGGATGGATGGAAGACTCGTCATCCGCAAAGAGATCAGAGACTTGACTGTGGGCTGTGACGCTAGTAGACACAGAAAGGGTGTCAGAGGGAGGGATTTTGCGTTCGTCCTTGATCATGATCTCCTTCTCTTTCTCCTTTTCTTTTCCAGCCTTCGGCTTGCCACCCTTTCCTAACACCAATTTAACCCTCGGAGGTTTGCTCTTCACGGACGAAGATGCCTTTGGTTTTCCACCACGCTTTGGTACGGCTTCAGGTTCGAACCCCTCGTCTTCGACATCTGGAAAAGATTCGTCAAGGAAATCCTCGTCTTCGATATCTGGGAAAGGTTTGTCAAGGAAATCCTCATCCATGAGATCATCAATGTCGACTTCGGCATCTTCTGCGTCAGAGAACACCGGTTTCTTCGCTCCTGTCACAGAGCCCGACATCTTCAAGCGCTTCGCACTCGCATCCACCTTACTCTTCTTTCGAGCTTGACCGGGGGCGACTGGAGCGGTGCCAGAGGCGACGTGCTCGATGTGAGCGTCAGCAGCATCATCAAATTCTTCCTCATCAGAATCGACGAGGCGTCTCTTTGATTTTCGTTTGCTGAGCGAAGGCTGATTTTGATGAGCTTCCTGTGCATCAATACACGGAAATTGTTCACCTTTGAGTCTGCTGAATCCCTGATGGCGACTCGGGACATCAGAGCTCGAAGTGGCTGTGCTCATAATCAAGTTTGGGTTTGTTTGAAGCTTTTGGGCAACAAGTGCAAACGAACGCGGTTAAACGTAGAGCATTAGTACTAGTAGGCTTGGAGAGCGAGACCAGTAGGTGAGCTTGCAACAATTCAACGAAAACTCACAGGTAGTTCGCGTTCAATGCGTTTATCTGGTTCGCTATGGCGAAATATTCATGCGAGAGGAGTACCCTCGCGATATCTCGCTAACATGGCTGCCCAACGACCGTGTCATGTCACCGTGCTAGGTGAACAGTACCTCACCGACCATATGACAAACATATCTCCAACAATCGTGTCCAAGCTCCCACTAAAGCTACACACACAACCTTCACATCCCCTCAGCACACTCCGAGGGCTTATAGAATCACACTTCCCCTCCTACACTCACCTCTCCTCACTCTCTCCCCTCGTCACTCCATACCAAAACTTTGATCTGCTATCTTTCCCAAAAGACCACCCTGGTCGGTCCGTGACAGACAGCTACTATGTCAACAAGGACCTCATGTTGCGCACTCACACATCTGCTCACGAAGTAGAGGTGTTTGGACGAGGAGAGACGAAGTGGTTACTTACTGCAGATGTGTACCGCCGCGACGAGATAGACGGGTCACACTACCCTGTATTTCACCAAACAGAAGGTGCACGTATCGTTTCAGCAAACTCAACGGGCATGAAGGAGATCGAGGAGGACAACGAACGTCTCGCAGCCCACTTGGAACAATCCAGTATAGAAATCGAAGATGTCCCCCATCTATCATCGACGAATCCTTGTCAGCCAGCTCATGATCCAAAACATACGGAATTAATCGCGAAAAACTTGAAATTATCCTTGAATAGCCTGATGCTACATTTGTTTGCTGGACGCGTTGGTGCTACTGCACAGAACCCACTTAAAGTGCGGTGGATCGAAGCTACTTTTCCGTGGACGACGCCAAGTTTTGAGGTCGAGGTCTTCTTCCGTGGTAAATGGCTGGAAATTCTCGGTTGTGGAGTCATTTATCAGCCAACACTCGATAACGCGAGTACGTCGATGAATTGACGTATATTAATTTAACGAATGACGCATAATTAGATGTTTCAAACAAGCTGGGATGGGCATTCGGCCTTGGACTCGAACGAATAGCAATGGTTTTATATTCTATCCCCGACATTCGTTTGTTCTGGTCACAGGACCCCCGTTTCCTATCGCAGTTTAAACAAGGCGAAATCACCACGTTCAAACCGTACTCGAAGTACCCAGCATGCTTCAAGGACGTGAGCTTTTGGCTCCCTGAAGGCCAGACACTTCATGAAAACGATTTTTGTGACCTTGTCCGAGACGTCGCTGGAGATGTGGTGGAGGACGTCAAATTGGTGAGTGTTACTCTGAACCGAGTGTGGCCTGACCTGACCTCCGAGTAGATCGACGATTTTACTCACCCAAAAACTAACCGGAAGAGTCTTTGTTACAGGATCAATTATCGTTCAATGGATAGGTAAGCCCCTGTCTTTCATGAAAGCTTCTTTCTAACATTTGAGTAGATCACTTTCAAACGATGAGGCCAACTCTCTTAATGCACAGGTCGTTTCCTATTTACGGGATCGGTTCAGAGTTGAGATTCGGTGAATTAAATGTGCTAAAATAATATCTATCGTCTACCCACGCCGCCGCTCATAGAGGCTCTAGAGTACTAGCGTGACTAATAGTCCTCCCAATACCTGCACTACATACCCCTAAACCCCGCTCCATAGCAATGATATAGGTCATGATGTATCTTGCACAACACCGACTTGCGCCGCCCGCAGTAACCGATCCTTAATCATGTACCCGGTTTTCTGGCACTCTAATATAGTCCCAGGTTCCTTTCCGGGTATTGGAGCTTGATACATTGCTTCGTGTTGATTAGGATCAAACATGTCACCGGTAGGGTCAAATGGTTTGACGTGATACTTGAATAGTGTGGAGAGGAGAAGGCGATGGGTCATGTCGACGCCTTGATGCAACTCCTTCAGGTAGGTTTGGACAGATTTGGAGTTGGACGATGAATCGGATGAGTCTGGGGATGAAGAGTCTGCTTGGGCAAAGGCATCCTCTGGTACGGACTTGAGGGCGAGTGCGAGAACATCTACGGTCTCAAGCAGGTCACCAGCAAAGCGGGTGATAGCGAAATCACGTTGCTGCTCTTTTTCACGAGCAGCATTGCGTTGCAAGTTCAAAAAATCCGCTTGCAGGTACTGTAACCGACTCTGGGGAACAATAAAAAATGCATGCAATGTTCGAAGGGGAATACTAACTTTTAGGTCCGCGGTTTCAGCTTCTTTTGCTTTGATGGTTTTGAGCAACTCAGTCTCCGGCGTGATTTCTGTCTCTACCTCCTTCTCTGCGTCCACCTCCGCTGCAGGAGCCTTGTCGTCAGAGTACTGTCGTATGCTTACTATTCGCCGGCCGTGAGATGCCAACGCATCTCGTGAGGAGCGGCCGATAGTTCTCGACGACAGTGAAGCCGTAGAAGAACGAAAGGCCTGTCGGACGTATGCAGCGTTCATGATATAAATGATGGAAGAGAGTTACGAGGTGTGACCTTATGAACGGAGCCAAACGCGTCCAAAATTTTCGGAAAGGGAAGGTCGTGGGAATGTATTACATATTCGCTTGATGAACTCGATTTTCTTCAGAGATCACTAGAAATATTGACGAGTCACGATATTAAAAAAAATCCTGTTGTGCCTTCTGCTTTCCCGTGTTTCTATCTTTTTCTGATTTCACTGTCTATCTTTTAAAAGTTCTTGTGTTGTGTGTAAATTTCGTTCGTTCGTGGGTGTGCTTGTAGTCAATTAACCAAAAGAGGCAACTTCATATGGCATTTATTAGGATGCCTCCAAGTTGCCCAGCCTTTCGACCTTTCCATTTGTCTTCCATATCTACCTCTTATTCGGTTCGAAATCGTTCAAAACCGATCCTTGTTTCTACCATCATGACCGCTCAGATCATCGACGGCACTATCATAGCAAAGTAAGTGATCTGTGATAATCACCCAACCCGTACTGATGAAATCACGTGCGTCTAGGTCTATTCGCAATGATGTCGCACAGAAAATCAAGGCGTTCCAAGCTCAATACCCTCGGTTCCAACCCCAGCTTGTAGTCGTGCAAGCTGGCGAACGCCCTGATTCGAGCACATACATTCGCATGAAAGCTAAAGCTGCAGAGGAAGTCGGCATTAAGTTTAATCACGTCAACGTCCCAGAAGCAGCTACGGCCGACGAGATCATCCAGGTCGTTAAGAAGCTTTCGGATGATGAAACTATTAGTGGCGTCCTTGTTCAGCTGCCTCTTGGACCTCATGTTGATGCAGACGGCACCCGCGCTGTCACTGAGGCGGTTTGTCCCGAGAAAGATGTTGACGGGTAAGTTGTTTTCATGTGGGAAATCGCTTTATCTGAGAGAACTAGTTTCCATGCATACAATATAGGACACTTGTCTTCGCGTGCTGCTTCCCCGTTATTCGTTCCTTGTACACCAGCAGCTGTTATTCGTCTGCTGGAGAGTACTGGCGTATCCATCGCTGGGTCAACCGCAGTCGTGCTGGGTCGTAGCGACATTGTTGGCAACCCTGTGGCTGCACTCCTGAGAAGCCGTGATGCAACTGTCACCCAATGCCACAGTCGCACCAAGAACATTGAACAGATCGTCAGTTGCATCTCACGTGATTATCAGATAGTGCAACTTTCTCACATTCACTTGTAGGTCAGACAAGCTGATATCGTGGTAGCTGCTATCGGCCAGTCAGCATTTGTCAAAGGTTCGTGGGTGAAACCTGGCGCAGTCGTTATCGATGTTGGCATCAACTTCGTTCCGGGTATGTTTTTGGTCTCGGCATACGATCCGGGTTATTTATATGAACAATCTCTAGACGCGACCAAGAAATCAGGTCAACGCCTGGTCGGAGATGTGGATGAAGACGCGTTTGCTGTGGCATCGCACATCACCCCTGTTCCAGGAGGTGTTGGTCCCATGACTGTCGCTTTGCTAATGGAGAATGTATACAACTCTGCTGTTCGTCTCTGGCAAAAGGCTCGAGAGCGTAAGATCAAACCCTTGGCACTTGACATCAAGGAGAAAGTTCCCAGCGACATCGAGATTGCTATGGCTCAAATCCCAAAACCCGTCACTCAGCTCGCAAAAGAGATGGGACTCCTACCCGACGAACTTGAAAGCTATGGCAAGTTCAAGGCCAAGGTCGAGCTCAGTGTGTTGGATCGCTTGGCACACCGGAAAGATGGGAAATACATTGTCATTGCTGGGTAGGAATTAGCTGGAACACGTTTTGCTATCTGAAGTTGACTTATTTTTAAAGTATCACACCCACTCCTCTGGGTGAGGGCAAGTCTACGACTACCATTGGTCTTGCCCAGGCACTGGGGGCGCATCTTGGACGTCCGGCATTCGCCTGTGTGCGGCAACCTTCTCAAGGACCGACATTCGGTATCAAAGGTGGAGCTGCTGGTGGAGGTTACAGTCAAGTAATTCCTATGGATGAGGTGGGCTTTCTTTCTTTGGATTCCTTCTCGCCCTGATGTTCTTTGTTTAGTTCAACCTTCATTTGACCGGTGACATACACGCTGTCACGGCTGCCAATAACTTACTGGGTAAGCTTACTGAATTTGTTCTGACCTTCGATCCCTGACTTCGAGTGCAGCTGCTGCTCTTGACGCTCGTATCTTCCACGAAGCGACTCAGAGTGACAAGGTCTGTTGAGTTTGAAAACCCCGTTATACGAACTCACTTTCTGCAGGGTCTCTTCAGTCGTCTTGTGCCCTCCAAAAAGGGCAAGCGCGAGTTCGCACCCCTGATGCTCAAGCGCTTGAAGAAGCTTGGTATCGACAAAACCAACCCGAACGACCTGACACCCGAGGAAATTAACCTCTTTGCTCGCCTTGACATCGACGCCGAGACGATCACTTGGAACCGTGTTCTCGATACCAATGACCGTTTCTTGCGCAAAGTCACACTTGGCCGTAACCCTACTGAGAAAGGCCACGAGCGCGAGGCTGGGTTTGACATCGCTGTGGCTAGTGAATGTATGGCCGTGCTTGCGTTGACCACTGATCTCGTTGATATGCGAGAGAGGCTGGGCAACATGGTCGTCGCAACAAGCAAGCGCGGAGAAGCTATCACTGCTGATGACATTGGTGTTGGAGGTGCACTTGCTGTTCTCATGAAGGACACGGTCAAGCCCAACTTGATGCAAACGCTCGAGGGTACCCCTGTTTTCGTCCATGCTGGCCCTTTCGCTAACATCGCCCACGGAAACTCCTCCATCCTCGCTGATCGTATCGCTCTCAAGCTCGCAGGAACTGAGGAGGGCGACTCTTCCGACCGCGTTGGCTATGTGCTGACTGAGGGTGGTTTCGGAGCTGACATGGGCATGGAGAAGTTCTGCAATATCAAGTGTCGTGTTAGTGGCCTGAAGCCTGATGCTACCGTCATCGTTGCCACTACTCGTGCACTCAAGATGCACGGTGGTGGACCTGAGGTGACACCTGGCAAGCCTTTGGCTGATACCTACACCAAGGAGGATCTTGTCACCCTCAAGGAAGGTTGCCAGAATCTCACTAGGCACATCGAGAACTCCAAGAAGTTCGGTGTCAAGGTTATCATTGCTATCAACCAATTTTCGTTTGTGTTGCTTCCATTTTCCCGCATGAATGTTGGCTGACTTTCACATAGTTCGGATACCCCTGCCGAACTTGAGCTCATCCGTCGGGAAGCTCTCGCTGCTGGTGCCGATGCCGCGATAGTGAGCAACCACTGGGCAGAAGGTGGTGCTGGTGCACGTGCCCTTGCCGAGGCAGTCATTGCAACTTGCGAAGGAGAATCCGGCTTCAGATTCCTCTACGACCTCAACCTCCCCATCGCTCAAAAGATCGAGATAATCTGCAAGGAAATATACCGCGCGGCTGGCATCGAACTTAGCGAGCATGCCAGCAAGCAGATAGAAACTTATACTCGGCAAGGCTACGGCAACCTGCCTAGTAAGTCCTTTCTCCCTATGTCTGTGGAGTTATATTTATGCCGTTCATTCAGTTTGTATGGCAAAGACCCAATATTCATTCTCTCATAATCCGTCACTTAAAAATGCTCCTTCTGGCTTCACCGTTCCCATTCGCGAAGTGCGCCTATCTGCTGGAGCTGGTTTCCTATACCCTATTCTCGGAGACATGCAGACCATGCCGGGACTTGGCACACGGCCAGGTAAGTGATACCATGTGCTTTATCCAAAAATTATCTCACGAGAAATTGCCGCGCAGGATTCTGGGAAGTCGGACTTGACCCACAAACTGGGCGCGTCGTCGGATTGTTCTAGACGCTTTGCTCTCTCGCGCTTTCAACCATCGCGACAACGTATATAGTGGTCATCGTCTCGAATCTTCATCAGATTTCGCAGCTTCCACGTTGGAAGCCCCGTCTCAACACGGAGCTGTTTGCTGTTCAACACGTGCATATGTAGCCGTTGAGGTGTTGTGGACTTGGGTTATTTAAGACGGTGGAGGGTGCTGGCACACCCAGATAGTTGCTCTTCAGGGCGGTCTTGTCGGGTGTTAGATGTATCATGTATTGAATAAATAGCTTCTCGCATCTATTCACAGTGTTATCGCTATATCTAATCTACGAGTTATGCACACACTCTTCCACCTGGAAGTCTTGCACCGGGAATGAACTGTGCATTGGAAGCCAGAGGGAACGTGGGTAGGGGAGTGGTTGCAAGGCTGCCGCTCTGCTTGTCATAGGTGATCACATCATATGCAGCGTTTACATCCCTAGCGTATGTGTTGCCCCTGGTGTCGATGTACGAAAAGGTGTTATCGCTGGTCCCGTTCGCAGTAACAAGTCCTGTGGTTAACAAGGTGAGGTAACCGGCTGGAATACAGTTGAGTACATGTTCGCTGCAGAAAAAGATATCGTACCTGTCTGCTGACGCTCATTAATGTCGGATCCCAAGATGAAAGGCGCGGGGACAAGCTGACGGTTATACGAGTGATCGAACGTGGTATAATCTAAAGCGAAAGTTGGTCAGTCATGCATGCAATGCAGGTTGAACTGAGCGAAACTTGCATGATGTCACGGTATCATTATCAACCAGGGCTGAGAAGTTGATGTACAGGGGATAGTCGAAGTTGTCGGTAAGAACCGAGACTCCGTTGTGAGTTGAAATGACTGAGCCGGAGGATATCTGTGCGACATTCTGCGATGAATGTATTGAGTGATGAGCAAATTATTAGGGACAAGGATGGGTCTCAACCTGAGTATTGGCGTCATCGAGATAATATTGCGTGTTTGTAAAGTCCATGCTCTGTTGGAAAACGACATTGTTTGTCGTCCCACTACCGCTGACAATGGTTGCCTCAATTTTGAGGGAGCGCTGAGCTTTGACCGTGATATTGACATCTGCACCGCCGATGCTCGCTGTTGTTTCCGTTATTGCATAGGGTTGAGCATCATACGCCGTGATGCTGCCCGTCGTTTGTTTGCCTGATGGGTCTGTGACAACCTGCAACAGTCCAGAAACATACCAGTTCTGGTTAAGAGTGTGATTTGTTTCAGCGGATGCGACATCCAAAGTCACATTATGGGGGAGGCCGTCGGCAAACACCGGTGCAAATGGTGTGAGATCAAGGAAGTAGGTAGGAAGATCAATTGCACCATATGATGTGATGGGCCTGTAAATCATATGGTTGAAAGAAAAAACTGAGAAAGTACAGGGTCATACCTCCAAACTGCGGGATTTATGCCACCTGTGAAAATGACAGCATATGGAAAGGCCACACCAGCAACTTGACCATCCACGAGGAGACGAACTTCGCGGAAGGGGCCTCCGCCGTACGTTGTGCCGGGCGGAAGATATCCAAGGTATTCATCGGCTGTGTTGTAGTACTTGAGAGAAGAATCAATCTGTGATTCGGCTTCCTTATATGCAACTGTCTCTCACCCAGAATTCCTCGTCTCCATTGCCGGATGCATACAGCTCGGCATAGATTTCAACAGTGTTTTGCGGGAGCGTCACGTTGAGCTAAAAGGGTTTACTTAACACTCATAATGCAAAAGGGAAAGCGTACAGAAAATGCTGGTGGGACCGAAGCCTCGTCGCCAGTGTTGTTTAGCATCGTCGATATCGGCACAATCATGTTGGATTGTCCAGCCGTAGGGTATTCTCCGGACGATGCATAGAAAGTTGCATAAAGTGTAGCTGATGCTCAAGTTAGTACAACATCGTCGGGAACGAACCGAAAACACACATACTTGCGTACTGCCCGGTATCAGTAGATGTGACGATGTTGTCAAGCTCGAGAATGAAAGTTCCAGGCTTGTCGAACAAGGGAATGTAGCGAGTAACATCTTTCGTGTAAGTCCAGATGATACCGTCTGTAGTCGGCTCCGGAGTTGAGGTGCGCCAAACTACGACGTTCAATATCAGTTCTCGTCACGCAATGCATGGCCATGAAAAAACATACTTTCCGTGTTTTGGAACGTGAAAATTCCAAGGCGGTCATACTGGGTCCCGTTTGATGTCACTGTGAAGTTGAGTGTTACTGCTGCCCAGGAACCGACTGCCCCACAATCGGTCGGCGGACTGCAGAGTCAGATGAGATCCGACGTGAAAAACCGCAAGCAGACCCACCTGTACTGGACGATCTCTGGACTGAAACAGAAGGTCAGCTAAACTTGAAATTTTCACTACTCGTATACTAACTCTCCGTATGAGTTCCCAAATGTACGCCTAGGAAGTAATAGTTGTTAGAGTTCGAAATGCTTCAAAATGGTTTTCTCACTCCAGAATCATCATCGTGCATTGTTGCCCGCTGTTTGGAACTGGAGGCGGTTCAGCGACTTGGAAATCGACAAGCACCTGGGCACTGGAAAGTGCGGCAAGCAATACACCTGCCAGTGGTGCGAATGCCCTCATCTTCGACAGCATCGATTGCAGCTAGTGTCTACTAGCAGTGGGAAGTGAACACGTCGCGTGGGGACCGAAATCTTGTTACCCAGCAACATTCAAGTTCATTTCGCAGGACCCATCATGATGATATTCTCGGCAACGGAAAAAAAGTTGATATGATGATTTAAATCATAACGAAAGCGACTCGAAGCAGTGCGCTGCATTTGTCTAACGACTGACGCCACATGCAGGGTGTAGAACGGGGAAATTGAGGCGTGAGTAGCGGGGTAAGCGCCATTAATCCCTGACTCGCCTATCAAAGGATCATCGACAGTTTACATCTATACTGCCATTCTTGGCCACAATTCCAGTATTTGTCACACAAGGCATGAGAGCCAACTTCAAGGAGCCAGTGGAAGACAGACGCAAGAGCATGCTGGTGGACACTAGACAAGGTGAGCAAGGCCAAATTTTGCATGACTTTTGATGGTAATGGAAACTGTGAAGTGTGTAATGACAACGAGCCAAACCGCGCGTGGACTGAGATAAGTGGATGTTTTCATGGGGATACTATTTGTGATCCATCTCTGCAGCGAGCAACGTGCCAAGTTTATTGGGGTAACCAGCCGGGAGTTGAACAAATAAACGATCCAGCAGATGCTGGTCCGAAAAGCAGGAAAGTCAACAACACAGATGGGCGAAATGACGCATAACAGCTTGGATGCAACCGCCCTTGAGGCAGACCTCTTCCAAACGCACACAAAGTTTCAAATTAACAGTAGCCCGGGTAATGGAGCAACTAGAACGGTCAGATTCTCCTCAACGTTACTTCCGGTTAAGAAAACTAAGGCGGCTCCTCATTTGACCGCGAGAGAAGGCTCGACTCGTCACTCCACAGAGAAATAACTCGACGACTCGGAGCAGCTGCGCAATAGAAAGGCAAGCGATGGAACACGCTCAAGTGGTCTGTACAGCAAACTTTCAAATCCGCACGAGAATACGTGGTCACGGTGTCGATATGCGCGTCAATACAAATCCTGCCTATGCCTATGCCATCAAATAAAATGAACATAGCGGTACGTGCGCAAGAGCCGCATCGAAATCAAGAATTGCTGTGAAAGAAGAGAGCGGACGGTCAACCTGGAATATGCACCAGTCGGATATACACTGGATGGTACTTCGCATATAATAACGAATCATAAAACAAGGGATCTGCGTGTAATTCATTATGTGGGGCATCAAAATCGGGAACGCGGAAGCGTGAGCGACCTCGTTCACAAAATTTTTACCAGGCTGCAATGAAAGTGGTGAGAAATCGAGGAGTTGCAATGGTTGTGGATCATTCCGAGGCGTGATAGTAGGCTCCTATCTAAAGATCAGCCACCTGTAAACGTGGCTTGTCACATGTGGGCGGGAGCTGTGTGTTAGCCTTCTTAAGCTTGTACGGTTACCAGCAAATTGCCAGCAAACTCACCCGCCAATGGTGGTGGTGACGTGTTCAAGCCCAGAAAGTAATAGATATCGTACGTTCATGATTTTAAGCCAGCCTGTATTGTACCGAGGATTGTGCGAGGACGGCCAACACGAGATTTGTCCATGGCTATGATATTGACGGCAATGAATTGTTTACCGAGTAGCAGAAAGTCCGAGTCAGTGCTCGGAACCAAGTTGTCTTGCAGCGGATTGGTTACCGAATAGCGGAAAGTCAGTGCTCGGAACCAAGTTGTCTTGCTGTATTAAGCATCAACTGAAGCCAATAAGGGTTGGATAGGGAGTACCAAGAGGCCAGCGTACTGTTTTTTAACGGAGACATTTGGGAACTGTGCATGTCAGCTGCACGCGCTAACCTGAAAGGGAATCCCGGGATGGCGGGATTATGACTCAAGGATGACTAAAGGCAATGCGTGAGTAGTGACTTCCAGAAAGGGTAAAGCTTTGACGCAGCAAATGTTATTTCTGTGACTGAGCGATCGGAATACATTGAAATGGCGGCCTAAACTAGTTCATTTCACAACCACGATGGCCGCTCAAAGCAGCTCCACCTTTGTAAATCCTCCAAACTATACGTTTACCTCTCATCGTCTCCATCGAATTCTACATGCCTCTGACAAGCAACCAATTGTCCTTGTAGCATGTGGTTCCTTCAACCCCATCACATATCACCATCTCCGAATGTTCGAGATGGCAAATGACTTCGTTCGGCAGAACACTAATTTTGAGATTGTTGGTGGATATCTCAGTCCTGTTAGTGAGGAATACAAGAAGCCAGGACTGGTTCGAGCCCATCACCGGTATGTGCGGCCTTTGAGCTGCGTAATCTTATCTTTGAACTCGTATGGATACGCGAAATAGGGTCAATATGTGCACGCTTGCTACAGAGCAAGAGTCTTCAGGACTAATGGTCGACTCGTGGGAGGCATTCCAAAATTATCAACGCACGGCTGTCGTCCTCGACCACTTCAATTACGAGATCAATACGATTCTCGGTGGCGTGTCTACCCGTGATGGTGAACATCGTGATGTTCGGATCATGCTTCTCGCTGGATCGGACCTGATAAGCACCATGTCTGAGCCAGGGGTCTGGTCTCATAATGATGTCAGTTACATGCGTTACGCATGTACTCCAAGCTGATGAGCGGATTCCTAGCTCGATCGCATACTCGGACGCTATGGCACGTTTGTCATTGAGCGCACGGGGTCCAGTATGGATCAGGCAACAGACAGCTTGGCGCGCTGGCGCAACAATATCTATCCTATCCCCCAGCTGGTTCAGAACGATGTTTCCTCGACGAAAGTTCGGTTGTTCTTCCGTCGTGGTCTTTCGGTCCGGTATCTCATCCCAGCTGCTGTTATTGACTATATAAAGCAGAACTATCTATACCTAGATGACGGGTCGGGCCCGGAGAAAGAAAAGGGAAAGGACAAGGAGAGTGGAGAAGCTGATCGAGATAGCGGGTCTCAATCACAATTATAACTGGCTTCCAGTTGATACCTCGGATATTCTATTTACCTCGAATGTACATAGAAGAATATGTATTCCCTCGTGCCTGTAACGGAAATTCCACCATCTTGAATACTAGGCAAACCGGTTAGCATCTCGTATACATACATGCGTGTACGTTGTGGTCCACATTGGTGATCCTGACATGGCTTTCGGGCGGGGGGTGAGGAGACTTGCAGAAAAATGTATGGTCCATCTATATATTCCATGCACGATCTACACGTTTTCCAGTCAGGTGGTCCAACCCACACTATAAATGTAATCGAAAGTAACAAAATGTGCTAGTAGATCCCACAGGCTATAGTCGGTGCCGGTCACAATTACCCGGCTTATCTGCAGGATATTTCAGGTAAAAAAGGGGGAGGATATATACTGGATCGCAGATGGACGATCGCGTAACAAGAAAAGGGGGGCCTCGTGAAAGTCCAGCTGTCTCGCAGAAAATCTCCCCTTAGGCCAAAGGTGTCAGACAGGACTCTGTGAGCGCTCTTGTGCAGGTGCGTAAGTAATGGAAATGAAAAAAAAACCGAATACTTGATTGCAATAACTGACATATATATATACTGGTGGAAGCCCTGGTAGCCTGATGAACCCGACCCGGCCCGAAATGAGCTGCGAGAGCGGGTGGTCCCGTGGTGCTTCAGACCCAGTAGATTCGGATCCCCGTTGAACAGTAGGAATGTGGTTACGTAGCTAAGGAACCTGAGTACGAGTATGGTAGAAAATTGTATAAGCTGCCAAGGAAAGGGCATGGCGAGTGGGGAAAAGAAAATTCGAAAGGCGGCAAGGTACAGAAGGCGCGTCGGAGCCCGCTAGAGCATAGTCTAGGCGCTGTGGTAAGCGGAGAAGAGAAACCGCGTGTTGGTGTGACACTGCACGAAGGTCGACGTCTTTGTTCTACATAACCCCACATTTGTACCCCGCTTCCAGGTGGAATTCTAAACTGACGCAAGTGCACTGCATACACACAGGACTCAGGAGAGGTTTACGGATTTAATTAAACACAATGTCAGCAAGAACTTAGAAGACGGAGATAAGAAAGAGTATATCGCTGGTAAAGGGCAAGAAAAACATTGGGAGCTTTTCTGAAAAACGTTGTGTCGAGCTACGGTCAGTCTTGCTGAGCCCTGGGTTCAGCGAGGCCGACTGTGGCTCGACACGCTAGCTCCGAGCAAACTGGTTTAGCGCTAAGCGCTAAGCGCCCGCCATTCGGAAGTGCTCTCGTTTGTCATATAGAAATTCGTTAGTACGGAAGAGAAGCGGAGATACAAACTGACAAAACGGATATTTGCATAATGAATATATATTGACTGTGAGTGAAGGCTACATTTTCTAAGGATCGTTCAACTCTAAAATGTACAATAGTGGTCTAGAGCAAGTCAAAAGCAAGCATAACAGCGTACAGAACAATGAATATCGTCTGTGAGTGGAGACTGAGACGGAAGTAAACTTTCGGAGAATCTTTCCCTAAAATCCAAACAAGAGCGATCGCAAAGGAAGAACTCCCCACAATAAATGGATTGCGGAGGAAGGCCATCATAACGGCTGCTTGAACGACACTTAAGACCATCCGAGTCTTAAGAGCAGATCCTAAAAGGACGGGTATAGTCGGGACTCCTGTCTTCACGTCCTCGTCATAGTCACGCACGTCTGTCATAATCTTTGGAAAACCTTCAGTCGGGAGTACTTTACAAGAAAGAGATTGTCTTACACAATGACAAGTGCGATTAACCGTCGACCAAATGACAGTCTCCATGATCATCCATGGAGGTGCATTATAGGTCGATTGCCATGATGACTGCAGTGCTGAGTTGACGACGAAGAATATTCCACAGCTGTCTTCCAGTCAAAAAATCATAAACCGACAGGATGCGACAGCACATACCCTCGAATAATACCGTCAAATATAGCCTTCATACCAGGAACTCGTTTGATTATGAATGGAGCTTTAGGTGAATCATATTCCACTTCTCCTTCATCATCATTTGCCAGCACCAATCTGTTCAGTACTGTGCCGATCCGCGAAAAGTGAAGCGGCGTCGCCCACAGAAAAGCGGGGGCAGCAAAAGCTATGGCGATGAGCGACATTTTCGGTGGACTTCTCCAGAAAGCTACCACAAGCAGTAACACATTCAACCCCAGAAAAATACGGGCAAGATGGAACAGGGGGGCAAAGCGCTTCATTACAGCCGCACCCCGAGCGCTGATGGCAACTTCTTGATCCTTCAGGTGGTCAACGGCGACAGCAAGAATGTCACATGTCACGCATACGGTGATCTTTTACACTTTGTGATCAGAAAGGACTGTGGAATCCGCAAACAAAGGGCTTACCGGCCTCCAGTCAAGCCGTCCAGCGATCTCGTAGGATAGGAGGGATGAAAGAACAGCACTGGTGATCGCCACTATAATGGGCTGTAGGACCACAGAGGTAATGAAGGTTGAAATCGTGGGCGTAGACATTCTCGTCGAAGGTAGGTTCTCCGAGTTCGCAAGTCCGCTGAGAGGGTGTACGGTGGAGTTGAGGCCCTGTAAGTGGCCTTTTATCATTCCTAAGAGCTTCCGAGAAACTCCAAAATTGGAGAACGTTAACGTACCTCAGTTACATCAGACAAAGGTCAAGACCTCCAGCACCGCTCGACAATAGCTGTGATGTCAGTCTTCCGGCGACTATCAGTCCGGTTGAGCTTTCCACAATATCTCCGTGTCAGGTTGATCTGACAGACTGGCCCTCGATCTCGCCCAAGCATGACTGATCCGAGCTGCTCGCCGACTACACCCATTCCTGCAGTCTCTCGCTGCCTCCGCCTCGCATTCAGACTATTGAAAGCCTAATGTTAAATGGAAGGACCTCGAAGACTCATCGAATGCTGGTGGAGTCTTTGTTGTACGAAATAGCGAACAGCTGTAGTCAGATTCCGGATGAGTGACTTTCCCGTACATCCGCCTAAAGCCCGCAAAATACCGGTATACACAACACCGAGATGTTCGGTTGAGTGTTTAAGTTCAGACCGTCGGTGCGTTTTTTTTTAGAAATTCACCCACAGATCATAATATAAATAAATCTCGGAGTCAATGTGCATTTTGGGCTGTGCCAGCGCTAAGCTTCATGGATTTCTGCACCTGGTATTGCATTAACCCAATAATACGCTGCGGCCTGCACAGTGGGTTTTCAAAAACTCTATGTTCGGTCCCTCGGAGGTCAGTTGAGTTCAACGCGACCGCACGGTGTTTAGATGAGATAACAAGCGAAACTCAGCGGCCATCAATTATTGGAAACACTCAGCACCACACTCAGGCCCGGCTCGGAGGATCTTGAGCAGCACCTCATGCTGAAACGGCGTTATCACACAGCACAGGGCTGCACAAGGCAGGCCGCTAGTACAACGTACTTGGCATCATTTAATAAATTTATTCATAGCATCGTGATGCCACGATTTAGCGAACCGACGATGCCAATACATCACTATATTTTACCGAGGTCCGAACCGAGCAAGATCTAGCGAACTACCAACGATGCCAGGTCCGAACCGAGCATCTAGCGAACTACATACCACGAGTACTGACAGGCTGTTCTCGGAGACATACATTAAAATGTACAGGATCATCAGGCACGGCGTCGAAGAAGTTCATGATATGAGCTTACATAATCACATCATTGTTTGCGTATGGGTTATCCCAAACTAGGCTGTAAGTATTCCCTAGCCTTCACACAATATTATACACATCCTCTATAACATTCAGACGCCCATTTATTCATATAAGTGTATGCGGCATTTACTCGCCTTGAGTACGAACAAATTGCTGAGAAAACAACGTCACGGACTCAGCAGGGCTTATCCCTGGTTTCATGCTATATTTAACGTTGTTGATGCTTGACCGGATTTGGCCACTACCGCGTCAATCAATCCCTTCGCATGAGAGCTGCTCTACAGGATAGGATCCTTGTACTGATCCTGCTGTACAGAGCCAAAGTTGGCTACCCAATTGTAGTATTCCTGAATTTACTTTTGAACCCAATCACGTAGCACTATCGTTCCCTGGTTTCTAACCCCCCTAAATCAAAGTGTTTTGAATGTTTCAGTCCCATTAATATCAAAGTACTGCCTGTAAAATCGCTGAGGCTACTCAAATTTGTCTGAAAATATAGAAACCTAGTAGACTACGGATAAAAAGTTTAGGGATTAGTACTACATGGAAAGTTTAGATAGTCTAAATTAAAACGGGGATGCTCTGCGACAAGGTACCTATAGAACCATGCGAAGATCTGATTATCCTCGCTTACTAGTCTCACACGCAAAGAACGAGGATATAGCCGGCAAAGCAGGGACTCGGCCGCAAGAGGCAGAACGACCCCATGAATTCGGGAAATTTACAACTCCAAAGCATCAAGTACGTATCATACGACGCCACTGAGTGTAACGAGAGACAGGGTGGGTGCGCAAACTCCTGCTATATTAGCGAGACGATAAACTTGAATGAGAAAAGGCAGGAGCCATTTCGAAAACGTCTTGCTAGACAACCACCGCAATATCTCCACTAAACAGGAGGTGGCAATGAAGATTGCCTGGCAGCGGCAGGTTCGTGATGCCGAATTCCACGAGGCAAGGGCTGCAGGGGAAAAGGTTAAGATAAAGATATAGGAAAGAATGAATAGGATCTGAAAGACTGCTTACCCATGTGTAAACCAATTAGACTGGATTAACCGACACCGGTGGTGGTCAAATCAGGAAAGGTCAAGCATTTACTCTACGAGGAGATGGCGTGCACACGCAATGTCACGAACTCAGTGGCTCTGCGGAGGTGATGCCGTTTGTGTTTCTCCTCCGCAAGCCGGCACGATCGGATGGATACCCTAGGCCTGGTAATCCTAGAACGTCGTTGTCAACTCCGACTTGACGCATACCTCGTTGCATTGGCTTCTACCCCTGTCCTCTTTGTAGTAACTAGACCAGTGTTCTGTGCCAAAATGGTTGGCTCCAGTGGGATGTTTTGATTTTCTGTTTTTGTATCAGCCTGATGAGCACGCGAGGACGCACAGTAGCTTTGAAAGCTCTATTCTCGATCCCTCGGAGGACGCGCTGTAAGCTAAAATAAGAATCAGAAACTCGAAGAAGAGGTGGAGAGGTTAAACAAGGCCGCACTACATTTAGACTAGGGTGCGGCCCAGCTGAATTTTACCTTGCTCCGTGGCAGGCGGTGTTCCCTCAGCAGCTTGTTCGTGCTCGAGGCGAATAAAAAACACTATGCTGGACTCATACGAGTAAACCAGATGTCAGACTGTGGGTGGGTGTGTATGACATGATGTAAAGGCTAGAAAACACCAGCATCACGCGATGTGACAACAGCGTGACCGTCTGCTCAATAATTATAAAGTATTTATATACCAATCTATATCAGCATATGTACCCTTCCTCAGCGCTCAGCTTTTACGCGCTGCAAAATTTGAGCTCAACGAGATTGTCGAAAAACATTTGCGAGATTCGCTTTCCTCCCTCCTCAATAAATACATCACGTGACGTTGGTGGTGTTTGACTATCAAGTTCTATCCTTAGTTCACTTGGGTTCCGAGCCACTTACGACACTGAGTACTGAATACTGATTACCGACAGGTTCACGACTCCTTTTTCGTAACCACATCCCTGGCGCCGGTAACTTTCGAAATCATCACACGTTATCAGTTCCGCATCAACATGTCGTTCAACGTTCAACGTTCAAGGGCAATCAATATGCCCCGTGCACAGCGACAGAAGCAGGATTGGCATAGGGTTTGTATTCTGTTCCGGTCAGTGCATTAACTACATTAGCTGTATCCAGGCATAAGCAAGACCGTTTCGAGGAGCTTTTCACTCCAGATCATCAAGATTTAGATGGGGAAGTCAGTGAACGGCTGACCCGCTTTTTCCGTGGGACAGCCACGGGCCTCCGTGTTCTCTCTCTGATAGTTACAGTATTCGTGCCCGACCTCGGGTCCCCATGTCCAGCGGCGGACTGGGAAGTGCAACAAATTCTTTGATATATCATTAAATTGGCCTGACGATGAATATCGGTGAGTGTGTTTTGTTTTCGATTTTCTTAACACGTCCATGCACTTGCAGCGTTGGTCGTGCCCATTTAATGCAGATCTTGGAGCAGAAACTAATTTTGAATCAACGGGGACAAATTCACATCGACCTGTACGCTATCAGCTCGCCTATTTCCTCCTTTGCTATGGGACTCGTGGCGGCAACTCCCTGCAAGCTCATAAGCCATGGACTGGTTTTGGAACTGTGGAGTGTGCGGGCACTACCGGGCCCGGTACTCGTAATTGCCCAAGCAGAATGTTCTCCGCCGTGTCCATATGGTACAACATAGCCATATGATGGCTATTCCTGCTGTTGATGCTGGACCCACTCAAGTAACATTGCGGAGCAAGGTGATATCTAGAAAGGAAAGCGCTGAATATATAGTTTTTCACGTACAATATGTGAGGGACCGTGTGACAGTTGGCTCCACTTCGGATGTGTAACGATCTCTGAAAGACACTGCATACAATAGATAAATGAAAGCTAACGTGGAAAGTTGATGTAGGATATATGGAAGGCGTGCCGTCAGAACTCGTGGTTGAAGACATCGTTCTCGCCCTGCAATGCGGCAGTATCGTCATTCTCCGCCGTTACATGCCCATTGCCTTCAACTTGTCTCCCATATGTGCCACCGGCTGCATCTTCTGGCACCTCCAAATCAACACTTGATCCTGCTCTGCGTGAGTAGGTCGACTCTAGATCACCGCCATCGTCAGGTGTAGAGCGATTCCTTGACTTCTTCTTTCGTTTCTTCTGCTCGGGAGCATTATATGCATCCTCCGTTCTCGCCCACCTATCTTTCTTCTTTTTCTTCTTTCGCGCTGGAGCGTTTCCTGCACCAGGAAATGTATCGTTGAAGTTGGCTGGGTAATGCCAACGAGAACTCCCTGATTCGGCTGAACGCATGCTACCTTCACGTTCAGGGTTGTAGAATGATTCGTCATCAGGCTTCCAGAGAGCACTGCCATTGGCTGGCTTGGTGGAGGGATCCTGTGTTGTTGAACGGCTTGACGCAACTTGGCCTTCCTCCAGAGGCTGCTCATCTAGAGCAGAGTTCGGATTACGGTCGTTGTATCTCCCTGCCCACTGGGAGCGCTGTTCATGACGCTTGATGGTTGAAGTGTCGACAAGGCCATAGCGCTGGACCCACTTGGGTGTGCGGCGGTGATTCTTGTTATTCCTGATATTCTGCATATTCAAAACACGTCAGCACTTTGATCCACAAAACAATGCAGCTAGTGCTCCTATTACCTGTATGTAAAAATTGTGCACGTGTCCTGGGACAAGGAAGTTAATTAAATGCAATTATAACTGTTGTGATTACAGCGCATACCTGGAATGTATCCACAAATCGTGAGTAAGAGATTGAGCCAGAAGTCCTTCCCGAGACCGAACCTTGCTGCTACCGCTGCATTCAAATGGTGGTTTAGCACTCTGGTTCCACGAGAGCATTCCTCACGACAAGATCAGAAATACACACCTAGTGGGGGAAAGAGTGTCCCCATAACGAAGAGTATGACGGCGTACACATGATACCGTTTGACCTTTGGTCTCGCCGGTTTGTTAGTCTTTGCAGGCATGATGGCTCGCCGTGGCCGGAGTTCATGAAAGGGAGTAAGAGGCACAGCCGATGACTTAGCGAGTGCCACTTGGTGTTGCTGGGCCGCCGCAATCTCCGAAAGAGGAAACGACACGTGAATGATGCCGTTACCTAAACAAGCGTCACAACATCGTGTTCAAGCACCGTCCGTTATTGGGCTTCAAAGCTTCAACGGCAACCTCGACCATCCATACTGTGCTCATCGGTGAGCGCGACGTGTATACATCTCGGTGAGTAATGGAATTGTTAGATCTATTTATTTAGGTTCAGTGTCTTCGACAGGAATCGCATTTTGACTTGTTTCGCACTAGGTCTACACTCCGTGCGGGAGGCGCTTTACAATTTACAGTATGGACCATGATGAAAATGAACCGGTGCTCGACCTCTCAGATGTAGTACATGATGAACCTTTGGGCTCAGATGAAGAACAGATCCATAGTGGAGATGAGGTCGACGTGAACGCCCCTTCCTCATTCTCCGATTCATCACACCACGGACATTCGCCACACGATGGCGTGCCCCTTTCCCTCGACCCGTCTGTATCTCCGGAACACTTCTCAGTAGAAATGCTGGAGCGCGAAATCGCCAGTCTCCTTCACCAGAATGCGACCGCTGCATCTGCTGCACTCCTGAGTGCTGCCGCACAGCAACGTCAGGCGCAGAACGAGCAAGACCACGATCCCTCCATTCCGGATTCCGCTCCAGATGACTCACAGAAAGTCAGCGATACTACAAATGCTGGCGATGCTATTTCTGGTCTTGGTCTTAATCTTCGCAGTATCACTGCCATGCTGCAAGCAGCACATGCACACGCTTCGTCCAATGAGCGCCATGCTGAGTCTTTAAAGCTCCACGATGCGGAGCTTGAACATAGTCTACGTACGACGCGTACCGCCCCCGCGTTCCATTCTCTAACGGCTGGCGATGCCGATGACTATATTGTGGATGGTCCTCGAGACTTGGGGCCTCGGGATTTGGACCTCCTTTACCCCACACAAGAGATAAGGAATGACGACCATAATGACGACCGAAATGGGAGTGATACTGCATGTTCACCACAACACAAAACTCGGACGGATGTACCAGACGCCCACGAAGGCGTGCCTGGAGAGTTCAATGATATCAGTGACATATTGAATCATCTTTCATCACACTTTGACACCGAAACAGAATCGGATCCCACTCACGGACACCTCCAGGTACCATCGACCGAAAGCACTTCCCCAATATCTCGTTCTCGTACCACGCCTGCTCAGTCACCCGTGCGTTCTAGCCAACCTTTACCCGGCCCATCGCGCCCCACTCCGCAACCCATTGCCTCTACATCGACAGCACCAAAGAAGTCTCCCGAAAATAAGAAGTCAAAGAAGGGGAGGGACAAAGAAAAAGATAAAGAGCAAAATGTCGAGAAGGAGAAAACAATAAACATACACGCCTGTGAAGAACCACTGTGTCGCAAGACATTCACCCGGAGGAGCGATCTCGCGAGACACATGCGGATCCACACCGGCGAACGACCGTTCGTTTGTAACCATGGCGGATGTGGGAAGACGTTCATTCAGGTTTGTATTATTTATCAAATTACACGCAGTGTCTTACAACTTTCCGGGCACGTAGCGATCTGCATTACACGTTCATCAACGGGTACATACAGGCGAGAAACCGCATTCTTGCGAATATCCAGGGTGTGGAAAGACCTTCGGGGACTCAAGCAGTCTCGCACGGCACCGGCGAACGCACACAGGAAAACGACCTTACAAATGTGAAGATCCAGAGTGCGAGAAAACGTTTACACGTCGCACAACGCTCACTCAACACATGCGAACTCACGATCCAACATGGGAACCAGATCCTAACATGTGGGTATCCAAGCTTAATGTTGTATTCACAGATAATGATTGGATGGCACAGAAAATATAATTTTAAAGCCAAAAAACAAAAAGTTTCTGATACAACAGGGGATCTCGAGTTGGAAGAATCAGTGCGCACTATTTCTGCGCTATTCTCGCAAACTGGTGGCATCGCAACCAGGCCCCTGGAGGCTAGTGCACCGGGTGAGCCGCTTGAAGCCAGAGTGGCAAGTATCAGTGCAGAGATCGCCGCTGCAATTGCCCAGGCATCTTCGCGCGCGCTAGATGAGGACGAAGATGAAATGGAGGAAGAAGAGGGGGTTGACGATGATGATGGCTGGTGCTCTGGGCATGAGATCAGGAGACCTGAGACCATCGTGCCTAATACGAGCGGGATCAGAGGCAGTGGTAGTGACGACAGTGGGAAGGGTTTTGTAGGCGTGGAAGACAACGATGAGGACAGTGACACTTTTCCTATCCCACTACGGACACGCAAGGGTAAGGAACCGGTTTCTTTGGTAGGAATCAAGAGGAAACGATGATCAAGCTCCTGTCGGCCGGCTCGTGTATGTATTGATATTCTGCTTTTACGTATCTGCTGTATAATCACAGGGAACTCATTCACGTTTGGGGTAGTAGGTACCGGATACTGTGAGAACAATTTGCTGAATCTTGACGACGTTCACTGGGAAGCGAATCCACCATCAAGGTACTTATTAGTGCTGTCCGTTTCCATCCGCACAACAGACAGGCAGATATAGCGCTTAAGTATTGTGAAACATTTCCATGTTTCCTCGCTCACACTTTACAACACCCTACCTAGAACTATAATGGCGTCGGTCTCAGAACAACCTCCTAGCACGGACTTGATCACCTTGAGCAGGTGAGCGCGGATATGTTCCGGTGCGAGGCTAGAGATTGACGCGCTTCGCAGACATGTGATGGACGACCAGCTGCGGCTGGGAGCAGCTGCCACGGGAGATCTCACCCTCTTGCTCATCGCTATCCAGGTGACTAGCAAGTTCATCGCGACCAATGTGCGAAAAGCCCGGCTCATCAACCTGTATGCCATTTAACTCCATCCGCGTTAACACCCCTAATATCATCTTCAGTGTCGGCCTTGCTGGCGAGACCAACGTCCAAGGCGAGGAGCAGAAAAAGCTCGATGTTCTGGCTAACGACATCATGGTCAACGCCCTGCGGGCGTCTGGAAAGACCGCAGTCTTGGTCTCGGAGGAGCTTGACAATGCTATCATCATTGAGGAGAAGAACAGGGGAAAGTACTGTGTAGTCTTTGACCCACTTGACGGCAGTAGCAACATCGATGCTGGTGTCAACATCGGGACTATCTTCGGCATTTACCCTGTGGTGCGTCTCTTTCACAAGGGTATCGCCATTGCTCTGATTTGCTTTTGCAGAGACCGGACTCTGATGGAACTATTGGAGATGTACTCAGACCAGGGAGTGAGATGGTTGCTGCAGGATACACCATGTTAGTCGTCTATTTGACTGCCTTTTCAAATATCCTTACATCCATTTAGGTATGGTTCCTCGGCGAACTTGGTTCTCTCCACTGGGTCTGGTGTCAACGGGTACACCCTGGACGCCGCTCTAGGAGAGTTTATCCTCACTCACCCTGATGTAAGAAATGACCTCCTATTTAGCACCCATAATGTTCCTAATCTTATCTCCCCAAGATAAAAATACCTTCTCGTGGTAAAATATACTCCTTCAACGAAGGGAACTCGATGTATTTTTATCCTCCTGTGACCAACTACCTGAACTCGATCAAGTATCCGAAGACTGGTTCTCCTTACTCCGCTCGGTACATTGGGTCCATGGTCGCAGATGTGCATAGGACGCTGCTATATGGAGGAATTTTCGGATACCCTGACGATAAGAAGAGCAAATCTGGAAAGTTGCGATTACTATACGAGGCATTCCCCATGGCCTTTTTGACCGAGCAAGTAAGTGTTTCAGGATCAACTCCGATTAGTTCATTACTTACCGGATGATGCAAGGCCGGTGGAGTCGCGACTACGGGCACCATGCGTATCCTCGACATTATGCCAACGAGCATACATGAGCGGTGCTCTGTGTTCCTCGGAAGTCGGGACGATGTGCAGGATCTTACGAAATTCTATGCCAGTGAGAAAGCCTGATCAAGATTAGCAACCAGTGATATGTTGTTCAATCGAAGTATGTACTGCCTGCCATGTCCAATGGAATTAATTGTTACCAATCACTGCGTGGTTTTTGTGTCGAGACTTGAAGTGAAATTGTGAGTCACGCTTTCTCGGAGGTCGATAATATATCGCAGGCCCGGTCTTCTATCGAGAGTGCTGGCTTACAAAGCTGCTTACAAGTGCATGGTTGGTAATGCCCCAGTATTAAAGCCGAAAATGTCCTGCTTAGTGAATTCTTACGAAATTTTTACTTAAATCCTCAGGGTCTTCGGTGTTCGAATTTGACGAGAGCTGGACGAACGTGAAGTGACGCGATGGTTGCGCGATAGCACGCACTGTCAGTGGGAGGGTCGCGTAGAGCAAGGGCCCTCGACAAGACTCGAGTATTTCATATTGGCAACCATGACTTGGACTGAATCGGATATCGGCGCCGGTGGATCAGATGGTTCCTGAAATCACAAGCAAATATTGTGCTGTCACTGCCTTGTCAGAACCTAACTCGTCCCAATTATTAGTCAGTTCCTGTCAACGACAGCTTAGTGAGCACGCAATAAGTACCAGAAATCTTATCAGTCTATTTTTCAATCACAACCCCATCGTCGCCGTTAGCTGCTGTACACGCATCGCCATAATCAGACGCATAGCTCACGCCATTTCGACTCATTCATGGCTCCGTTGAATTTGCAAGGACTTAATCTTGTTCATACTCCTGCACCACAGGACGCTCATGACCTACTAGCTCCCCCGTCCTTCCCCGACTTCTCAGCCCACCTTGACCTGTGGACAAATCTTTCTTTCGAGACAGAGGAGCCCGTCGCTCGTAACAAGGGAAAGAGAAAGTCGGTGGATGATTCGGAAGATGACGCTCCCGCCTCTCCTTTAGGCCTGCCTACTCATGATGGCCATGAAAACGTCGTGCACCCTGCCAGCACTACCATCACTCCCCAGTCCCAAGTCCAAGCACCACAGCTTGACCTGAATGCGCTGTTGGCTGGATTTGGGATTGATCCGTTCTCACTCCCACAATTGGCACCCTCACCCGCGGAGAACGCGGCAGTCCCATCGCTTGCGCAATTGCTTGCCATGCATACTGCTCAAGGTGGAACTTACTCTATTCCCCCTCCTCCTCCCGTTGTACATGCCCAGCCTACCTCAGAGTCCGCTACTAAGCGGGCTCGTACTTTGAAAAGCTCAGGTACAGAGTCATTCGACCCTGCATCCCCGGCTTCGCCTACTGGGGAAGAGACCCAAGGTGATTACCCCAGTCCAGTATCCGCTGCTGAAGACAAGCGCCGCCGCAATACCGCTGCCAGCGCACGGTTCAGATTGAAGAAGAAGGAGCGGGAAGCGGCGCTTGAGCGACGGGCAAAAGAGCTTGAAGAACGTGTTGTAGAGCTGGAACGCGAGTGCGAAGGACTGCGTAGGGAGAATGGATGGTTGAAGGGCCTTGTGGTGGGCGTAACAGGCGCTAATACCAAATAGGGGGTCAAAGAACGGCACAACGCTGTTGAGCGACGAGTCTTCTGCTGAGTGGGGATTAAGCGCTCTCGGTGTTTGGCGCCGGTGACTTCTTGCCATATCCCTTCGCGAGGTGATGGTTTATGAGGAGCTCGACCTTCTATTGCACGAAGACGATGGAGTATCTTGTAGAGACCGCGGTGGCACGAAGTGGCGGGCACCATGAAGTACTCAATCAGGCTTTGTATTATTATCGATAATTTTTTGATTTTTTACTGTGCAAGTAGACGTTTCATGAACTCGTTATCGGGCTAGCTGCGTCATAGTGTGCAAATATTGTTATGCATGGGAAGTTTCGGAGCTTAGGCCTCGGGCGTGGACATGATGGCTAGCATGGTTGACAATCGTGGGTTTACAATCAGTGCATAACCGACATCATGGCGTATCTCCTATCGTATCGCATCCTGGATAATCCCCAATTGAGTTATTTCGAGGTATGATGACCGTAAGGACTATCTGTTCCACTAGCGGCCGTTTATTTGGCCTTGTTGAATTCAGAAGTCCATACCTAAAGTAGATGTTTATCGTATTTCTCGATTTAGTAGCACTGGTCCGTGCGCTGATTCAGAAGATATAAAAGGGAGCTGTGAACGAGTTGAATCCTTACCACTCTGGCCTTTTGGCTTAGATCAAGTGTAGTATCTGTTCTTAATAGTTTAACCACTATTATGAGGGCACCGCCCTCATTCTTTGGTTATCAAATTTTTGCCGCCCTTGTTCTCACGAGCTCTGCTTGCAACTCGAGGGACATGATGACCTTGCCACTGCACTACCAGCTTGTGTCGTCGGGGGTTCCTTTTTAAAGGAGTTCTTTGTCTCTTTGCTCAGCCGGTTACTATGTGGTCCTTTGACTACCTATGGCCCTTAGCAAACAGATCATAGACTCTTGGTAGATTTATAGTTGAACTTAACATTTGTTGCAATAAATGCAGTCGGCTCTTGAAATTAACGCATCATTGTGCTGCGGGATAGTGGTGCCACTTGGCGCTAGCGGCGAGTGTGATGAACCGACCGGGAGGGTTTCGCAGCTCTTACCACCATCGTTCCTATAGCTATGGGTACAGAGCTATCGCTGTGGCTCAAGTTCCTCAATCAAGTATGCTCCCAGTGTCTCGACCAAGAGCAAGTGCTGAATCCAATTCCTACAGACGTCCATAATCGTATGCACCTTGACTACTGCAGCCATTCTCCATACCCGCTCAGCGGGTGTCATATATTTCGTGACCGGCGCAGTCTTATGTTCAGCGCTTGCCAAGTCCATAAAGAAGGCAATACGGCAGGAACGCCCATTGAAGGACTCTGGACGCAAAGTGACCTATGGGTGCGTTCCATTTCCTGCGACCCATATTGTCTAATTGCATCGTCGACGCGCTCCTGCAGGATGCCTAGCTCACATGCATCCGCCTGCACCTTCTTCGCTGCATATATTACGATGGCTTGCCTCCAGCTACCCGTTCACCCTACATTTCCCAGTTCCATTATGTTCGTTCCAGTGGTCATCTTACCATGGACATTCATGATAGTCCTGTCACGGGTTCAGCTGGGCCATCATACATGGCCGCAGGTTGCAGCAGGAACAGCCCTCGGAGTCTGCTGTGCTAGCTTCTGGTTCAAATTATGGGTGGATGATGCGGCTGGCGTCAAGACTACTGCTTGGGAAGTCGAAGCGATGGTGAGATCATGGCTTGGACAATGATCTCAGGAGCACATATATATCCGTTTCCTACGCTTGGAGATGATTCATTTCATGACTGGTGGATCAGGCAAGCAAGTGACTTGTCCTTTGCGTTTCAATCTTGCACTAATTTTGTTTCGGAAAGGTTTTTTAGATGTACAGTGAACCTCTTCACAATTGTTGTTTCATCGTTTCCTCGTTCTTGTCGTCAAACAGAGTTGTACAAGTCAGCATTGTCTCCTGCAACAGTTTCCGGAATGCCACCTGAAGTCCTAGATATGAATCACCCTCTAGATGTACGCCTACAAGCGGAATATTGCTATGTAGTGCCCTTATTGCTATAGGTAGGAATAAATTAGACTACCTGCTGTCTTCAATCGAGCATAGTCGTCGATCCCTCACATTGAACATGGATAAATATGCATAACGTCTTCATGACTATCTCTACAAGTAGGACAACGATTACATGAGCTCTTGGCGACTAATTTCATGTCGCGTGACCGACGCGTTACGTGTGACGCGCCTCCTTGAAAGCACGCAGTTTCGTTTCTCATATTTCTTTTCACTCGTACTTTGTCCAAAATCGAAGATGAGCCTGCGCCGATTTGCACAGGCCAACAATGCAGCAAATACTCCAGGATCACCACTTCCTTCGTCGCCTAGGTTGAATGGTGCAACTTATACTCCAGTCACACCCCGCCCACGCGTGTCATATGTTCATTCTCCATCTTCTACTCCTTCCATATCTTCCTCTACGCCATTCGACTGGGATGCTGCACGGTCAAGGAGACCACCGCCCTACGCTTCACCTCTCAGCGCAAAGCGTAAATCTCGCACGAGTACCATCCCAGATGGGCTCAGGCCACTGCCAAAGAAGGTTGTGAAAAAGAAAGGCATATTTGAGAGGTCGGTGATTGTTTCGAGTGTTTGCGCATAGTCAATTGACGACTTAAATGCACCCGTCATCGCACAGAATCACAGCGTTCCCTTCACAGATTATGTTCGAGATCTCACTATTTCCTCACAACGTACCCATGCCGGCTCCGAGAACGACCGGATGGCTCATCGGGTCTAGCATGCACCTGCTGCACTTTTGTCTGCGTGTATCTCAGATACGTGCCACGGTTGACTCGGACATCGGCTGGGAAGACTTGTATTGGGAACGTAGCCAGCAAAGCTGGTTTGACTGGGTAAGCTACGCTCGACACTGAATCTTACCTGTTCTTACAGATCTCTCGCAGACCGTTCCAATGACAGGCGTTCTCTTGGTTGCCTCGACGTTGAATGCAATGCACCTTTTTACGCAAAGTAAAACGTATCGCCTTCATCGTCGAACCAAGGCGGACCCCGTTTCCTCGCCACACACCACGTTTGTAACCTCTCCTGCACGTGTCCGACCCCTTTCTTCCGACGAGCCTTCCCAGATGGCCTCCTTCCAAACGCGCATCCTGCGTGTGATAAAAGTCGTCATCATTTTCCTATGGACATGTTTCATCTCCTTCTGGAAATTCCTGCTTGGCATTTCCACTCCCACGCCTTCATCATCTTCACCCGCCCGAGGCGCACCTGCAGATCAGATTCAACAGCTTGAGGTCTGGACTCCAGGAGAGCTTGAGCGTGTGCTTCTTAGCGTATATTCTCCTGTCCATGCTCTTATATGGATGTCTACGGGTCCTACGAATTGGATGCTTATGACTGCTGTGATGGGTGCCGTGGGCGTGCAAACTAGCCTTCTCATACAGGCTTATGAAGGTCTCGTGAAGGATCGTGCTATTCTTGCAGCTGAAGTCATGCATGAATATAACGAAGGGGTGAGTTATCGTCAGGTCTTTGGTAGGACGTCTCCCGCTAACATGATCCTTATCTCAGTTCGTCTACCCGCGAATGAATGTTGTGAAGAAAGACGTCGCTGTCATGACGCATCAATCTGAGATGATAAATATCTGGGAAGACTAGCGATCCCAGATCATCATCTCGAAAATAGCTAGAGTCAAGTCATCCATGAGAAAGTATACCTGCATGTAGATTGGACTATCATCAGTACATTCACCCTAATATTCTGGACCTATCAATTAATATTAGTGCCCGAGACCTGATATACATATTGATCTGTGTATTTTATTCGTACCAGCTTGTCCCCAGCTAGTACCAAACCACTCGCATATTATTCATCTACGTTACTCACAATTCCGTCCTTTAAGCTCGTTGATAATCGAGCTCCATTCATTTGTGCATTAGTCTTGATTTAAATCCAATAAGATGTGACTGGAAACTACGTGTTGAAGTTTGGCTGGAACCTTATATATAACAAATTCGCGGTGTGAGCGCTATAGTGGCGCTTGAGCCATGGAGTAAATATTATACCCTTACGAAAGACGGGAGTTCTAAAGACTCATCTCGAAGGCGAAAATTAGGCATGCACTTATGCTGCCATCGACTATGACCAGCATATTCACGGCCAGCTTGGGGTTATTCTCACTAACTCTCATATATATCTGCTACCACGCAGCAAACCTGACAGTTTCTCCACAAGGATGCCGGATGTCTTGGATGTCTCCATCTTACCTCCTCCAACACGAGTTCAACTCCTCATGGACGCCATTAGCACACCGGTATTCGCTCTGGTTATACCGCGAGGTGGGATGGGATTCCAACCAGGTGCGTGTCTAGTGACCACTCCATTAACTGCAATCCGGTAACTAATGCTCAAGGACTCTAAACGATTGTCTCTGAACCTCGCTATTGAACAAGGTCATGGGTGTACCAGTTCTGTTCATTCCCGGAAACGCTGGCTCGTCGCACCAAGTCCGCTCCATCGCGTCCTCTGCTACAAGACAATATTTTTCGTCTCCTTTTGTCATCTCCAGCGACTTTACGGGTCGTGGAATTCAGTCGCTGGACTTTTTTGCTGGTAGGTTCAATTTCAATTCACGTAGCTCAAACCGGTGTCACCATAAGCTACCACACGTCAACAGCTTGCTGACGTGTATCCTTTTTGCAGTGGAATTCAACGAAGACCTTTCGGCGTTCCACGGACCTACTATTGAGGCACAGATCGAATACTCCGCTGCGGCGGTACGTTACATCCTTTCGCATTATCCCCCTAATACCCGAATTATCGTCATGGGTCATTCGATGGGGGGCATCGTAGGGACAGCTCTTCTCCCATCTGACGATATATCTGCATTGATAACCATGTCCACTCCCCACACGCTACCCCCTGCACGCTTCGACGCACGTGTAGATGAGATATATCGACGAAACGCTGGAACTTTGGCGAATGACTCGACGCCCGTCGTATCGATATGTGGAGGGGCTACAGACATGATGATTCCCTCTGAATCTTGCATTCTGCCAGATCCTGGTCCCGAACGTGATATATATCGTCGTACAGTCTTCACATCTGCACTAGAGGGTGCATGGACTGGGGTTGGTCATCGCGAGATGGTGTGGTGTCATCAGGTGCGATGGCGGGTTGCTCGTGCTGCCCTTGAGCTTGGAGAAGCACATTCCGATATAGACATTGGATGCACAATAGACACCTGGCTTAGTAGAGATGGCCGTCTCTTTCCTCCCGTAGCAGGTACAGATATCCCCGAGGCAGCGACTTACGAGGTTCTCCCCGAGGGCATGGATTTGGTCACGAGAAAACCCACTGGATCTCGGACATACCTCCTCCCTATACCGCGTGCTCTTGAAATGAACGCTACGTTTGTCTTGTTGGTATCACGAGGTAGCATATCACCCATCGCACCCCACCATTCGAGCAAACTTCAGACAGCACCTTTCTTTTGTGTTGGACGTGCGACATCGCCGACAATACAACAATCTACAGAGTCTGTGTCGTGCGTACCGCTCGAGCCCAGTACTCTGAAACTTTTGCCAAGTCCTATTCCGGGAAAGCCTTTTCCAGTACCAGATGAAGGGTCCGATGAGAGCGAGGGCGTCGTCCTTTTCGAGGCCACAATACCACGTATACCTAGTGGTGTGGATAACGCTTGGATCGGTGTTCATGTTGACGCTGCCGGTGAAGATGGTTGGGTTTTCGGAGGATTTGACGAGACTCGAACTTTTCAAAGTGATATTGGTGTCTTTGGTTTGTTTTCACATTCTTTTCGTTTCACGCTCTTATTCAATTGCAAGATAGACATTGTTGCTGGTGGTGCAAAGCTTTCGCTGCAACCTACCGAGCGGAATCTGGTGCGAAGGCACATTACCTTTACAAAGTTACTCTCGAACGCGCTCGTGGTATACGCACTCACTCCAGAATCAGTGCGTCCCACGACGTCTTGTGCACGTATGTTAATGGTGCTACAGTGATCAAAGATATTACTGATGATTTTTCCGACGTAGATTCTCTGTCATTACTTCCCCCGCTTTTGGTGCACAAGTCTCATCCAGCAGAAACTCATTATCATCGCCTAGAACATAGGACATCAGCAACTCTCCATACACACGCATCAGCGCCATACATACCCCTCTCACGGTTTTCTCCATCCTATAGCTCAGAGCTCTGGATATACGCGGTCAGCACTGGCTGCGAAGATGTCAACGAATTTACTTTGACTATCGACTGGTGGGCAACGATCGGGAGGATTGCTACGAGGTATCCTACCACCCTGATAAGCTGGGCTGTAGGTGTGGTTGTGCTGTTGATGTTCCACGCATGGCGCGAGAGCGGGAAGGGTTCAATGCCGAATGTGTCACAATCATTGGTCGCCTTCATCTGTCACCTCCTGCCTAAACTGCTTGTTGCATCCTTCGTTGTAGCCCTATTGCCCTTGAGCCCCGGCTACTACTTAGGAACTCGAGGGGAGCCATTTCTCGCATTCCTTGCGCCAGTCCTGCTGGTTGTTGCCACAGGTCTAGTATGTGTCAGCTGGTGGCTCGTTTTACTCCTCATGTGGCCCTTGAGATTCCTCACCCGGTTGCTGCCACCAAAGTGAGCTACTATCAGTCAAGGGGACAGACTTACTGAAACATCCTGCTCTGCAGGAGTAGGCGATACGATGAACTGAGCATGCCGCGAAGCACCATTGTCTCTCTCATTTTCATTTGTTTTCTGGTGTTCGTGGTGGTCCCATGGCAAATTGCATTTATGGGATGCTGGTTGATTCACTTACACACATGTGCGAGTTCAGCGCATCGAAAGCCTTACCCTGGCTCTGTGCCTTCTCTCCGGAGCACACCCATCGAATCGCTTCCTCTGCGCGAGCGCCTTGACGGTCGCGAGGATAACACAAAAGGCACTGGACCCGAAGAAATAAAGCCTTCCGAAGAGCCTGAAATTCAGGATGCGTGCCGGGTTCGGAATTTGGCTACTGTTACCGATACTCTAAATGCTACCCAAACATACCATGAGAACACGCATCTCCTGTTACTGATAACTTGGCTTCTGCCTTTGTCGATGCCTGTGCTCGCGGTTTGGATGCGAACCCTGATGACTGCTGGGTATACTGCCCCTTTCAACGGCGATCACAATGTTTTCAAGGTTGCGCCGTTCCTCGTGCTTGTTGAGTTTGCAAGTCGCAGAAAAAGTGCTTTATCATTGCATCAAAAGTGAGTGTTGTTTGTTGCGATCGAGATTGAAATTCATTAATTTCGATCATAGTGGGGGATCATACCTTCACTGGGGATACCTCATTGTCGCCTGTGTGTCATTTTTGCTAGGTTCCCGAGAAGCATACAGGGTGTTCGATGTTGCAAGTATGTACATCGGGTGCGCATTAGTTGTAATATTCAGCCCTGTCCGTTTTGCTAGACGCATTGCTACATGATGATTCAAAGGCGATTTGTTTCGATGTTTGTGCTGTGCAGATATTCACTTTCGCTGTTAATGGAACGCTTTCACACTATGGAGAAGACATTGTCTGCTTCTATGGTATGAGCTGGCTCGGATACCAGCGCCCACTAAAGCCCGCCGCGGTCATGTCGCGAGAATTCAATAATTCAAAGAACTCCCATTGCTTCTGTTTTTTTAAATAACTCGAAAACGTTCGGTTCTTTCTACCGACCCTTTTTTTTCCCTCCCAATGTTGTATCAGTCCTTGGGGGGGATTGTTGGACAGTTATAGTGTCGAGCAAGGTATCAAGATTACGTGCGATGACACGGACCGGTAATACTGCACCTATACATGCGAATTTGGCCAGCGTTCATCCAGACGAATTTACGTAACAAATTTGTTATTGTGTATGTTATGAACAAAAGGCTGATGGTTGTTGTTTGGTTCCGCAAGTGGTTGTGCAAATAAAGGGATGAACGCAAAAGGCAAATCGAACATTTGGTTCAATTTTCAACTCGTTTCTTTCCTTCCTTCCATCCGTACTTGCGTTGCCCCCCAAACTCCAATATCAAACTTGTTTTTCAACCATACTTCCATATTCTGATCGCCGTTGTCATTTAGACGGCAACCCTTTTTGAATTTACCCACCTTTTTTTCAAGACGTCCAACCTGCGCGCACCAACGCATACCACCGTTTCGCCCTCAAGCTCAATTAGCGTACGAAACGGTGCAACAAGGATGGCAAACCCTTCTTCATCCCATCATGAGCGTGCCGAACGTGACCGCGAGCATCGTCACCGCTCAGAGCGACACCACCATCACCGAACCATATCCTCAACAACCCTTTTACTCGTTCTTTCCCTAGTTCTTGCAGTCCTCGCAGTCATGCTTTCACTACCCGCCTCTAGCAGTGCAAGTGCAAAGGCAGCAGCAGGAGCAGAGGACCCTGCCGCATCTGGACTCTGGGGTTATCTCACTCCCAAACGATCGCAAGCGCTTGTAGCTCGCGAGAGCTCTGTTGCTGGACGTGAAGCTGAAGTGGCGCGTCGCGAGGCAGAACTACTCGTCGGCGCGCCCGGTGGTGTGCTTCCGGCTCAGCAGTCCCCAATCGTTTGCCCTGTCTGCCCTACCGCCACCATCGTAGACTTTGCGCCTGCACAGACCATCATTAAAGAGGTCGTAAAGGAGGCAGACCTTGTACCCCCAGGGTGGTGGAAGGAGGCCAATGCCCGTGCTGAGGAGATTCTAGATCGCGAGCTCAGAATTGGCGACCGAGAACGCGAGATTACCCGCCGCGAGGAGAGTGTCAACAGAAGAGAGCATGATGCTTCGAGACGCGAGGCTTGGATAATGGAACAGCTTGTGTATGTGTCTTCATTCCGATTAGTTGTGATCGAATTACTCACCGGGGCTTTTGTACAGTCTCATCAACAACGATGGAGCCTCCCTCGAGGAAGAAGTGTTCTATGAGCCTGCTGTTAGCAAGCGGAAACTCAAGGTACCACCAATCGTCCCGCGCCGTCCCGAGCTCTGAGACGAAGGAGGATTTTCCGTTTATTTATGCCAATCAATAAATTCGGAAAATCTTTCTGCTTCATCCTGTGTAATAGTCTGTATCTCCTCCTTCGTCCGGGCTTGGGGGACAACGGTTTCATCTCGTCCCCCTTGTCATCGTGCGGTAAAGTGGAGACCAGTTGGTGGTGATGGCTGCTTTTGGATGCGACGCGATCGAAACACGCTACACGTGACGGCTAACGGCCATATCTTGATTTAATTTCTCAGTTATTTTCCATGCCACCAACTGGATCTCTCGTTGCCGCGACAGAACAGTGTTGCTGACTATGTTTTTTTGTTTGTTCCGCAGGAGCTTCCTCCCATGGTAATCGCAGAAACTGAAACAAAAACTATCATTCAATATGAAACTTTACCTGCCTCGACTGTCACGGTTCCCCCACCCGCCAATACCCGTTTTGCTGCATTCCCTACACCTGAAGTGTTTTCATCGAGCTACACCACTCAAATTCCCAGAACCACCGCCATCACTGTTGAAGAAGATTTTATTCGTGAGCCCTTGCGGGCTGAAGAGGTAGAAGAGTACGAGGTGGAAGAGTATGAAGATGATGATGTGAGAGCAGTCACACTTCGCCGCAATGCCCGGCCGAACCGGCGACCGCCACCAAATTCACGTGGCTGGTTGTGGTAAATGGACCTAGTTGCTCTTTTTTTATTATTCGTTTGACCATCTGCTTCATCTTTATTCCTTTTTTCTTCTTCATCGCTGCGTAGTTTCCCATAACTTCATTCTACTTCAGCTTTGGCATCTCCCTTTATGCACGACACGACAACTGACGGTTCATGGAGACTGCGTTTGATACGTACAGATTGAGACGGCCTATGACATTACGATGGGATACGCGTTGCTTTCTTGAGTATGTAGTATAGTATAGGTTAAGCTACGAACTTTTGACTACTTGTGTCCCCTGCTCTTGGAAATATACAATTTAGCGGCGGGTTTTCGCTGTGCATACTTTCTATTACTGTGGGAAATTTTCTGAAGCCTCGTTAAGCTTCAGTTCTTTGTGTTTTATACCCTTTGTGCTTAGACCAATTGATATATTTCAGGTGGAAACTCCTGAAGGGTCGCCATCTACATATCGCGTCATCATAGATCGATATTTCTCCAACCATCCTTAGTGTTTGCCATCATCAACTAGCAATTGCCTGCGCCTGTCATCAGGGGCTTTTGTGAGCGCCGAGGCAATTCCAGCGATGGCTCAATCACGCTGTATGGTGAGTTAATCAAAGTGCCACTTCCTCCGTAGCGTCCCATTTCCCCTGAGTTGTCATGTCAATGCGCGGGCTTTTACTTATAGCCACAATTTAGTACTTCGATGAAAATGGCACTGAACGCAATGGAGGTTGTTACTCGGGAGATCGATGCAAATTTGTTCATCCTGGAAACCCCGCTTGGGATACAGCCCCGAGTCGGAATGCTCCGAGAGGTCGCGGAATGGGCAGAGGTGGATTTGTGGGTGGATTTTTTTGGTATGCTTGTGATGATCGTTTTGACTGACCTTTCCGTGTCTTTCAGGGAGAATCGAGAGGGTCGTTTAGTCGTGGAAGAGGGCGTGGATCCGGACCTGTTAATCAATCTAGTTCATTTTCGGCGTCGGGATGGGATACTGGAGGAGGAACTGATAATAATGCACAGAATCCGAACTCGGGCTGGGCGATAACAAGTACAAGTACAAAAGGTAGACCGGGCACCTTTATGTGGCATATCTAACGTATCATGCACTTCAGATACTGCTAAAGAAGCCAATGTTGCCACTGCATCCCTGTGGGACACTGGTGACTCGTGGGGCACGGTCTCAGACTCAGGAGCAAAAAAATCTTCTGCAGGTGGATGGGGTGATAATGACACATGGGGTGGTAATGACACATGGGGCGGCAACTCCGGAACAAAAGATCAATCTGGAGGCGGATGGGGTAATACTCCCGGTGGCGACATGTCTTCTGGTGTATGGGGCGCGGCAGACACGACAGACACGACGCTGCGCGCACAGGAGAAACCTCGGAGCTCAAATGCAATGGACACGTCTACAAGCACATGGGGTGACACTCCCGGTGGCGGGTGGGGCAGTCCTGCGGGTGGTGCCAAATCTCCTGGTAGATGGGGCGCGTCGGGAACGACTGAAATGACGTCGGTTGCACAGCCGAAACGTAATGATGCCGACCAAGAGAATCACAGATTTAAACCATCACCAGTTCCTGCACCACCACGGCCTCCACGACGTGGCTCGCGAGTACAGGACGACGAGGAAGAAACGCGTCCCAAGATGACCGGGACGAATGATGTCCCAATGGTCAATACAAGATGGAACAAGAAAGCGGACACGACAGTGCCCTTGCATGTGGAGTCTTCTGAGCGATCTCGCCTTCCGCCGCTCCAGACGAGCGCATTAAACAACGCGACTCCCCGAGAGCCACAAGCTTCAGTGTCCGCCAACCGCTCTGAGGACGACCGAATGGACGTGGATGGTTGGAGGCAGGATGTAATACCAGAGAAAGTTCATGACAGGTCGCCTTCTACATCGACCGTGATAGGACCAGCTATCACTCGCAAGAGGAAATATGGAAACGCGGACCTCGAGAGGAAGCAGGATATATGGAAGGATTTTATCAGGTGCGTGAAGTTGCACATTCATGTCAAGCATTTCATTGAATCAATAATGCAGATTGTGCGACCGCGCCGTTCGAGCAAAAGTAGATCTCGCGAAGGCAGAGGCAGAACGTCAAAACTGGAGAAGGGCACAGAAGTCTACTAACTATTCCCGCATCGGCGAAGCTGGCCGCATTCGCCTAGATGGACATCGGACAGAGCTTGAGAAAGTTTGTGCTGGTCACTACGATAAACTATCGCAGGCGATCAGTGAACTTGCGGAGGTTGGAGACAAGCTGAAATCTGGCATAGACTATGAACAACGTTACGATATTGGAAACGAGGTGGCGCGCTACTCAAATGAAGTCGGGGCTTGGCTATCAGATATCCGCCCACTACTCATTGCCAACACCACCGAACAGCCCAAAGATACTAATCATCCTACTCCTCATGAAGATGAATCACCTGAAGAACCACCAGCTATTCCAGACAGTCTGGATCCCTTGCGATCTCGTCTGGACAAACAAGAGGAGCAACTCGAGGAACTGCGAACAGTGCTGACGCTCGAGTCTTCCAATGATCCTCTTGCTACTATCAACAACACAATTGACAAGAAGATAGATCTCTTGCGTAAAGATCGAGCGGAGGCCAAGGCCCAACGCACTAAGCTGCCTCCACCGAAGGTTGTCATACCACCCGAGGCAACAGGCGCTATAGAAGATGTTTCTCGTAAGGCGGTGGAACTGAGCGCGGCTATGGAAGCGCCTATCAATGACGTCGCAAATTTACTCATTTGTCAAAACGACATACAGAAAACACAGGCTTTTTTCAAAACTGAGAACGAAGAGCTCAAAAATTTGATAGTCAAGGTAGATCATTTGGCAGTTATGTCTGACATATCTCATTGTATCTCACTCCTTTAGCTCACCGAGACGTCCGCTGCTAATCGGAAACTGATCCAAGAACAAACCGAAGCCATTCAGCGTCTCAAGGTTTCACTCGAGGCAGCTTCTGAATCACAACGCGCTCCTGCACCCCCTGCCGAACCCCCAGTCAAAGTCATGTTCGACGACCTTCGTGCAGCAGTTGATGATGTGCTGCACGGTATTGTATCGCGCGAAGTCGTTCCTACGATAAATAGATTGCGCGATGATTGCTGGAAAGATAACCAGCACTTTCATAAGGAGGTGTTTGAGGTAATCTGGGATAAAATTGAGCCCAGCTTAAGGATCGCCGAAGCTGTCAACCGATGGGCGACAAGGTTAGAACTCCCTGCATCCTGATGCGTACCTCGTCAAGCCATCCATCCATTCGTTATCTACTTGCTTGTAAACATCCATCTTACCTGTTCAGCCTACACTAGTCGACATTACTCTTGGATCACTCGGTTACTTCCCTTAATAAGTAAAATTTCTGTACTCCAGTCGGCGTCGGTCAAAGGCTCCGGCCTGTATGCTTCATCGTTGTAGTTCACTGCCTTCAACGCTCTAAAACTACTGTTGCATTGACCCGACTATGAATCCACGTCCTGCAAAAATAAGGCGCTGTAACGTGCGTGTTGGCGGAAAACGCCCAAAAAAGTTGATTTAATTCTGCCTGGAGAACTTACTACATTTACGTCCCCCATAGCTCTGGGATGACAATAAGAAACCAAGGCGGGCCAGAGGGGGGTCGACTGGTTGTTGGAGGAATGACAGTGATTGTTTCTTTGTGCATCCGACAGAAAGAGAATGGGACACGGCTAAACCGTCCTTTCCTCCTCCGGCACACGAGGTTCTTGACAACGACAACGAATTTTGCTACGAGCTGGGCAGCAGACATAGGAGACCGAGTGGTTCTTCCGTGTTGTCAGAATTTCGCTCCGACCACCCTCCACCCACTAGCCCGTCCAAAAGTCCTCGAGCACATCGACAGGACAGTAGGAACGACAAAGGATCACGTTCACCCGCCACATCAGTGGCTGAATCTGACAAACTCGAAAAACTACGAAGGGACGGCGGCTATCACCGGCACATGAGCATAGCAGGTTCGTCATCGTCTTTCTCCAGACGTCGTACTCCCCCTCTGGATGATCGCGGGAGGCGCAGCGACCGAGCTTGCTCACCGAGACGATTATCCCCGCGGCGCCAAATGTCCATCACAAAGACCGTCATGCCACCACCACCACCACCCTCGCACCTACCACAGCCTCCTCAAGGGACTCCGCCAACGGATCCACTACCTCCTGTTCCTGTACCACCATCCTTCCTTTCTCTAGACATATCAGAAAAGCCGCCCGAAAAGTTTCAAGCATTATCAGGAGATGATCTACGCAAAGTCTGGAATGAAAGAGTGGAGTGTGTCTTTCTTTGTGTTACAGTTATTGACTTGCGAACTAATCGCCTTCCTCAGTCTACTTTTCGCATCTGTAAAGGCGCGCGAACAGTTGAGCTATGCAGAGGCAGACTTGAAACTGAATAAGCTGGGCGAGTCCTCGCGCATGACCAACGTGTCGAACGCTCGTGCCAGAGCGCAGACGGAGTTGCGGTGCCAGACGAAGAAGAACGAGATTTCCGATAGCATCCAAAAACTGGCTGCATCAGAATTCTGGCCGGCTCTCAAGCCACCTGATTTGCAGAGCGTGGAAGCCAAGTTTTCCGGCATGAAACAACAAATAACACAATTGAAAGATTCAGTCAGCGAGCTCAGTACATCTTTCTCTGCACTCCTCAGGTTAAAGCACCCTGCCACCGCCTCCAGATCAGGTGAACCCCCACTGAAGAAGCGGAGGTTAGAGGGAGAGGATGCCACAGCTGGCTCTAGTGAAGTCACCTTCTCACTCAGTGCCTTGGATGGCATTCAAACCCGGTTGAGCAATGTTGATAGCCAGCTACTCGACCTTCAGAATGACATTTTGCAGCGCAACACGATCCTGGGGGATGAGATTGAATCTCGCATCGACGCTCGGCTGGAAGAGGTGGAGATATTTCCGGATGAAGATGATATGAAACCTTCGTCAGCAGCTGTAACTGCTGTGGTGCAGGCTGAGACTGCCAAGGCCCTGGGCATCATCCATATAACCGGCCAACAGCTGGGAGAAGTGGCGCAGGAGGTTGCGAACTTGATGATACAGAGCAAATGCACCGACGACGAAGCTACGCGGTTAAGACAGGAAAATGAGCAGCTCAAAACTGAGATCATCAAGGTAAGGAGTGATTTTAGACTGGTGAAAATCAGGCTGACTAGTGTGCATTCAAGCTCAAGTCCTCGGCAGAGGCTGACGCCAAAGTGGTACAGCAAAATAACGAACAAGTAGAGGCTTTAGCAGTAGCTCTGCAAGCCTACATCTCACAAGCTCCACCACCACCTCCACAACCAGTTATTCCAACCCACGAATATCTCATGGAAGAGCTCGAAGACCATATTCTTTCCAGCTCTATCAAGGCCATTGAGCCTCTCCTGCGGGAGATGAAGGATGAGGTCTCCAAGATGTTAAATGACGAGAATGATGATATGTATCAAAATCTGTGGCCAAAGATCGAGCTTGTGTTACGCATGGTGGAGACGGTTAAGAAGGGTAGTAATATCATTTTCGAACCGGAGGAATAAGAACGTGTCACGGTTTACACTTCCAACATAATAGTGTAGTCGTATATCCCTACCATAGCACAGATGACATCCATTTGAATCCTTGTTGGCATTCGAGGTTAATGATATAGATATATCCACATAGTGCAACGTTCAGGTGTAGACGTACAAACACTCAGTCATATTCATCATCCTGTCTGAACGCTGCCGAATATGCCAATATAGTTCCATACACCAGTCTACACAGGAAACAGTGAGCCCTGAGAATGGTGAAATCGAAAAGAACGTACCCTCCACCGATGATGGACATTGCACAAGCGCCTGGTTTCAGAACCTCGGAATGGGTGAGAACGACGGGGAGCGCAAATCCAGTGACAACAATGATTGAAGTAAGGAAGCGGCCGAGGTCCACAGCACCCGTGGCGTTGTCACTTGAGGAAAATTCGTCTCCTCCGCAGTGGGCAAACAGGGCATTGGGCAGAGGAGCAAGCACGAACGTCAACGCTGAGAATACTTGGATAAGAATACCAATGAACGACACACGCATGTCATACGCACCAACTAACAACGGCAACCAATTCACCCATAGTGCACATGAGAGTATGATTAACAGGAATCCAACAGCGAGCACGAATGATAGCAATATTACAGCTACACGTGAATCAGCCACCACATCTCATACTCGTCAGTGATAATAACACGCACTCTTGAGCCCCGCTGACATCTTGGATATAAGGACAACAATGTTAATGAGGGTGTTGGAGGGAAGCTTGCAAGCGTAGCAGAAGTTCTTACCCGTGGTGCTGACGTAATCGCGATATCATGGCGGGCTCTTTGAATGCGCTCTTGACAAAAAGCGAATGGATGGATTTGTGCCTTTCCTTTAGACAGAGGTTAAAGCAGAAGTGATCCGTTCTCACTTTCTGTGGTAGAACTGCGCTGTCCGATGCTGGCATTTATTTCATCAACGCTCGCTTGATTACTTCAAGTGATGAGATTGCAATCAAACTATACTGTGTTAATGTCCGCCATCCTTTTATTCTCTCTGAACAAACTCCTAATCACTTCGTGATGCTCACCCATTTAAATACACCTCCACATCGCCTTGACCTCAAAATGAACGCGATATGCGTAGTGCAACGAAATATGTCAGGCGTCAGTGCGAAATGCGCGCGTGCGCATCGCTGCTCTGCACCGACGGCTCGTCGAAGTGCACATTCCAGAGACAGGCGAAGTTCAGTTCACCGAGTTGGACGGTCAACCGTAATTAATTTCCATTGCAGCCTGCATATGCGACGACGTTCAATGGCTGCCAAGGACTCACCCCCTGATGCGTTGTACTCGACCTCCGTACTGATGCATTCGCACACGATCAACTGTACACAGTGCTGTCCAAGGTGCGGAACCGTCACGACATTCCGGCATTGTTTTCAGGCACGAATGAAGAAAGGGAGACGGAGAACATAATTTACTCTTCATTACTGCTGCAAAGCAGGATGACAATATACGATACGACTGAGCCGTCTGCGGGCGAGCGGATTGCTTGTAAGAATGCGATGATATTCAATATGCAATCCTTGCACATTTACCCTCCCACTCCTGCCAATGCCTCATCATACCCTCCACGAGAAAATGTGCCACATCCTTCCTTGAAACCGAATAACCGCACTCTAGATCCTCTGCTTTCACTCTATATGCATTGCTTTCTTTACCTTCTACGTCTGCGCGACACTTTCCGTCAGTTAACAACGCAGGCCTGATGACAGCGATACTCTTAAGTTCTCCAGCATTGGGGACACGGCTCGTCCAGCCAGCACCGAGAATGTCATCGCCTGGGCTGTCTCTCGCATCCCACTCCCACCCAGCGCTATGGGCTATGACTTCCTCCGCGCCGCATTTGTTTTTGTGCGGTGCGGCTAGGATGTAGCTATACAGCGGTTTGAGAGGGAGGGGAACTGATTTGTGGGAGGCCTGCGTAAGGCCCGTGGAAGAAATTGTTATAATTTTTGGGTGTGGGGATGGGAGAGTCTCGAGAACGTTTATGAGAGATTGGGTGACGAGGTTTGGTGGGGTGATGGTGAGGCCTTTTGTTAGTGAAAAGCCGGGTGTCCCGCCTGATAGGTATATGGATGAGTAAAATCTCGACTAGCTGGAATTGGTGGAATGGGTTTATAGACATACCGACTGTGAAGATGAGAAAGTCGACTGGTCTGGTGTCGTCCCCAAGCTGAGCCTCGGACCATGCCCGGCGAACATCACTCTTCACGAGTGCATCGCCTTGAATAAGGTGGGCTTTACCTTCCTTAATGTAGGCTTGAATTGTGTCATCCTGATCGAATACTTGTGGTGATCGCAGGAGGAATGTAACAGTAGCGCCGAGCGCTGTTGGCATAGGATGTCAGAACATGTAGTAGGTGTCAGGAAAAAGGGGTTATTTTACCAAGGAGTCGGACAGCAGAGTAATACCCTATATTTCGCGAACCTCCGATAACGAGGACTTTAAGGCTTTCCATGAAGCTTGGTAAGTACAGCTGCGGTGGATAAGAGTGTTGAGTTGAGGATGAGGATGGGTAACTTGAGCCTACTAACGAGGTACTTTTAAGCGATCGCACCCCCGGTGATCGGGTGGAATCCCGGCGATCAAAAATAGCAAGGGTGGACGCGCGCAGTTCTCCTTAGTGCCATTTTGTCAGGATACATGATCAGAGGTGGGCCATTGGTACTAACATCCCCCATCGCTGACCGCAGGACTTCACGCTGCCGCTGTGACTTGCCCGAACCTGCTTGAGGGGGCTCTCTGGCTAGAAGTTAGATTAGCTGATCGTCTCCAACTTCCAGGTCAGACCTTGTCAATCAGCACCTGTATCACTGGCAGTGCAGTATCTTCGTGATAGTTGGACGTGGCGAATGCCCTTGAAACGCGTACGCGCATCATGTGCCCAGGATCTATGGTTATGGTTACCTCTGATCCAGCACTGCGCTGCGCAACAGAGTCCGTGAATTCCAGCATTTCAATCTACACAGCCCGATCTGCACCCTTACAATAAAACATGTTCAACATAACATCTTGTCAGTCCCGTGCCTTATCGCGCAACATATCATCTGACAACAATACATTGATGTGTCCCAATGGCGGTGACATTGAGGCAGTGCTTCGCAACAGGCTATGCGAATCATTGCAAAAGTATGAAATGCCTTGCTCTTCTTTAGTCTCGCAGCCTTTCTGTAGCATGCAAGTACCGGCGAAAGGAAGTTCGTGGTACGTATTGAATCTTGAATCTTGATGGATGACGTAGAACTGCACGGACTCCTGCAAGACTACCGAAGCATAATGAGCAAATGCTTGATATCAATGGTAGAAATGCGTGGATTATTGGAGCATGGCAAGTATAATGAATGAATAATGATATAATGCCTGACCCGTGGCTATCTGAGTCGTCTGGACGGATTCCGAAGGGTATTTGGCGGTCTATCTACCAACGCCCCCATCGTCGGCAGTCCGGATTTCAGAGTAGCAGGTTTCTTTAAGACTTTGGAAATTGCAGGAGGCGCGATGGGTATTTCAGTGAGCGTGGCCGTGGAAGAAGTTAAAGATGACAACGAGACTGCAGGAGGTGAGGGTGGGACTGGAGCTTGTGGTTCATCTGACCACTCGTTGATTGGTGTGTCGACTTTCATTTGCTCTGGAACGGTTTCTACAGGAGATTGCGGGTGCTGCAAAGGGGGAGGTTCGGAAGCATGCCTTGATGACTCCCCTTGTCTCCGCGACTGGAGGATCGCATCCCGGCTCTCCGTCAGCTCCCACTCATCCACGTATTCCCATGCTCGTTTTCGCGGTGTCATGCCAGTCGGAATGTCCTCATGGGTACCTTGATCAAGCAGTGACCGGGCTGTTTGGTGCAGTGAGGTGAGCCTCGAAGTCGTATTATTGCCGTGCTTTTCAATCGTGTCCGATAAGTTTGAGCTCTGAAAGAGATCAATGATGTTCAGTAAGAGCACTTCATAAATAATGTCAGTTCTACTAGCCTCTGAAACCACACGACCACTGAAGCCTTCAACATTTCTTGAGCTGGAAGTAATACCTCGCTGGAGGTGCCGTAACTCGGATTGTATATCAGTCGTCAAGCCATTGGTACTCTCGATACGTGCTCTCTTAGCACGGTCATGACGATCGAGACCTCATGGAAAATGAGAATCAAATGCGGATGGGCGAATAGGACCACCTACCTGTGCCAAAGGAGGTTTGGAGGGTCTGGCTTTGTCTTTGCAGTTCACCAGTATAGGTTATAGTGGCTGCTGTGATTGAATTATGCGTAGCCAATAAACCGTCCTTGAGGGCTCCTTGCAAAGATCCGACGGTCTGAGTATGTTGTGATCAGCAGGCCAAACTAAATAAGCCAAGACTCTCACCTTGAGAGCGCCATCCCGCGTCCTCTTTCCTTCTGTACCTCTCCGCTCAAATGAGGTCATGGCTTCCGAGCCACGTACGGCCACTTCGTTCATCAATTTATCATGACGCTGGCCAAACTCGTTGAATTCCTCTTCGTGTTTGGCGTTGGCGCTGACAACAGTGCTACATGCTTCTCGCAACTCGCGATCACGGGAAGCTACGAACTCCCCAAGTAGACCTGATATGCGCTGAACGAGTACCTCGCTGGCCTTCGCAGATTTCACCTTCTCTGCTTCTATCATTCGAACGAGAAGTGCATTCTGCTCCTGGAGTGCCGTGTTCTCCGCTTTTGACATGTCATCCACAAGGGACTTGGCCTGTAAGGCTGATTCTTCATCGGCCTTGATCAATTCGATCGCTTGAGTAACGGCGGAGTCGAGGAGTGTCCCCATAGCCTTCAAAACATTCTCTAACTGTGTCATGTCAGTTGAATAATTCTTACATGGATGAGACAATAATTACCGATGCGAAGTTACTTTGATTTGCAGCATACAACTCCTTGTACATCGTTTGGGATGTAGTTCGTAAGCTATCGGACCAGGAACTAAATGAACTCTTCATGGTCTCTTGCGATTCCTTGACAGCATTCTGCATAGCTGTAAGAGCCTCAGTAGAGGCATCATCCTTCGTGTTGATGATTCGAAGTGAGTCTTGAATGCGCTGGAGTTGCTGGTCAATACGCTCGGAGTGACTTGTAAGAATCTCGAATTCCTTCGTCTGGAACTGTTTTGCTTCTGTGCGTAGCATCTGCGTGCTGTGCCCTGCGGTCTTCATGAAGTCCTCCAGTTTCGTCAAGAGCGACTGCACTTCGGAAGAGATGGACCGTCCATGACAGGATACAGCTTTGATGTTTGACGTGAACGTTTTGTTCCTCCGTTCTGGTAATCATCGTTAGTTTGACAGACCAACAGGGAAAGAAGCAATATATACGAAGTTTCTCAAAAAGTGCGCCAATGTCGTCGATGCTTTCCGCGGCAACCTGTTTCAATCCCAAGGCTACCCCATCCAGCTTTTCTTCATTGATCTGGTACGCCTGGCGCACGACAATCTCTTCCTCAAGAGCACCTTTCGCTATCTTCAGTTGACCCTCCCTGACTTCTAGTTCTCCTTCAGCTTCTTTTAGTTGTTCCTTCACCTGTTTCAACTCCCCATCTGTCTTCATCAACAGAGCGATGCTTTGCTCAAATTCTTCCCTGACGCTCCTCAACTGGCTCTCTCCAATCTCCACTTGCTTCTTAGCCTCCTCCATCTCCGTCTGCCTGAGCTCCTGTTCCACAGTGAGCTGATTCCACGTCTCTTCGGAAAAGAAGATGCCATTCTTCTCGCGTGCGGCCAGGACGTCAGCCTTGAGACGTTCGATCTCGGCCACGTATTCTTTGAGCAAAGAGTTTCTTGTCATCCGCTGGTTGATCTCCGGCTTGTTGCGGATGGACTTCGCGCGGATGGCATAATCGAGCGTAGAGAGGGTCTCTTCCATGTTGGAACGAGCAGGAGAGATTGTGGCGATTATATACGTCTTTGTACGGCCACCAAGTGAGTCTTGTAAGAGACGGGTGAGTTTGGACTCCCTGTGATTCAAACGTGTCGGTATACCTCCACAACTCGTAGACTGAACACACTTACCGATAAGGGACATGTGTCGAACGCTCAACGAGGGCGTTTATAACACGGCCCAAAGTCAGCAAGCTTTGGTTGATCATGCCTGCTTCTCGGGCCCTCTTGTTCTCTGCTCCAGAGCGTCCGATGTTCTCTGAGCCTGCAAGATCGACGAGGTTAAACTTCCCAACCTTTAGGAGGTCATCTCCCATGGAGGACGTCTCCTTAGTATGAATAGTGATTGCGAATACGGAGTGCGAACGACTGGAGTGGTCGTTGAATTTGGTAGCTGCAATCTGGCGACGATGGCTACCTTTTGTGAGGAGGGCAAGTGCATCTGCAGCGTCTTTGACAGGTATCTCTTCGAGACCCTGAATAAAAACACCTTTCTTGCTAGCGTCATCAAATATTTTGAGGCCAGCTTGATTGTCGGCGGGGCCACCTTTTCCCATAGGCTGCGTGGATCCTGCAGGAGCGGACATTTCGCTGGCGAGCAAGTCTCGAAGCTCCTCGTTGTAAAGCTCGACGAAGGATATCTTGACACTGTAGTCAATAGCAGATGTCTCAAGTTGGTGGAACAACCGGAAAAGGACCCTCGGTATCATGCCTGCTTGGGAAGATGGATTTCCCATCGGCGTGGGCGTCAGGTCACCTTGCATAGTGTAACTGTAAACTCATCAACAGTGATGATATGAGCAATTAGGGAGAAAACGTACGTTTTTCCAGTTCCTGTTTGTCCATATGCAAATAGAGTACAGTTGTAGCCCGTGAGGACTTCGTCTAACATGGGGCTAACAACCTCATGGTAAATCGTAGCTTGATCTGCTTCTGGGCCAAAGACGAGATCGAATGGATATGTTCTTGTAGGGGCCAGAGTAATAACGCCTAGGCTAGAGACAGGCGTAGAGGTCTCGATGGTGACTTCCTGACTCTTTGCCCCGTTGGAACTGACGATAATCGGGGAGTTCTCCTGGATTTCGCGATCAGAACGTCTACGGCAGCGAATTGCAACGTGGATGTGAGTCTCCGAGTCATCCTGGCCATGGAACTTAGAGCCCTTCAAGGATGATGAGATCGCAAGTGTGTGCTCTAGGCGCTCGTCTGTGGGTGACATGATTGTAGACAGGGCAGACTTAGGTTTTGACATGGAAGATTGGGATTTTGTGTTTATTGTAGGGGCCCTTGGGCGGAAAGTGGTTTGTCTCCTCGTAGCCATCGAGGACGTTGTCGACAGCAGCGGGAGGACGGTGTTAAGTGAGGAAGCGATGAAGGTCTAAAACGCGTCCAAGAATCAACAACGCGACTGTGTCACGTGCATTCGTGGGAAGTAACCGCAATATTTCTATTCCGCTGTCCAGCCTTCGAAGTTGATCTTACGCTTGAGCAGCCATGGGAAAACGCAAGAAATCCTCTAGAAAACCAGCTGCGGCCACAGCGGCAAGGAGGAGGGAGCCATTAGGTTTGTTAGATGCCTTTTATTCTGCTTGTCATACTTGAATTGTCTAATAGATACTGCCTTCACTTGCTTGTTCTGTCATCATGACAAGTCCGTGACAGTGAGAGTCGACAGAAAAGAGGGCATCGCCCAGCTAGTGTGCAGAGTGTGCGACCAGCGGTATCAGAGCAAAGTTAACCGTGCGTACCATTCGGATTCCGCCAGTTCCTACCTCTTGATCATGATCCCGTTTCTCAACAGACTTGACTGAGCCTGTGGATATCTATTCAGAATGGCTAGACGCTGCTGATGCGGCACAGAAAGAAGATCACGGCACTCGCAGACCAGCTGCTTCATCAAGTAGACCAGCTCCCGCACCACCTTCCGTCGGGAGTGATGATGATTGATCTGAGACTTGTAACTATCTTATCTTTTCCTCACACTGTACAATAGCAATTGCAAGACAGGCTGTAAAATTAGAACCTCATCGATGCATATCCAGCCTTTAAACTTCTGTGACGCACCTGAATTAATCTGCGAATTTACTGATAATTATCTGAAGATGGGGATTCCAGGGTGGATCCTGAGCTGGATAATATCCGTGTTGTATATATATATTGTGTATGCCTGTTCTTGTCGTTGACCTGCGAGGAGTTGCAAGGGGGAAATTTGAGTTTACAAGCCTACTGATTAGCTTGTAGACTGCTGCAAGACATAGTCACGGTGATCGAATATTTGGCTCGAAATGGAACACGTGCTTTGGCCCTTTCTCTCATTTAGCGCTTCGTGGTTCACGACCAGACCTGGGCCTGTGTCCAAAACCATTTCCTAGATTTCGAACTATTCGTTGATACCGCAACTACTGGCCACACAAGTACTCTAGATTTTCATTCTTCCTTAGACGCACCATCCATCATGGCGTCCTCGACCAATATCAAGGTTGTCTGTCGGTGCGTCTTAACCTAGCTTCGGAATTCGATGAAGATGCACGAAGTATCTTTAATCGCCTACTGACGTGACCGAATAGTTTTCGACCCCCAAATGCGCTCGAACTCAGAGAGGGCGGTGATATCGTAGTCGCCTTCGATGAGAATCTTCAGACCGTGCAGATGAAGAACTCGCAGGCCGTTTCTGGGCCAGAGAAGGATGGATTCACGTTCGACAGAGTTTTTCCGATGGGCACGAAACAACACGAAGTATTCGATTACGGTGTTAAAGAGTGAGTGGCTCCGAGAACCACGCGTCTTTGTCGTGTACCTCATCTGATTACCTCCTAATGCAGTATCGTAAAAGGTGAGAGAGGGCACCTCACCCCCATCTTGTGATGTCGAGTGCCTTTCATACATTGTCTAATAATTTCGCGGAAGAATGTTAATGCTAATACGGTAATCAGATGTCCTGGATGGCTACAATGGCACGGTCTTTGCATATGGCCAGACTGGTAGTGGAAAGACATTCACCATGATGGTACGTTTAATTGATATCATCTTGAATTCCACTCCTGATTTCTGTTCCCTAGGGCGCGGACATTGACTCATCAGATCTCAAGGGAATTATACCCCGCATCACGGAACAGATTTTCAAATCAATCGTAGAATCGGACTCTCACCTCGAATATGTTGTCAAAGTCTCCTACTTGGAGATTTACCTTGAACGCATACGCGATCTTCTTGCCCGTAAGATCTCGAACTCTTTTCTGTGAATCCAGTGATGAAAAATGTACTTCAGCCCAAAATGACAACCTCCAGGTACATGAGGAAAAATCAAGAGGCGTATATGTAAAGAATCTTTCGGATTATTACGTTAGCAGTGCTCGTGAGGTCTATGAGATAATGAGACAGGGAGGGGCCGCGAGAGTCGTCACTTCAACCAGTAAGTGTCTCCCCGTGTCGTGGCGTTAACCTCCAAGTCACTCGTAACGGCAGACATGAACGCTGAATCTTCGCGGTCACACTCTATTTTTCTCATCACGATCCAACAACGCAATACTGAAACGGGAGCTCAGAAGAGTGGCAACCTGTACCTTGTCGACCTTGCCGGATCCGAGAAAGTGGGAAAGACCGGTGCTTCGGGGCAAACTCTGGAAGAAGCGAAGAAGATCAACAAGTCGCTCTCTGCTCTCGGCATGGTCATAAATGCTCTGACAGACTCGAAGGTACGTAAGAGCGCGTACAAGGGGATACTTCTTCCCTCTTTTTGTAGCAGGGGTTCATGATTGTGTCTCTTAGGTCAAACATATTCCGTATCGTGATTCGAAACTCACCCGTATACTGCAAGAGTCTCTCGGTGGTAACTCGCGTACGACGTTGATAATCAATTGCTCGCCTTCACAATACAACGAGTCTGAAACGCTTTCAACTCTCCGTTTTGGTATTCGAGCCAAGTCAATCAAGAATACCGCTCGTGTCAATGCGGAGCTTTCTCCATTGGAGCTGAAGGGTCTTCTATCAAAAGCTCAGCTTGCAAACACTAGACATCTGTCATATATCCAGTCATTAGAAGCAGAGCTTGCTATCTGGCGTGCTGGTGGCCACGTCGAACCGAGCGAATGGACTTCCGCTGACAAGCCGACTACTGGCGCTGCTGCGGCAAAGAAAGCGACTTCATCCCCAACACTTTCCACCACAAGAAGCATGACTCCAGTGAATCCTATATTGGAAGGTCTCCGATCAGAGATGATCATCGATAGTCGACCGCAGACACCGACGGTTGTGGGCTTAGATAAGGACGAGCGGGAAGAATTCCTCAGGAGAGAGAACGAGCTTAGCGACCAACTTGCGGAGAGGGAGAGCCTGCTCAATGCCGCAGAGAAGCTCACCAAGGAACTTCGTGAAGAGTTGGCATACCTCAAGGAGCAGGAGGCAGCAGCTTCGAAGGAGAATAAATCGATGTCGACTCAACTCAACGAGCTCCGCCTGCAAGTCGAGCGTCTGGATTACGACAACAAGGAGGGCATCATAACTATAGACATCTTGAAGGAACAGAATCAGGATGCGAAGAGTGAGTTGGAGGAGCTGAAGAAAGTCATTACCGATCTGCGCTCGACTCAGAGAGATGCATCGGCGGAGGACAAGGAGAAGCGCAAGCAGGAGAAGATGGCGTTGATGATGGCTAAATTTGATGCTGTATGTTTTCATTACTTGAAAAATGCACGCTGCTGATCTATCACTTATTCATAGCAAGGCACATTCTCTGAGAAAGACGAGCAACTTCGCCAGCTTCTTGCTAAACTTGATACTATCGACACTGCAGACGCTCTCTCGACATTGAGCGTCGACGATATTGTTGCAGCAAGGAGGCAGCTCACAGAAAGCCATTCACTTGTACGCGAGACGGTCGATCGCCTCCGGCAAAGCCAAGAAGAGAATGAGATGGTTACTCGTCGCAGAGACGAGCTCGAGGCTCGGTTCTTGTCACTGGAAGCTGATTATGAGGAGCTTCTTGGTGAGTGGTGAAAACATCTCGAGCATTCACACCTTACGACCGTTCTTTGACAGAGAAAACTATCCATGATGAGGAGACAAGCAATGCTGACATCGTGGAGTCCATGGCCGAGTTCAAGGTGAGCCATACATGCGTTGAGATTAACAGTGTGCATTGAATACAATCTATCACGCAGAACAAGCTAGAGATGCAATATGCGGCTAAACGTGACGCAAACATCAGCGAAGTGGCCGATCTCAAGCAGCAGCTGGAGTTGAAGTCGAACGAGATTCGCACTCTCAATGCATCTATTGACAGTCTGAAGAGCGTCAACGAAGAGCTCAAGGTATGACGTTTTCTACTCTTGTCCTAGTGCTAAGTTGAGCCCTCCTTTGTGCAGCGTGCGTTCGCAGTGACTTCTGCGGGTATTGAGGGAGGGAAGAATCTTGCTGAGAGCGCGCAAGACCTCGAGCGAACTCGTAAAGCAATTAACGTGCAGTTGGCAGAATTCGATGGGGTCAAGAAATCCCTCGTACGAGATCTGCAGAACCGTTGCGAGAAGGTTTGTTCGAGACATTAAGCTTCTCTTATCTTTCTACTTATCATGCACGTGCTAGGTCGTTGAGCTTGAGATCCAATTGGATGAGATCAAGGAACAGTACAACAACGTCATTCGGAACAGTAATAGCAAAGCGCAGCAGAAGAAGATGGCATTCCTGGAGCGGAACTTGGAGCAATTAACGTTAGTTCAGAAACAGGCGAGTCCAGATCTTACTCTAGTTACATATTTTGCGAGCTCAATTACTCTTGCAGCTCGTTGATCAGAACTCGGCGTTGAAAAAGGAGGCCGGAATTGCTGAAAGAAAATTGCTTGCGCGAAATGAGCGGATACAGAATTTGGAAACTCTCCTGCAGGACGCTGACCGTCGGCTAGCTATCCAAAACCAGAAGTTTGAAACACAGCTCCAATCAGTTAAAGAGCGACTGGAGCAGGCGCGGGGTAAGCCGAATAATGACATGTTTGCGTTGATGCCATCTCAACGTCAGCATATGTAGCCCAAAAGACCTCGAGTCCAATAAACTTCGGGCGTATTGCCAAGCCACTGCGGGGTGGCGGGGGTTCTGCGGCAACGCCTGGACCCACTACTACACCTGCACAAGTTTCAGGTGGTGGGACGCCAGGAAATGCTTTAACTCGCATCCAGAACGAAGACGGAAGGTAAGTTTTGGTAATTGTAGTGGTTGCCTCAGATTGCTCACTTGGCGTCTAACCTTGGTTTCGCGGTTCCGACAGCGGAGGTTAGTAGGGTTAATCAGGTCACTGTTCACTTAAGATGCTAACGGATCATTTGCAGCAAAGCGTGCGTCATGGTTCTTCAACCCTCGGGGGAGTTAGACGCCTTGGATTGATTGCTTTTGATACCTGGACTGTTTGGTATCTTTTTTTTACATTGCATCTATCATCTTATCGTTTTTAATAATGCATTCTCTGTCGGACTGACTTAAAGTTGTAAGTGAATAACCAAGATAAGGCATGTACGTTTTGGTTGTGTCAGGTGGTGGACCCTAGGTTTTTGGGGCTGTGGTGTGTCAGAGCGCTTGAGGATTGAATCGAACGACTAAGCCGGGGGCCAGTTGTACTCTAGTACGGTTACCACGGTCCGCTTGTCACGGAACCGATCGACAGTAGGTAGTTCAGTATTCCGGGCAAGTTGAGTAAGCGGAATCTGGAAGTATTCTGGCGCTTCTTTCGCAAGAAGCAGGGATATGATTGACAAAGGAAGCCAAGAAGGATCAGAAAATGGGACCGGTGCCGTTGAATTCTACTCAAAAAAATTTCATCGGGAATAGGCGAATGAGCGGGGACCTGTGATGGCTGTGTGTAAATGTTCCATTATGAGGGTCCATTCCTAAATATTATAACTTTCGGTCGTGAACCCGCTAATTTACCCTAGATTTTTGGTCAAACAGGTGGCAGCTTACAGCTGGGCATGTGCATAATACTTGCCGAGCGGATCCATTTGGCCGTGTAAGTAACGGAACCAAAAATCACCAGCCGACTCAATACATACCCCTTCAGTATTAGTCGTGGTAGAAATAATCTATCCCTGAGCGCACCCGATCGTTCTGTTTTTCGTCTTACGCGCGCCTCACTCGAACGGGGGACGTGTCTTCCTCTTTTCCTCTTCATCTACTAGTTTACTGGCAGTTTCTTCAAGTCACTGTCGTATATCCTTTGGTAAGTCTTTGATTCGCACTTGTTCTGCCATTCACGCGTCATGTTCAATTGCCTTACATCGTGGCTTATTTACGACAACTATTCTGCACTATACAGGCGCGTTTCTCCCGTTCTCCGTTCCGGTTTTTCACTTGTAACTGGGTCGAAACGTGTTTCATTGCATAACTAACTCTTACCCTCGCCTTTTTCAGCTAATTCGTTTGCACACTTCCACTTAAAACTCTATAATCTGCTCTTCGCTGTTTTTTGCTTCTTCTGTGAGTTACCACCTCGGTTTTCTACCATCATCCCTTTAACTTACCGGACCTAGTGCGCAAATCACTTTCCTCCTCCAGCCTGCCATGTCAACTCATCATGGAGATACTTCTCGGAAGCCATCAGGCTCATCGACGCGCTCGTCTGGGCACTCTCCTTCAGCTTCCCCGAATAACGTATGCTTACAGCTTTCTGACCTGATTGATTCTTACCCAGGCACAGTCACAGAGGAACCTGACTCCCACAACAGCGAACATGTTTGGCGTCGCAATAGCCGGGGCCTCCGGGCTCAAGGGTCTCAACTCAGGTTGGCAGGTGGGCGGAACATTCTACGAAGCTGACCCTTTTGCTTACGTGATATTATCTAGGTATGGGGATCAACGACACCGGTGTCAAAGAGGAATGCCTCGATATCCTCCGCTGCAAGTGTGACCGACCTCTCACCATCCCAGGCTGAGAGCGGTTACCGAGGAAATCTGGGAGAAAGCTGGAGTGCGCCAAGGCCGTCTAGCGGAACCTGGGATGAGCTGAGTGGAAGCCCACAAAAGAAGGAGTTCTCGCAGTTGGTCAGTCAATTCTATCACGGCGTTTGTTTAGTGTTCAACATTTGATAGGACACCAATTCCCCCTTGTCCCTGCATCATGCTCGGCAAAGGCAAGCAACCGCAGCGCAAGCAGCCGCGTTGTCAGGCCCAAGAGTTGTATGTGTTCCTAATGAATCTCAAAGGCGTGCTAAAAGATCTTTCAAGGACGATCGCTCCTCGGCAAAGGCCGGTCAGTTCTCTCCGCAGAGGTTCGACAATACTCTCGGAAAGGAAACCGGAGTCTCCAACAGATATGCGGCTTCTTCAAATGCATCGGGCTATGGATCGTCTGCCTTCGATGGTCAAAATGGTGGCTTTGACTCCTTGCAGGTGTCTTCAGTTGTTGAAAACGAATTGTCTATGAGTCTGAGAGGGATGGCAGTCGAGGACGATCATGTCAACGGCCAATACCGCCACCAATCCGCCTCTTCACCGTCCGGTGCTGCTGCTTCTCATTCCCCTGGTGTCCTGCAGGTGCGACCACCCCCGCAGATGGTTCAAGGACGACCCCCGTATGGTAGTTACCCTCAGGCGGATTATTCGTCGTATTATACCAATGGCACAACGCGCGACCCCTACATGGATTATGGATATGGATACAGTACCCCGACGGACCCTTCACTCTACCCTTCATCTGCTGGGATGAATAACACTCCCGCGGCAAGCCTATACCCTGGCGTATCACCACAGCCGTTACACCATAATGCTCCCACTGGCCAACAGTCTAGTATATACTACGACTATTCAGCCTCCGCGCGAACGCCCTCGCAATATTATTACCCCGCGCATCAGCCAATAATGTATCCAACTATGCCTCCACTTTCTCCGATGCCAACTCCTCAGCTCAGCGCTGCGGCGCCCGCTGGTAGTATGCCCGACAAGAAACAGGTAGGTTTATTTATTTATGTTAGATTGTATCTAGGGCGGCCCTGATCCTTCAACCCTAGTATGGACTGCAACAACAGGTGGCTCTTCAAAACACTTTGCGCCCCACCATGATCTCATACACTCCCCACCAGGGTTATGCTGCTGATTATGGTGCCCAGATCCCCTTCATGATTCCCAACGGTGCTATGTATGGTCATACCGCTCATGGAATACCGTTTTATCACCAAAACTTACGCCCTGGGCGGCGTCAAGATGCTAATGACGCTGGCTCAGCTTTGCGCAGTCCTTTATTGGACGAGTTCAGAGCGAACAAAGCGCGCAAGTGGGAGCTTAGGGTGTGTTCAATCTAATTGCGACAGATAGCAAACTGATCAAATCTCAGGATATCTATGGCTATATTGTCGAGTTTAGCGGTGATCAACACGGATCTCGCTTCATTCAACAGAAACTTGAGACAGCTACCTCGGAGGAGAAACAAGGTGTCTTTGATGAGATCGTCCCTGACAATGCCTTGCAACTCATTCAGGATGTATTTGGTAACTATGTATGTTTACAGCATGATGTTTTACCTGCTATCACGTCTAACAGTTTCCATAGGTCATCCAAAAGCTGTTTGAGCACGGAACGCAGGTTCAAAAGACTGTTCTTGCCAACGCGATGGAGGGTCATATTCTACCACTGTCATTACAGATGTATGGCTGCCGTGTTGTGCAGAAGGTCTGCATACACGTTCGCAGCCCCTCGCCGTGTCTAATTCAAATTTGCTAGGCGGTAGAATTTGTCCTTCCAGATCAGCAAGCGTCATTCGTCAGGGAACTTGATCCGCATGTACTTAAATGCGTAAAGGATGCGAACGGCAACCACGTCAGTATGCTCCTTACGCGTTAAATGCTTTAGGCTAATGTATCCGTAGGTCATCCAAAAGTTGATCGAACGCGTGTCGCATGAGCGACTGGGCTTCGTCAATTCATTCAGGGGTAACGTGTATGACCTCTCCACGCATCCATATGGGTGTCGTGTATTGCAGCGGTGCTTTGAGCACCTGCCTGAAGAGACAACTCGTCCTCTCATGGATGAACTGCACAAGTATATGATCAATCTGATGCAGGATCAGTTTGGGGTGTGTACTCACCACTGCTGTTAGACTCTTGCCTATTGCTAATGAGTTACGAAGAACTACGTTGTTCAATTTGTGCTCGAACAGGGCAAGCCTCAAGATCGGAATCAAGTCATCACCAAACTTCGTGGTCAAATGCTGAATATGGCTCGCCACAAGTTCGCATCAAACGTCTGTGAGAAGGCTCTCGTTACCGCTGGTATTGAGGAGCGTCGTATCCTTATCGATGAGATCATCATGCCGAAGACCGATGGTGTCAGCCCAATTGTGTCCATGATGAAGGATCAATTTGCCAGTGCGTTGCTATGTTCTTACATTAAAGTTCTAATTACTGACCGCTCATGTAGACTACGTCCTTCAGCGGGCACTGACCGTAGCAGAACCCGATCAGAAGGAGATTTTGATTGCTAAGATCCGTCCTCAGCTCGTCAGCATGCGCAGATACTCGAGCGCTTACAGCAAGCATCTTATTTCTAGTATGTTGATGAAATACAACCGAGATAAATGAAATATTATCTGACCTAACACCCAATAGTTGAACGTCTTCTAGAGCGCACGATTAATGCCTCAAAGGCCTCGGATAAACCTGCGGACTACCCCTCACTATTGCACAAGCCAGTTAACTAATAGCGTGTTCTATGACCATTTTTTCTTGCTTCACTCCCTATTTCCTCTTTGCTCCACTCGCAATGCTATGGTATATTCGCATCAATTTTTCCTCATTCCGCAATCACTCGCACCACGATTATCCACGCAATCAACATTATTAATTGCACACTCTTTACATTCATTCAGTATGATATTTGCATTCCCTGCTTCTTTGCTGTCGATATTCAGACTTTCATTTTGCTATCATCTTTGTCGTCATCTTTTCCCATCCGTGGTACATATCGATCGTATAGATACCTGAGCACACCAGTTATAATCATCATGGATCCTGTCTTGCACCGCATGCATGTTAACTCGGATGAACTAATGATCCCGCGGAAAGGTTCCAAGTAAATGGTGACAAACAAAGGTATTATTAGTCTAGTGCTAAAGTAGGCACTACCGTCACTTGGCCAAGCGCAAAAGCTTTCAACGAAACGTCAGCATCCCGCTTTTCTCAAGACCACGCATTCTACTGGCCTGCTTGACGGAAACGTTGCAAACATGAGTACTGTGGAAGCTGCGGCTTCGTTATTTGGTTCAGATGGCGATGCTGGGCCGGATCCGTTTTCGGTTATTGGCAACGAGGAGACTGACACGACACCACCTGCCGGGTTGGCGGTACATGAATATGGACAGCACGAGTCTGCTTCTTATCCATCTGACATGGGCCAGGACGCTTCCAGCTTGTTCGCTGAAGACATTCCCAAGGGCACTCAGCCTTTTGAACAAGATCCCTGGTCAGTTGCTGTGGACCACGATACCAGTGTTCCTGTGAACCAGGCTCCTGACAGCTCGCAATACTCTGCTGCCGGTTACGAACAGTCTCAAGAGTGGTTATCTGCGCCTGGTTACTCCACGACTCAACCGCAGGTCTCGTATGTCCAACAACCAGGTGTGTCGGCTGTGTAAATTTGTTGCATCTGCAGTGTTAATTCCCTGCAGTGCAAGGAGGTCATAATGTTAGCGGTACAGCAAGTGCTTATCACCAGTACATACCGGACCCAACTGCCAATTCCTCGCAATACGGCGGGAGTCAATATCCAAGCCAACCATATGTGCCGGTCCACGGCAGCTACGATCATTACAAACCCACCGTTAACATCGCACCCACTCGCGCGTCACAACCACTTGCTGCACCTGCCGACTCTCAGACAACATACGAGCCGTATAACCCTATGACACGCTCGGTTTCTCAACCTTATTCGTCGTTTGCGCACGCTGCACCTCCTAAGCCAGCTTCTCCCAGCATCCCTCCTCCTCCCGCTCAAGTTCCTCCTGCGATGTCGGCTGCATCTTATCGTCCACAGAAGTCGAATGCTTATGATCCCCCTCTTCCTCCTCCGAAGGTGCCAAAGCGTGCTGTGAGCGCACGCGCACCATCATTGGGACAGTATGCCTCGTATGGCCAGCCCTCGCAAATCCCTCCTGTACCCCCTGTACCCGCTGTGCCTCCTACTCCCCCTCCCCCTTCTAATAGTACTCGGTACGGCAGCCTTTCCGGTAATGTGGCACAACCTCCAATTTCCCATCCACCTCCACGAGCGCAAGTGACACATCAGCCTACAGGCGCTTTGGGCGTTACTTCGCCACCCAAGCTTCTACAGCAGCTTCCACAATCGATTGTTGGCAATCATTACACGCAACATAGTTTATCACAAGCGAGCGCTCGTACATCCCCATTGGCTGCCCCTCCTCTACACGCGAATCCCCCGACACCCCCACAAAACTCTTATGAGCAGGAATTACTTGACGAAGCACCTACTCCTAAACAGGGTTCATCTAGCTCATTTGCGGACGTTATCCAACGTGTTATCTCTCCTGCCACCGAGACATATCCACCACCAAGTCATGACTTGCACTCAGAGAGTCGTGCCTACACGTCTGATGATATGCCTTGGGACGATCCGGAAAGTTTGCAGACGGATACTGAGGCAACATCCCCTTCTTTGCATGCCGTCCGAGATCCCTACACGCTTCCACTTCCTGCAGAGTATGCTAGTTTGAATGGTTCCACACAGCTGCATAGCAGCCCACCTTCTTCCCCGTCTAGAGGCAAGGTGCATCAACACCAAGACACGATGATGATGCGAGGCTCAGTGCTACGGCGGTCTCCTTCTCATTCCAGAGACGGATCCAACGGTTCAAATGTGTCATCCCTGCGTAGTCCGGTAAAGAGGGTTTCCTCTCCCTTGCGCAACGCTTTCAATTCCGGTGAACAGGATGTGTATCCTGGTCCTCCCCATCCGCCCTCTACATATGAGCCGTCACACTATGCTTCGCCCAACAGAGCAACATCTCCTAGTTCTGTTCGCTCGTTCACGAGCCATGCAGGGTCTGTTAAGAGTGCCTACAACTCGACAGTTCCAGTTGCGGCGAACAAGTTACGAGCCCAGATCCCATGCCACGTATGAGAGGACTTCATCCCCCTTCCATAATTCGCGTCAGGCCTCTCCAGCCCCTGATCCATATGCACTTGCCAGGAATTCTGTGGCTCTGATGCAGCCCGAATATCGCGATCATTCAGGTTCCAATGGATCTTTGCATTCCACGGCATCCATGCCCATGGGAATCCCCCCTCAGCGCGAAGTTAATGGGTTGGTTCCCAAGTTTCGTCCCGGTGAACCAAGCCCGTACGGTGCGGTGTCTGCGTACAGTCAGGAGCTTCTTATTTCATCCACGGTCCGCCCTCCATATGCACCCTCCCCTTCTCTCTTAGGCTCAAACGATCCTTTGGGTCGTACATCTTCGCGAGCCCCAGTGATCAGTTTTGGTTTTGGTGGCAAGATGGTTACATGCTTCCACAGCTCCCCTGACCTTATCACTGGATATGATGTTACGCTGTCGTCTCGTCACTCGACGGATGTGCGTATACGCGTGTTGCACAAACTTCTCCCCGAATTTGCGCTTGAACCTTCTGCCGCTGCTTATCCTGGTCCTTTGTTTTCTGACCCTGGTACACCTGTCAGTATCGTGCGCACTGGGGCGTCATCTCAAGTGAAAACGAAGAAAGCGCGCGTCGTCAAGTATCTGGAGGATCGGATTGAAGAACTTACACGTGCGACGACGTATATGTCAGATGGAACCGAGAAGCAGCGTACTGAAGGGAAATTGATTCTAGTCAAGTTGCTCAAGATCATGGTTGAGAACGATGGTGCACTGTCGGGAAGGTCTGTCGCCAGACCACGAATAGGTATCCTTAACTCATTTCATTCCAGCGCTCACATTGACTCAGCTGTGAGAACGGCACTGCTTCCTCGCATTGCTGCGTCTGAGGGTGCTGACATCTCGACACCGGGTTTTGCTTCTTGTATACCCAATGCCCTTGGTACGATTCCTGGCCTCAACGGTGGCCACCCTAGCACGAGTGAGACACCCATATCAGTTTCCATGCTCCTTCCATCCGCGTTAGACAAGATACAAGAATTCCTTGTGAGAGGCGAAAGGAGACAAGCGTATAACTATGCGCTGGATGAGAAACTGTGGGCACACGCGATGGTCATTGCAAGCAGCATCGACAAGGAGGCTTGGAAGGACGTTGTCAACGAGTTCCTCAAGGGAGAATTGGGCATTCACGATGCACAGCGCACGACTTTTGTTGGACGAGGAAAGGAACATGTACCTCCTTCCAGTAACGGAAGAGAGTGGCTTCGTGTAGTCTACAGTTTATTCTCTGGTCAGGGACCAACTGCTGGTCAGTGATCATTTTCTGAGCTGAATTTTCTGATATGAAGCTACTTGACAAACAGTCCAGGAACTGATTCCCACCAATCTGCTTGCAAGAACGGCTACATTGCAAGTCCCTACACCGGCTGTTGTGCACACCACGCCAATGTCGCCTAGTTTTCCTTCACCAGCAATGGCAGCACAAATCCCTGCCAATGCTTTATCGAAGTGGCCAGAACTTGTGGCATCGATGGTTTCTAGTCCTGTGTCCCCTGAGTGGTCCGCAGCCCTGACAGCACTGGGCGACTACCTTGTATCACATCAACAGGTCGAAGCTGCGCATGTATGGTAATTGTATAATTCTCGCACTTGTTTTCCTGTGCTAAGATCATCCGTCAGTTACTTGCTCTCTCCTCAGACTTCTCCGATAGGTGGAATTGGGAGTCCATCGGGTCGAATTGTTCTTATCGGCTCGCGGAATACACACGCATGGCCCTCTTTCTATAAAGACACTGACCCCATCATTCTGTCCGAAATTGCCGAGTTTGCCTTCTCGCTGAAGAGCGTTACAAAAGGACAAGAACCATTCCACGGGCTGCCGCATTTACAGGCATACAAGCTTATCAGGGCTTCGTATCTTGCGGAGATTGGCGAGATACAGGCAGCTAGCAGGTGGGTCTATCTTCTAGTGCAATTCTGCGCCTTATTAATCGGACTACAGATATTGCGAGGCAATCACCGCTGCAATGACACATCCATCACACTATCTCAATTCCGTTCTTATCGAGCAATTGAAAGGGTTAGCGAATCGCTTGATCGGTACTCCACAGATGGCAAAGAGCGGATCTTGGATAGGTGGGAAGGTGAACAAACCTAGTCTTGACAGTATCGGCAGTTGGCTTGAGGGACGCTTGACAAAGTTCATCGCTGGAGAAGGGGACGAGCCTTCGCCTCCGCCGGTACCGTCAAAGAGTCAAGTGTCATCCCTGGGACCTTTCTCTCACTTCAGCGAGATTTCATCAACCACAACCTCCGCAAGTCCATCGCCTCCCCCTGGGGTGATGAATCCGCATTCAATGTCAGGTATACCGCCTCCTCGCAGAAGTGGTTCCGCGATGGCAGTCTCAACTTCTCACTCCCACGTGCCTATCGATCGCGCCTCATCTGCCATGGACTATTACCACTCAACACGGCAGCCGTCGCCAGCACCTCCCTTGACTGCGCCTTTGCACCCACCACGACCAGCTTACCCGCACTCCGCACATGGCTCGGGAATGAATGGGCATTCAACAACAAATGGCTACGCCCCTGCCTATGGTACCGAACCGTTGTCACGAAAGCCCTCTTTAGAGATGACTGCCGAGGAGGGCTCTGAGCAACAACAGCAAGAGACAGGATGGTGGTCTTCGCTCAACAATTCGGACTCTGGCCCCACACCGACCACGGCCACTTTTCACTCAGTCGACCATTTCCAGGCTTCGTCTGATGGTTTCATCTCCTTAATGGACGACCCCGCGTTGGCTGTGGCTCCCAGCCCATCCATGCCGACTCACCAGCTGCAACCAAGCTTCGAGGATGAGGACGAGGATTTGGGCTTTGGCAATAACGCAAACAAACGTGAACGTCCAGCTGGATCTGGGAGCAGTGAGAAATCTGCCACGCCTGTAGAGGACGTCAAGAAAACAGAGGAAAAGAAAGGTCAGTTGTGGTTGCCTTTTCGTCACAACATTCATCGATAACTGTTGTCGCTAGACGCCAATCCGCCAGCGACGGCTTCGGCGGCACCAAGCTCTTGGTTGGGTCGATTCTGGAAGCGTTCCGAAACAGCCCCTGGTCCTATCAAGGCTAGTCTTGGAGATCAATCGGCTTTCTATTATGACAAAGATCTCAAGCGTTGGGTAAACAAGAAGGTATGCGACCAATGCTATCAGGACGTGTGATGTCACTGAAAGACTTGTCAGGGTGGTACTGAAACCACGCAGCTAGCTGCACCACCCCCACCTTCAAGAGCACAGACAGCCTCGCCAGCGCGGGCAAGTGCTCCTCATGCCAATGGTGCAAGTTCAGCACCTCCGCCAGCCCGATCTGCTTCGGTTACGGATTTGAGCACATCTCCCACTGCTAAGCCGCCCATGCGAGTGCGTTCGAATCTTGCTCCCGCAGAAGCAACATCTCTCCCAAATACACCAGCACCGCCATCAACTCCCATGACACCGAGTCGCCCACGCTCGCAAGCCACCAAACGCAATGTACGAACCCGCTATGTTGATGTTTTCCAACAGCAAGAGAATGTTTCGTAGATCACTTATACAAATCCTTATCATAGAGATCATTGCATCGATTTATTCTGGATATCTTTTGGCTTTCGTCGTTCGTCACACCTCATGCATGTACATGTTTATTTGCTTTTTATAATTCAAGTGCATGCGTGGCTGCCATTAATTTGCGAAATGGACTACATGATTCTATAGAATGAGCTTGAATGGATAGCCTAAAACAGAAATGTCAGCGCTGCGTGTGAATACTCGACATAGACCAACCTGGGTTTTTAACACGGAAAAGTGATACTAAAATGCTGAACACGAGGAAGTTTACTGTAGTCCAGAGATATACCTGAGTTCTTTGACGGGTAGGCGACAGTTGGCGCGGTGTGACGACAGTCAGCATCAAGAAAGATCCAGCCAAGATTCCATCTATGAATGATCAGTACCAACCTGATGTGTGAGGTGCGAGACGACGTACAAACCATGGCGACGACTTGAACTTCTTGTCCATACTGATTTTGATAGCCTTGAGCGATCCAAGCGCCGTTAGGGCCAGTATAAGGTGCCCCTCTGATGCGAGTGAACATGTAGCCAGAGGTCATGACTAGGGAAGTAGCGATCGTGCCAGCAGCCCAGACCCAGCGGTTTTGCAGTGCTGGTTTGATAAAGCGAAAGACAAGGGTAATGATTGGGATGAGTGAGACGATGCTGCCCGCGCGCGCCCAGTTAAAGGGAGCCTTATATGGGATAGGGATTGGGGTGTGAACAGAGAGTTGCTCAGCGAGGGGTCCAGCTTCGAAACCACTGTAGAGTACACTTAGGGTTTTAAATCAAGGGTTTAGTGAAACTCCTACTTTTGGAAATCGTATTTGAAGGGGGCTTTCTTTGCAGACGCGTTTGGTCCATCAGTCGGGGGATATACATGAACACCTGGCGCAGAAGACATGCCGAGCTAATGAGCGCGTCAATTTTTGATTGTGGCTTTGTGAGATATAATGGTACGATTACCTTTTGGAAGACGGCGGGGCCATCATCAAAGTCAAGAGTAGCGAAGAAGTGCTTGTCCCGCTGGTCTTTCGGAGCATTCGCCCATGCTTTAGCTACAGCAGTGAATGCTGGCTCAAATTCTCTGTGAAGGTCGCAATTAGCTTCCGATGCATGTTTGGAATCTTGTAACTGACTTGCAAGGAGCACAGCGCCGCTGGGGATGGAGCGCAGTGAAGTGCACAGCAGCCGACCAGTCACGCATCGGGGAGGCAAGTAAATCATAAGTCTGTTCATTGAGCTGTATGAGTCCATTTCCAGCTGCTGCAAGGTCCACCAGCTGCTCGTGCACTGATTTCTGTGCCGCTAATGATAAGGGCAAAAGTGAGAGAGCGAGCAGTGGCCAGAACATATTGAAAGTAAAGCGTTAGTCAAGAGTGACCAAAGTTGTCAACGTGTAACAAAGATTCATATAGCAGCCGTGGGAACTAGGCAGCTTAGGATCAGGTTCTCTGGCACTGCTCACCGTCCTAGACGGCGACCAGCCCTGTCAGACAATGTCCCATGCCCTTCTCCTACGACTGTTTTTATCACCGTCCTTCTTCTCTGTTCATGTGGCCTTACAATATTTGATGCTGTATGCCGACAATATAGGCATCACATACTACCTTACCCGAAGGTTGAAAGAACTTGACACTCAGGAATTACGCGAAGTATGGGGTTTCATATGGTATCTACCAGTGTTCATCGTGTCGTAGAATTATACTAATAGTCTCGTTAGTCATTTGCTCGTCACCCGGCCTTCCAAATCACGGGCACTGGAATGCTTTGTAGTAGACATCTCACAACGGTCCACGCATATAGCCATGATTGTACGTAGGCAGCAGCCCCGTAGCTTCAAGCTCACAGCTAATTCCTGTGGAGACCCTTTGGCTTATGCAAGCTTCTTTGCAAGATCTATCCTCATCACGTAGTTCTCCGTCTTTTCAGGTATGCCAGCGGACGTTACAAAGATGTCATGACATCATCTTTGGTGATCTTCCAACTCCAGTCTCTGGTCCGTACTCTGGCTTGGACATGCCGTTCCAGACGCGCTTCTCACGTCGGAAGGTTAAAACCCATGTCGAACCGGTATTCATTGGACTTGGATTGATGTTAGCTGGAACTCCTGCCGTGCCTGAGCTTACTGAGGTCATGGGTGAGGTTGCGTTGCAGCAGGGCCGTGCTGACGAGGACGGATCAGACCTGAAAAGCGTCCAGACCGATAACAATGACGTTACTTCAGGATCAGGGAAGACCACCCGCGATGACTCTGGGGATGATGATGACGGTGGTTCAGATGGAAAAAATGAAGATGGCCGTACGGCTAGTTCTCATGAACACTCTTCTAATGATAGTTGTGCCCTCCATGATCCTGCGGTTTCCAAGAAGATTCTCAAACGTCGTCGGACGGTTGTTGCCGCGCAGACAAGTCCCGCTCTGGTTCATTTGCAAAACATGCATCGGTCAACATTATCTGAGGATCCACTCGATCAGCTTGATCCCTCACAACCATCACGCATTGCCAGCCCATACCAATCATCTCCTTCGATACCAACTACCCAGCATCCTTTTCGGCAGAATACACTGAACTTTGGCGATTCCCTCCTTCAACGGTATGATTTGGATTCACAAGCGCATCTCCTCAAAAGTCACTATTACCGTTCAGAAGTAAGCAATTTCCGCTGACATTATCACTTTGGCTTTACACAAGCGTAACAGATTCAATTCTTAATAACGCTCGAACATATCTCTAACCGCCTACTCGTCGTGCCAAAACCTGCGCGAGTAAGCGCCCTTAGAGCTGAATTAACTGCTCTTAACCACAAGCTTCCTGCAGAGGTAACATCTTCCTCTTTATTCATACCTCAGTTCGTGATATGGAATCTCAGGTATGCATGCCTATGTGGTGCTCTTCATCCGATAAGTCTGCATATCGGAATGCCTCTCAACCGCACCACAAGATAGTTCGAATCCCCCCTGGCGAAAGCGTTGTGCTTAATTCTGCGGAGCGAGCACCTTATTTGCTCATTATCGAGATACTGCACGATGACCTCGACTTTGATCCGACAAAGAGAAGCAATAAGGAGACGCTGAAGCGGATCGTAACAAAGGAGAACGAACGCAAAGGTGCTTCGAGAGAACTCATTGCTTTCACCAGGTCACCTCTTCCTTCGAAACACAAGCCCCTTGGGGATCTTGTTGTTGGCTCCGAAAACGCCTTGGGAAAGGAGTCCGCTGAGGAGGCAGAAGCTCCGCTGGTCCCTGTGGCTTCTGCTACCAGCAGTACAAGTTCTCTCATTGGTGATGATGAAGAGATGGACCTCGTTGAACAACTGTACGGAGCCGGCGAGTCTCTCCGCAGGCCAATAGACCTTACCGAGTCCATTGTACTTCCACCAGTGCTGAAGAACAAGGAATTGGATATGGTCGCGTGGTCTCGAACCTCTTCCTTATCTTCTTCGCCCAACCCAGAAGGGATATTATCGCTGTCTTCTTCACCCGCCTTTCCACCCACTGGTGATCGGTCTTTGACACTACCTTCAACCGCTCAGCTGCCAGATCCACCACCTAATAGTAACAGCAATAGCCGTATACTCTCGCTTGACGATTACTCCGAACGCATGCGTACGGCAGCTGTCATGCTTTCGCAGCTCAATGCGAACCTTATTCGCGAAGCAGTAACCACATTACCTTCTTCCGATTCAACTGCGGCCCTTGTTAGTTTGAGTTCGCCGTCTGGTCCTCTGAGTTGGCTCCCTGGTTCTGGTTGGCTAATCAGTCCGCATCACCAGGCAAACAGCGGGCCACTACACCCCTCGCTCGCTGGAAGGGTTGGTGATTCACCAGCGACCACACGGATGCGTGTGCAGCATGCAGAGGCAGCCGCCATCAGAGACCGTATAATGAAGGAGATGATTGCGCTTGAGGAAGAGCGAATGGAGCGTATGCGAGAACACAGGGAAGGAGAAAGGATAATGCGCATTGGTGATGTGGGCGATAACCTGAAGACTGCTGAGGACGAAACAATCATCAAACGTGAGCTGAACAAGGTCGATCCTTCCGCCTTAATATTCAGCGAATCTTGGGCGACAAAGAAGGTGGGTTTGACTAATTTTGCTATTGTATGACTGCCATTTCTGCCACTTCAGAGTCGAATACAGCACGGATCGCCGTATGGTCATCTAGGTAAGGCTATAGCCTTACTATGGAAAAAATTGCATTCAATTGTTGAACTCACCATCGCCAGCGAACTGGGATTGTGTCTCTGTGATTGTCAAAACTGGCGGCGACCTTCGCCAAGAACAGGTCGCCGTTCAGCTTATACAACAGTTTGAGCAAATTTGGCAAGAAGAGGACTGTCAATGCTGGGTCCGCTAGTGAGTTTGCTTCAACAAGTTACGTTAATGGCGTGAACTTAACTACTTCCAGCTTCCAGATTCTAATCACTGGCGCATCGTCGGGCTTGGTAGAGACCATAACAGATGCCGTGTCAATACACTCCATCAAGAAGTCCGAATATGCAAGACGGTTGGCGGAAGGCCGTTTTGGATATGTCACTCTCTTAGATCACTTCAAGTCGGTTGGTCCCTCGTTTCATCGTTTTGCGCAAGCGATGACGTGCTGAAATACATGTCAAGACTTACGGTGATCCATCTACGGCCAAGTTTGTCCGAGCGCAACGCAACTTTGCGAAGTCACTCGCAGGTCTGTCCCGCTCTCAATACCTTGATTCCTATATTAAATGCTCTACACATTTCGGAGGTTATTCCATCGTAACGTACCTGTTGCAAATAAAGGATCGGCACAATGGGAACATATTGCTAGACCGAGAGGGGCACCTTATTCATATAGATTTTGGGTTCATGTTGTCCAATTCTCCGGGTAACATAGGTTTTGAAGCTGCACCATTCAAGCTACCACCGGAATATGTCGAAGTGCTGGGGGGTGTGGATGGAGAGTCTTTTTTGGAGTTTAAGCGTCTGTTTCGTGAGGGGTTCGAGGCAGCGAGAAAACACTGCGATCGAATCATAAGTCAGTACTTATGTTTGATCCGTCCTGTTCATGACGTTGACATCAATCATCCGCAGTTCTGGTGGAACTGATGCAAAAAGGTGAGAGATCCGCAGTCGGCGGAATCAATTCATGTAAATGACCTGTGTTAGACTCCAAGCTGCCGTGCTTTGCTGCGTTCGGCGAACAGACTGCGGCTCAGCTGCGTGATCGCTTTCAACCCGCTTTGACTCATTCCCTTGTGGGTGAATATATCGACCGTCTCATTGATACCTCCTTGGGCTCCAACTGGACGCGTCTTTACGACTCCGTGAGTAGAGACTAAGGCAATTGCGCATTTCAAGCTGATCTCTTCTTGAAGTATCAATATTATTCGCAATCCATTCTGTAGCCTTGGTCGAATTCCCATCTGAGGTATATGGATCGTAGAGCGTGGTATCTATAGTGTTGTATATAGGAGCATATCGCCCGCTGCTGAGTACATGCAATGCTGTCAAGAGGTAATCTCCGTGACAGTCAAAGTGCGCTTTTTGTGTTTTCCAAGAATCGGTTCGAACAGAACTGAGGTTTATTCAGTAGAACCGAAGAAGCTGGCCATATAGTGATCCGACATTTGAATTCTGCCCACGTGCACAACATCCTACCATAGATGATGTGGCACGCCCCTATTCAACTCTGTTTCCTTTTTACTCCTCTACGTGTGATGGCCACCAAAACCTTCGATGAGAGTGCGTCTAGCGTCCTTGACAAGCCTCCCCCTTATGATCCAATTTCTACATCTGTATCAGTGGATTCCGTCCGATGCAAACGTTCGGTATTTTCCTTCCCACAATCCAAGCGTGCCTCAGTTCTATCTCGCATCCGTGAAATTGTCTCCTCTCCTGATTTCACCCTTTCTTCTGTCGCGCCAATTATCACCTCCTGCGCTACCGCTCTCCAAGCAGCAGAGTTCTCCAACCTCATCCAAAACCCAATATCGAAGATCACATGGCGTTGTATTGGACGATTGTAAACAACCGGCGAGAAGCCCTTTGGGAGTTTACTAAATTCATTTCCAAATTCTCGCCTGCTTGCTCTTCCGACTTGCGTCTTGCGTGCATGATAGTCAATGACCACGATTTGTTTATGCAGCTGAAATTGGGGGACAATGTTGATCGTAAGTGCATGGTACACAATGTCCTGAGAGTGTGTTATCTAACTCACCATATGCTATCAGCCGAGGGTGGGTCTTTGAGACACATGTTGAGTTGTCCGCGAGATGAGATCAATGTGTCACGGCATGGATCCAGCGAAGTGAATTGTCCGTCAGATGATCTTCAAGTCCATGAAGGGCATGGCATGGGCGAAAACTATTTCTTTGCTCGTTTTGTCTTCAGGATGTTCCAGAAATGCCTGCGTATTAGACAGAAATTGGCAGTAGAATTTGTTGCCCAGGGTGTGTGGTCTGTCATTTTGACTTGTTCCTCACTGATATAAACACCCAATTCCCTGAAGGACATATATGGGTGTTGTGCTTTTGTATGGGGTCGAAAGGAAGTTGGTGTGTTCAGTATGGTCTTTCGGAACCTAGTTTGCCAGTGTATCCCAACACCAAACTTGCAATTCAGGCTCACAGCAAGCCTCCTTGCTCAAGCTGTGCAACCCAGAGACCCTTACTTTTAGACTTAACATATTTGGGTGAACCAATGGTACCTGAGGGGTATGTTTATCATTCCCACTCATCAAAACCAAGGCATACTGAAATCTACTCATTTACTTTATTGCTCTGGCAGATTATTGCACCACTACAAAGGTATTGAACCAAAAAAGAGCTTAATTGCAGTTGAACAACAGTTGGATGATTGGCTAATGAATGAGTAAGTTTCCTTTCTCCTAGTGCTTTAAGTTTTTATCGACATGTTTGGCTTTAGTGATCCTCCTTATGTAGACTGTGATGGCACCCTAATTGCAGGGCTTACGGTGACAATGAAATGACACTACCCTGGTCAGCTGCAACACTTATCAAAAGCTATTGAATATTGGTGGTAGCAATCAATATTCTCATTGCTACATTTCCTCCTTTTGCATTCTATAAAATTTCATATCCTACACTATCAAATTGAATGAAATGGTACAGTATTCACCCTCAAAGTTTGGCAAGGCCTTTGGCGTGTAGTCAACTGGCATGAGAGGCGGTGATGGTTTTGGGCTGGCAGCTGTAATAGGCGCCAGTGTCCACTCCCCAACCTTTGCTGGAGGGACCTTACATCCAAACTTGAATGCTAGAATTGTGGTTATTCTTTGGATAACTCATGCATATACATGAGAAACTTACGTTTGTTGTTATGGTCAAACCCAACATGGGTACCAACACCCGCTGTGGATGAAGGTTCGGCCACTGGTGCCTTTGGAGGAGTAGATGGCAGTGGCAGTGATATAGAGGGACCACCGACACCTGCATTTCATTGTCGGGAGCACTGGACCGGTTATGGCGAATGGGCTGGCCATTCAGTGGTGAAGGTGGCGAGGGTGGAACCTCACCATCCAGATCCATTCCAAAGTTGAATGGTTGAGCTGCCAGACCCACCAGCTTCTCTGTGGTAATGGACCAAGTCCAGCCAAAGTTGGATGTTGGGGGAGCTGGGGAAGGTGGTGTAGGCTCCGGTTGAGCTTCTGTGACAGCCAGCATCTCTGTGGTAATGGGCCGAGTCCAGTGAAAGTTGACTGTCTTAGGAGCTGGGGAAGGTGGTGTAGGCGCCGGTTGAGCTGCCAGGACAGACAGCTTCTCTGTGGTAATGGGCCAAGTCCAGCCAAAGTTGAATGTCTTTGGAGCTGAAGGTGGTGTAGGCTCTGAGTCGACTGCTGCTGGGCCTTGCGTGTTGAGTGGTTGGCCTGCCAGGACCACTGCCTTCTCTGTGGAATGGGACTGAGCCCAACCAAAGTTGAATGTGGTTGGAGCAACAGAAGGTGATGACGCCATTGAGTCCGCTGCCGCTGGGCCCTGCTTGTTCACTGCAAACCCAAAGTTGAATTTTTGAGGTTGTGGTGGCGTCGGAGCTGTTTGATGTGCTGGGTCCTGCAAATGGACCTCCACTGTGACTGGCTGTCTCACCGGAAACCCAAAATTGAAGTCTCAAACCCAAAGTTGAATTCTACATGGAAATAAATTAACAATTATGCACACCAGAAAAACATGCACTTTGAGGTAGGTTGCCAATGTTGGAACTTGGCAAGTGAGAAGGTGTATTGTTGCTTGTGGGGAGGTCAAAATGTATGTATGTGATGGGTACTAGCATTAGTCATGTTGTAGAAAGTGATGTTTCAGATGAGTGATTGGAGGAACCTTTGAAGACATGAGCATTAAATATGTGCCAATCAGTGTTGTGGTTGCATCTGCGGGGTTTAAACACTTAGCCAGGACAATAGATTGTTTGCATGGGAAAGTGGACATGTGGTCAAAGATCAGTGCTTCTGAATCCACATACCACTGCATGGCATGGGTCACCAAGCTGAGTTCGTATAATGACATGAAATTTTAATTCATTGACATCTGCCATATAATCCCAAGTTAATTTTCCCCATCTTTGGCATCTACGCTCACATTCCCTGCTCATCATGCCATCCTCACAAGTTTCCAACAATGCCTTCAATGAGGCAACCACTGGTGTCCTGCAAATTTTGGCAAGAGCCTTGCAGTGGACCGAAGGTCCGGCCGGCCACCTGGAAATGGCCACGGAGATGGCAACCATCATGGTCAGCATGTCCTTATTAGTCATGTGTTGTTACCTAATTCACCACAGACTCTGGCATTTCAAAGTCATGCATGGTCAGCGACTGCGATTCCGCTGATCTTGCTCTCGGCAGCCATGGAATTGATGGAGCATGTAGATCATGTTGGCCAGACATCATTTCTTACTGTCCTGGTGTGGAAGAACATCAAGTGTGATGACCCTCGCATCGAGCACCATCATTTATATGGCATGGCTCACAAGGGCCTGACTGCATGGATCCCAGCACCGATTTCACAACCTCCAGATACACCTCCTGTCACAAATCCACCAGCGGTCCCTTCATTGGCAGCAAAGTCAAAGCCACCTGGAAGGTCTGTCACAAGGAAGACACTGATAAACTTGTGTATGGACAGTGACAAAATCAAAATTGTTGGGGATATCACCAAAAGTGATCCTTTTCAGAAGAGGAAGCGGAGGTCCACTGGTGCATCCGAAGAGGTTGCCATTGGCCATGAAGAAAAGGTCATCACACCAGCGAGTGTGGACAAAGACATAGCTGAGATTGTTGCACTGGGACCTACAAATACAACACCAACTAGGCCAAAGCCAAAGCCGAAAAACAAGCAGGTAGAAATAGTAGTCTCCTCTGGGTCGGACGTACCAATGGATAGGAAAGGGAAGGGAAAGGAAGCTACGTTGCTGGTGGAGACAGACTGGCGGGACTATGAGCGGAGGAAGTCTAGAGCTGTTGGTTCCAGCAGGCTGCCAAAAAAAGGATCTAATCAGCTCCTGCTGATGTGAAACACTGGTGATCAATGGAAGCCTTGGTATGAGATTCAGGTAGGGTGAATGGTCATTCTATCTTTATGTGTGTCTCATTACTGTCTTCTCCAGAAACGGGTTAGCACTAGGACTGCCACACGTGACTGGCAAACAAGTGGAGCTATGTTTATGGAACACAAGGCATCGGCTGCCCCTGAGCCTGTTGCCATGATGAACATGGTGGTGGAGGCTGATGTCAATGCTGTAAGCTCCCAAAATGCCTTGAGTCTCACTCCTTCTCATTCATTGCAGAACACTCCCATCACCGTGATTCCACTGACACCGGCTCCTTGTCTCAAAGACTCACCTCCGTCATCCGCCAGGGACATGGTAATTGACTTGTCCAGTGATACTGTTGTAAGGGATTTGCAGGCCATGACACTAGAGGTGGTAGGTGATTTGGTGTCACCCTTCATGGTCGTTCAGGACACCATCAATCACCTTCAGGCTCAGGTGGCTGACATCCGAAGTCAGAACACCAAGATGGCCGAGTTGGTTCAAACCATGAATGCCCGGCTTGGTGCCCAGGATACCGACATCCACACCATGGAGAAAATGTGTGCCGAGATCACCATATTGCAAGAGGAGGTTAAGGCCTTACATGCTGAATCGCAGACTCGTGAGACTCAGATCTGGAATGCTGATGCAATGTTGACTGCACAAGGAAATTGTACTGCCGTCCTGATGGATGCCTATGAATCCATCCATCAATGTGTTGTACCCAACCTGCCTGTCCCTCCTCATTTTAATAATGCTGTATTCTTTCCTGCTGCTGGTCACACAGCTCCATACAGTCAAGGCATGAGCGCCGGGCAGGCACAGGCAATGGAATGGCTTTATTTCAATTTCACACCAGGTCCATCCATGATTGCCAGTAACTCCATTCTGAATATTGCCGCCACCCACGCCGGACCTTCAGGTTCCCAGACCAACCCTCCCTCTAGTGAATTGGCATCTAGGAAAGTTCCCGCCTAAATGATTTCTGTTGGTCAATATTCTCACTGTCGCCATGTAGTGGTAGATGATTCAGAATTGAGTGATAATGTCCTAGTTATACTTTCACTATGGATTACCCTAATAAATGCACTGGTGTGATGCGCCGCTGCAATGCTGATGATTGTCTTACTTTCGGACTACCAACCAACAATTATCGCAAAGTTGCAGTCCATTTTTCTTATTGAGGACGTACATGATCCTGCCAAGCCTGCATCATTACATTTGTGTTATCCATTCATCAGCAAGGCTCGGGCACATGGCTCTATTAACCAGGGCCTCAGTTTGTTTTATGTCGTTATGTTACATCCCATCATTGATTCCCGATGAGTGGTACTTATAAAGGTGTTGACCAGTTAGTGATATGGTCATATCTGTCCCCACCTTCATGAGTCTTGTGCCTGCTGACTGGGCTTTGGCCACCACTCATATTGCCAGTGACTATGTTTGCTGCCAGTTCTGTGCTATTGTTGGAGTGATGCCAAAGGTGCTCCCACTGCTGGAGCTTGATGTTGTATTGATATTGATGCTAGGTTGTTCCCACCTTGCAAGGATCCTTGCCGATGCATATCTCAATCCTGGTAATGACCTTTCCATGCTTCCGGTGCTATCGTTGACTTGACTTGCCTTTAGTCACCATCAACTTCGATATCACCAGGTATTCCGAAGTGCTGCAAAAGCAGGAGAGAGGTGTTAGCCTCGGGCATGAAGAATATCTCCTGGCCCAATACCTGCCGGATCGTGAAATTGTCCTGAAGCATCCAGCAGTTGTCCTGGACAGATTTGGTCTTATCATGTTATGGTACCTCCCCAGAGCAATTGATGCTGCCATTCAGGTGGGCTTGCACAACTCGCTGATGGTTTCTGCTGACCGTTCTAGAATGACATGCTTGCGGCGATGATGATGATGTCGGGCCTGCTAGGCAAGAGTATCACCCGTGGTACATCACTGAAGGATAAATGGTGTGCCCATGAATCCAATTTTCAAATCAATGAACATTGCCTTACCTCAGGGTGCATCAATCTTTCGCCGGGGTGGTTCCTGCAAGCTCATCCAGTACATTGACATTTTGGAACAGAATATTCTTGCCTGATTTCTTCATAGGCTCCACAGTTTCAGCCTGAAGTGTCAGTGACCCTTAAAAGCAACAATGGTGTGGCTTACTGTCGGGCAATGTGCAGACCAGTGGCCCTTGTTGCTGCTGCATTGAGAGTCATGCACTCCAGTCTCTATTGGTCATCATTGACAATACAACTGGGGCTCGGGGTTTGGGCAGATACTCATCAAACACAGACCATGGGGACACAGCTCAGAGAATGGGCATCTGTCTTTACCATTGTCGCTGTTATGTGCAACTGGTATACTCCCTTGCACCGAGATGCTCTATCCCATGCTCAATGGTTTGACATAATGACCAGCGTTGGCGGTTATACATCGGCGTGAATAAAGATGCCAAATATTGGGATTGAAATTGCCTATAATCCAGGTGTCATGGCTGGTACATCGGGAAGAATTGTTAGGCATGGGGTGAACTGGGTGAATGATGATCAAGTTGGCTGGGTGTGGTATATGAGGGATGATATTCATGAGTTTGTAGATGTACCCCGAGGTGATTATTCAAGGTACAAATATGTAGTTACTGATGCGATGGAATTCGCATAGAGTTGTGATAGATATAGTACATTGGGGGATGTCCTCAAACTCTTTTGATCCTTCCTAACCACAAGTTGTCACAGTAATATCAGATTCTGGACCATACCTGCATCAGCGAACTTCTGACCCAGTCTTTGACCGACCAAAGATGTATCGGCAATGGACAGTACCTTTTGGCACCATTTCGCCGGCTCCAGCGTATCTCACTGTATGTTGTGTAACCCACTGGGCCTGCTTGTTAATCACATTAGCCGGGACTGGGCCCATTCTGCTTGTTTGATGTGATGTGGGCCCACCCCTGATTTAAGAGAACTCTCTTGGGCTGCATCCTGCCACCAGCAGCAGCTCCACAGGCCCGTATGCATATTTTGTTGTGCAGGGGTGGGCCCATTGGGTTGATCTCGTGTCATTGGGCCCACCTGGCTGCTGCCCTACAGGGTGTAGGCCTGACAGTATACAATGGTGAGGACCCCGGTGTAGAGACTAATATCTCTGTGGGCTTGCAGGGATCTTAATTCCCATCGTTCCAATCACTTCCTAATATAGCGCGACTCATATCTCACCCAGCGCACTCAAGCACTTTGTCGGCCGCTCACGCGCACGAGCACTTTGGTCACACATCAGCACACGCATCTTTGGTTCCGTCGCCCGTCCTCTGTCCATCCATTCCATGTCTGTTCGATTCATTGGTGTGTATTCCGATTCTATTTCCATTTATTCTGACATATCTCCGGCGCTTATACCATATTTTGTATGTTTTCCATCATGGACCCTTACATTACATATTATTCCATATCCACTTTGCTTCTCGGTTCGCTTTAGCACTTGACAGCGCTTAACATTACTTAGTATATATACATGCGCCTAAACTGTATAATGACTATCTTTCTGCCCGCACATCGTTGGACTCTAAGTCTAAGTTCTCCTTCACATCTATCAATCAAATCTAAGTATTTAAGTACAATACAAGTGCCGCCACCATGTTCTGACTCATTAAGGGTTGCTGCGCTCCACCACCTGCACATGCGCACCGCTTCTGCTTAGTGCATGCTTCTGTTATAAGTCACGCGCTGTCGCTTATTGTTGGCTGTCGTCGCTCATCAGCACTTTACATCGCTTTCACTCACTCGCGCTTCGCTCATTGTCGTGCGCCTTACCAGGCTTGACCAAGCGCCCAGTCCAGTGTTTCCCTCCACATATACACTTAGAGGAACCTTCTCAGTCGCAATCCCCTTGGGCCGATGTATATCTCACTCATCGAGGACTACTTGAGTATATCTCATACCACCCATATAACCCCACTTCCCATTCCTCTTCTACACCGGGCCCATGTGGACACCCAGAGTAATGCATATGGGCCCTTGGGGCTGTGGTCATATTATGGGGCCAGCCCATGAGCTCTGAGATCATGAGCAGGGCCCAGTGGTGTTCATGAAAGTGGTGCTCCAGGCCCACCCATCCGCCACATGTATGAGGTCTGGGCCTACTCAACTAGCTTACACCCATTCTGCCTTCGGCATAGGTTGCAAAAAAAGAGTGCTTCGCGCTCTTTTTAAGCTCCCTGGCCTCAGCTTCATCCTAATAATTCTGAAGGCTCGTGATGAGCTGCATCCTAATAAATTGTGCATTTTGAATAATTTTGAAATGTATTTATGAGCAGCTTTTCAAAAAAACTCAAAGTACAATCTATCACACCACATAAAAGTACATAGTCCATAAGATCAGTCAGTTCTATGTTCATTGAGCAGGATTTTGACAAATGTTAAAATACAATCTACTACACAACATAAAATTACAAAATATGTAACAGTAATATTATTACAGTATCATTGAATGTATTTATTTTCCCATTTTTCCCTGCCTCCCATCTCCTATTGCATCCCATGTCCTCCCGTCTCCCATCTCCCATCATGTCATGTGTCCCATGTTCCCATCTCCTGTCTCCTGTCTCCTGTCTCCTGTCTCCTGTCTCCTGTCTCCTGTCTCCTGTCTCCTGTCTCCTGTCTCCTGTCTCCTGTCTACTGTCTCCTGTCTCCTGTCTCCCATCTCCTGTCTCCTGTCTCCCATCTCCTGTCTCCTGTCTCCCATCTCTTCATTCTCTCCTCTCCATGCTCTTCTGTCCCTCCAACTCTGCATCCTAATGATCATAGTAGATTTTGAAACAAATAATATGATTTTCAAATGAAAAAGTTCAGATTCTTTGATACCTAAAATATAAACAATCTAAGAGAAACCTATCAGAAGAGTTTTCCTGAGGGTGGGGGAGGACACTTCCAGCCTGGTGGCAACTCCCAGCCTAGTGTTGGTGCCTGATGGAGTAGCTTATCATAGAAATCAAGCTGTTCCTGACAACTTGACCATGCCTTTGCATTGCGCCACCACTCCTTCCAGCCCCTAAGGAGTTCCTTCTGTTTTGCCCTATCAGCCATCTTCTGCTCCTTACTCATCCAATGCTCATGCTCCTCTTTGCTCCTCTCCATGGCTTTTTTAATCCTGGCAGTATCCTTGGAGAGATCATGCATCCTCTGCTCATGTGCATGAGTGCATTCTTGACAGGCTGTCTTACTATAAGGATCATTGAGTTTGCGACGCTCAAGCCAAGCACGAAACTGGTTGTGGCAGTTGTGGTGCACTCGGGCCTCCCAGTCAACAGAGTGAGAAGAAGGCAGGGCAGCATAGCCATGCTGAAGGGGAGGAAACAGGGCCTGGGTGCAGGGGGAACTGCAGAAGGATTTTTTTTTTAAATATTTGTCTTGTTAGTACATGACCAAATGACTCACCCATTGTCCAATGAAGCAGAAAACTGCACCACAGACTGTGCAGGCAGTGGTGGGCAGCCTGGAGGCTGTTGAGAACTGCAGAGGGGTGGCTGTCAACACATTCAAGTCAGCTTAGTAATAGCAACAGGAACTCACGTGCAGTCACACAATATGAAATTCTGGCCAACAGAAGACATGCCTTACTGTCAAATTGGGACCTCAAATGGCACACACAAGTGAAGCTAGGCTTTACTTAGGTCAACTCCTAACCTCCCACCCCATGCGAGAAGCCAGGCTTTGTGCATTTTGTTGAGCAAGCCCAAATTTGTTGCTTTTACCATACCATGTATTGTGATGCGAGCCTCCGGGTTGCTCTCAGCTCGTTCTGTCTCTTTATCGTACAGGCCTGAATACTATTGAATACTAGTATTTGTTCAAAGAAGTCATTGGTTACCAGTCGTCCCCCACCACTCACTCTGAGTTCTTGCCTTCAATATGGTTCCCTTTCACCGAATAACTCAATAGGAGTCAGGAACGCCAGGTGTTCCTCAATTCCTTAAACAAAGACACAAATCACTTCGAAACTGATGCTTCTACCAGCACTGATTCTTCGCACCTCAAACAATCACAGCTTGATATAATCGTCACATGACTAGCTTTATTAGAGGAGCAGAGAGTTATTAGAACATGTTCGCAGATTTGGGTCAAGCTATTTGTACGGGGCCAATGATTCAATTGCAATCGTGAGTAGACCACCCAACAATTCCTCTGGGCCAGGGCCTCGTGGGAATGTTATCTGTTCAATAATCAGAAATCGCTTTTCATTTCACAGTCTAATTCCCACCCAGTGGACCACTAGAAATGTAATGCTTTGAAATTACTGAGACATTCTCTCTGAAATGGCTACCTACATCCTGGGGACCTGTTGCTCTAGTCCCGCTGAATTGCATTTGCATGTGTTCGGGTAGTGACCGACTTTATGATCACTTTCTCGTTCTACGTCATCAATAATCAGGAGGATGGTGATTGTGGAGGGACCTTCCTCAGAACCGTGTTTTCATGGTGATCACCCCATCGCCCACTAATGAGACCAACCGTTGTAGAGAATCATGCCTCTCATGGCATGATATGGTAGTTTTCACCAAGGAGTATACAGCACGAACTCATAGCATTACTCTGTGCGCTACCCGCAGCTATCTCTATATGAGGCGCAGCTTTCCCACGCAACGCGCGCCATGCGCGCACCATTCCCGCGCTTCACGATGTATACGCGCGCGCGCGTTCCCGCGCTTGCGCGCCCTATAGCGCCAGCCATCCAGATGCATCCATCCACTGTCCACCAAGCTCCCTAGTATGTATATTTCCATTTCCTTTATTAGCATAGTTCCACCTTTATTTTTATCATAGTTTCTCACTCATATATATTTTTACATACCTACTCGGTAGCGCTTCGGCTCCGCATGAGCGCGCTTAGGCGTGCTATATAAGCGCTAGCAGTACATACTACACTGGACCTACTTTTCCTACTTTTCACTTACTAGTTACTACCCACTTACTACTTAGCAGAATATAGTAGAAAGCTATTCCTTTACATTTTGCACTCTTATATCTCTTATCTTGCTTTATATCACTACTTAAGCTTAGTTTCTCATTTCCGCATACGCGCGCGCACTTTCCCACGCTTCGCGCTAATACGCGCGCGCATTCCCGCGCCTTTGTACCTTGCGCGCTCCTGCGCTTTCTCGCGCTTCGCTTAAGCGCACACTTCTAGATCCTTGCTGCACTCACTTCCCCTATAGGGTCGAACGCACTTGCTTCTCAAGTAACGCAGACTAGGCAGCGCGCGACCTTACAACTTTTACAGATACAGTCAGGAGCTTCTTTTGTTCCTCATTGTATTGTTGTTTCTACACCGTAATCCTGGCAATGTGTGTAATCTTACATCACTCTTCAGATCTACCAAGTGGAGCTGATCTTGTACTGGACTTGCATCATTACTATGTGATACAATGGTATAGAAGGAAACATCTCATGGGGGATCAATAATGTTCCATGATGATGTCTGGGTTGCTCTCTCCTACAAACTCCCTGGACCAGGAAATACTGTCTTGCCAAAGCCTCAATGATGCCATTGAAGCCATTTCCAACCTGGCACAACATAGTCGAGTACAAACTACTGCATATTTGCTTGGGGCCAGACAAGAACCCAGCATACAACTGATCCTGACATTGCAACCATGTATGTTGATGTGGGGTTTGCCAAAAATACCCTTCCCTCCAGTGTGTTTGACTGCATCCATGCTTACATGGATATCTCACCAGAGGACAGTGAACTTGGTTGGCGACTGTCAACCGACCGCTGTTCAGATCCACCAGCTCGTTTGAAGACATCTTTTGACCTCAAAAATGCATTCCAATTGGCAAGAGCAAAGCGCTACTCAGGTAGGAAGGAGAAGCACATGAAAATAGAGATATCAAACCTTGTGAGTTGTTTCACATCAAGGTGGGGTAAATTAATTCTGACCTGATCTTGTCTAGAAATCTATTTCAAAGATTATCAGCGCCAAGCAAGGTGGTGAAAACAGCCATCTCTCCAACATTTCAGCTCAACCAATCACCTTGCCAAGTCCAACCGTTCACAACTACATCCATCTCAGGGGCGAGGCAGCCAATCAGAATCAATTGCTGCATGCTGGAATCAAATGTCCACATGACATATACCTCAAGATGGATGATGAGTCAGATGATGAGCTGCAACTCCCCATTTGCAATGTCCTTGATATTATTGATGCTCTCTTTCCTGCAATGGACTTCCATCAGTATCTAGGCGCTTTGCACTGCCAAGGCATCACATATCTAGCTAGTGCAGTCAATTTTGACTGCGATTTTTATGTCAGTGATGTCAGAATGTCGAGGGGGGCTGCATCACTATTCTGCAGACAGGTCAACAAGATGAAGATGAAGAATGATTGGGCTGTGGTGAGGCAAAAAGCAAAGGGTAAAAAGTGTGCTCGTATTTCTTATGACGACCGAGACGAAGAGTTCCTCTTAAGAGAGGCTGATTTCGAATATACAAAACACTTGCCTTCCAACATTACAAGCACTTAGATATTTGGCCCCACGAGTTCATATATTGACTCTAGCATGTGTAATTCTGTACTGAATCTAAAATACTATTCTATGACGCTGTCACACTTTTTTTCAAGATTCAAGCTTGGCCTCAGGCTTTAAATCTGACTAATAATATTTGGCATGCTGACCTGGGAACACGTGATTACTGAACTGGCGGACTCAGTGTCCAGATCCCTCTAATAGTTGAACAGCTTCAAAATATTCAATACAATTATTATAATTCAGTATGCAATCACACTGCAGCTGATGAATATCAAATACAGTAGAATATAAATTTTACCAGAACTAAAATTAAGACGGACAGTACAAACACACATATGCTCAGGCAAAATGTCATCAATGAAGTTTTTGAGCGAGATTTGATATCATGTAAGAGGTAAGGTCAATGAAACTTGTGGAGATATTATATTATTGAAGCTATGAAGCAAATTGTGGATGTGTGCAAGATGTATTGTGTACACGGTGTGTCAATCAATTACATAATATGCATATACTTACGTACATTGTCCATGACCACAAGTGTCACCGTCAAATAGATCTTGGAATTTTAACTCCGCAATTCTATCTTCTTCCTCTCCCTAGTACTCATTGGATCTTGGAATGACGATGTTCCCAGACCCATAGCTGCTATATTCGTGCAGCAGTTGCAATAATCTTTCCAGTATATGAATCTTGGAATGACAATGTTCCCGGCTTCTCATCTTTTATCTTCAGTACTACCATCTGAACCTTGGAACAACAACATTCCCAGGTTTTATTTGCTAGGACATCCTCATGCTTAAGATGTGCATCATACAACCTTCCTCTCTCCAGTGGCTCATGAACAAAAATTTGAGGCATTGGAAGGTAATCAGCAGAAATGCGCCAGGTCAAGATTACTGCTGGGTAGTAATCAATGGCGACGACCCCAAGATAGGACCAGTTCCAAGTGACAATGATTGGTCTCATGGTCGCCCATACTGCACTTATTCCTGTAATCTCTAATAACGACTTCCCCACCCATGGTTGGGTCTCGGACTGGGGCTTCAATGATCATGCTGGTTGGGGTTTAACCTTGGATGCGCACAAAGTAATTTTTCGTATCTGTGACAATTCCAGAAAAATGATGCAAGCTGTTCTTTCCACTTACATGCCGAAGTACACCATCCCCCCCAATTTCTCGCTAGGTTGGTTAGCCAATCGCTTCCCTACAGAGGTGGCATTAGCCAAAAACGTTGCAGAGGCCCGATGTCTTGTATTGGATCAGTACGGCTTCATAGCCTTTAACGTCAAAAGAGATCCCACATGGAGAACATGCGCGAGATTATCAACCTTAAAGGATATGATAGTCAACACTGGCCTCATGGAATGTGCATATCAAGGATGCATAGTAAACCTAAAGGAGGTCGAATTGTCGGAGATGATTATGCTCGTTGAGGACAAAGTCCCATTGCATTATCAGTGGTTTCCTATGGATGTCGGCCCCTTCAACCCTTGATCGCTCAAGGCTAGTGATTATGACAATCGTTCAGAGGTAATAACCCAGGAGAAACATTTCATCCTTGACTTGTCGAATGTTCATACTTTCTATCGAGTCAGCAGCGGCAGGAACAAGGTCGCAATTTCTAGGAGAGAATTCAGATGTTGGGCGTATTGGTGCCCGACAATGTGTCAGAAATTACCCTTGGGTTTTTCCTATTTGCTCTTCCAGGACATGCAACACGCTGATGATGGTCTGACAATTGATGTGGAGGACATACAACACTCCGACCCTGATCCTGACAGTCCCACAGTTATTGATGTAGACACATTATCTGACTATTCTTCTGACGATGAATGGGAACCGACGGAGCTTGGAGTCCAGGAGATGTCGCTGTCGGGAGTGATGCTAGGTGTTGCTACTACGGTGCTCTCTCAGAGTGAGTTGGACACTGTGGATACTTTCCTGTCAGATTTGAAAGGCATTATTACTGCAACAATTCAACAAGAACCTCATGATCGAGTGCCGCAATGTGAGTTTCCACAAGCCGAGTCTCTGTGACCTGAGTCACTAATCCTCCTAGAAGAAGATATTACTATTACCTCCTGTTCCCCTGTGGCATCCCAGCTACGAGAAGATGTGTCTGCACCTTGCTTGCCCCCCCAGCAGTGCCTTTTTCTATGTGGATGCCCGATAAAGAGACAGAATCTCCCCCCCACAACAAACGAGGAGTGCTCCAAGAGAACGGTCTCTTCAAAAAGCATACCATATCCACAGTCAATTCTCCCTCAAAGACGAGGGAAAACAAAAGGCACTGCTCAACAGTTTTGGACAACTGGCAACTCACCCCATGCGAATGACCAACAAACGAGTCAGCGGCTTCCCTGGATGCTGTCATGTTCCTGCCATCCACAATAGAGCAAACTAAATTGCTTGAAACTACCTCACTAGACAAGATACACAGTGTCATGACTTCTCCACCCGTACCAGTGCCCCAAGTGTTGTCTCAACTGCAAGTTTAATGCCTTCGATGATCAATGATAACTCACTAATGAGGCTTACAGGGCAATAGAATTGAAATTCAGCAGGCCACCAGTCATGTTGCCTGGTATCAATTTCCCCACTATCATCGTGACCCAGCATACGGGAAAATTAATCACGACATTTAGAACAGCCATGCGCATCACGTACGCGATGTTTGTCAATCCTTGAGCTGGCCCTATGGATTCCATTCCAATCCTGCTCAGATCCAGAGCATCCTACCGTGTTCTCTCGCCATTGGGAACTGCTATAGCTCCCCACCTGCTCATTGATCAACTGCCCTACCTAGCCACTCGTCATGAGTATACAGGCTTAGATCTCTGGGACCCTGATTACTGGGTCAACTACAAAAAGAATGTCAAAGAATTGCTCGGCAGACCATATGCTCGTCGCTTTTTGTCACTTGGTGGAATCCTATGGTGTTTAGCTCTTCAGTTCGGTCCAGCTGACCTCATTGAACATGCTATTGCAGGGCCCTCCTCAGATGCTACTAACTGGGCAAGCGGGGACATGTCAAATGGTTTGTGTGATGATATGGTAACACCAGTGGACAAAGGCATTCTTGTTGGCTGCAGTCTCCGAGGATCTGAAATGTGCTGGCCCCCCTATGATCTTTGGGATGCATCTACTGGGTGGACAGGGTGCTGGTCTAATGATAATGAGTTGTGGTTCCAATCACACCTCTCCAATCTCTCAGATGGTAGACTCGATGCTCCAAAAAGTCACCAAGTCTGGAGAAAACTCTTTAAGCCAGCTCCAGCAGTCATGTCGCAAGATCCAGCCCATCGCAGGACTGACCCATTCACTCATCCTGTGTTCAGTGATTTGGGTCATTCTGTAGATCACGAACCTTGTTGGGACCTGGCGCAATATGAATGAGGGGGAGAGACACTACATAATTGTATCACCATATTCATGTTAAATTTACGAAGCAATATTTGTAACAATATCTATCTCATGAAAGTTAATGTTCAGTTAGTAAGTTCTCGTCCTAAACTAGTACATTAGGAAAGTCAGAACACTAGATCATTGAATCATCATCATTCTCGTACTGGATCATTGACATGACATCACCTCACATTACATAAACATACACTCATTAGGAACTCTGAGTCGTCTACATGGGAGCAGAGCACTGCGTAAACACTTCACAGTGCCTTGAACTATGAGCTCATGTTCGATGTCTGACTCTTGTCTCATGCAGGGAGGGCTACTTGTTGGTTCCAGGAAACTTCCTTTTTGCAGTTATACTCGCTCACGAAGCCCTGGGCTTCCATGGCAGTCACTCAATCCACCTCCTCCACCTATCAAAAGGCATTCAGCACCCCCAAATGTCACAAGTTCAAGTGAGACTCAGTTCAATAACATGACTAGAGCTTTCTTGTCAGTGGAAGCACTTCAGGCCAATTTTCAGACCCTGGAATATGTCTCATCAGCATCATCCTCTGATCTGGGATCTGCCACTAAAGATGTGAATGGTGAGATTTCTGCCACCTAATTGCAATTGTATCCTGTCGCTCAAGTTTTGCAACAGATCTACGTAAGCGCATCATCACTGCCTTGACTGATGATTGTCAGGAGAATTTAGATCACTGCAGGCATTTTCCCGTTTTCCTCCACCAAACATCCAAAAAATATTGATTGAGAAGATAGAAGTTTCCTCTCATTTTTCCTGTCAAAACATTGAAAAAAGTAATTCATGTTTCAGTGATGTTCTGTGCATAGGACATGATGCAAAAATTAATCATATTCCTTTGAGGATAATGCTGTATTTTTCCATCTATTGTCTTTGAAATAACAGCTTAGAATAATGTTAATTGTCTTCTCTGTGTTTTTCAAATATACAGTTTGTAGTTGGCACAGTGTACTATACTTCAGTTTGTTCAAATTTGACTTATTAAGACTTGTTACCTTCCAGCCTATTGACATCACTCATCTCAGTTGATTACACCCGGTGGCCCTTGTCACGCTGCAATCTGACTGCCCACTCTTTGTACATCATATTTGACCAAGAATGTTTTGACCAATGTTGTCCTGGCAAGTATGTGATGACAGCAGGTTTATTCTCAACCTATTGACCGACCAACTCATATGTCATGTATGACCGAGGTGGTACTGGCAAATATAACATGGAAGCTGGTCTATAAATATCTACCTATTGACCAACCACCCAACCATGTCATCCATACTATTTGGCCGAGCGTGTTCTGACCAAGGTATTCCTAGTAAGTGTATTGTGGAAGCTGGTTTGTGAATACCGAGCAGTTGACTGACCTGTGTCCATAATCCTTCTATATACTTGGAATTTCGGCCCATCTGTATATATCAGCACTGTTAAGAACGTGCTCAAGGGTCAAATCTGAAGGGCTTGGCTTCAGCTTGTGTGCTGCGCCCCTTACCCAAGTATGTGCCCCTAATTCCTGAAGGCTGTTGAACAATGTCCGAATGTTACCAGATGATGTCCGGAGGTCAGTTGGGCGATGTCCGGAGTCCGATGTCCGATGCGCGGGAATTCCGGCGGATGTTCGGGAACAAGTGATAAGACTAATCCGGACAATGTCCAAACTAGAAAGGAAACAGCAGAGGACTACCAGAGGTAGAGACGGAGGTGACAAGTCTATAGGAGTCAATCCTAAGACAAGTGGAGGTCGACAAGAGAGAACTCAAGTCGGATGGAGGAGGGAATGAGCAGAGTCTAAGATAATATTCAAACTGAGGAAGTACAAAGATTCTACAGGGTTTATATACTACTAAGGACTTATTGGAGAAACAAGATGCGCAGTCCAAAGCTATGTGAGGCTGTGGATGGAGCGTATAGAAAAGTCAAACACTAGTCTATCGGAAAATAGTAAATGAAGCCGGAGATGAGAATGGAGGAAAATAAAGGCAGAAATGAAATGAGGTACGGAAAATGATTTATAGTCTAACTGGAGTAGGAATGTACAAAGGGATAAGGCACGGAAGTTAGATGTGGGTCAGATCCGGATGTCCAGAAATGATGTGTGTGATAGGTCCAGGTCCAGAAACGCAGGATATGACAAGCACCAGCAGCCACTCGGCCCACTTATTTATATCAGGTACATACTTCATACACTACCTACCAAAGTCAATAAAAAAGTCTACACTTATCTACTACATTACATAGTACATACTATGGGCCCACTTGTTTGTATTAGATAAACACTTGACATTAGCCCACCTGTATTTAACATGGCAATACATTGATGGGCCCACATGGGATGGCTCATGTAGAACAGGGATATTTCAACCTTGGCTGTACGTACTATACAAGGGTAAAGTGACTGCAGTATGTGAATGAAACTGAGAAAGATGATGTGTTGATAAGAACAATTACCACAGGAGGTTTTCAATAATGAATAAAATAAAGATGATCCCACTAGTAGTAGTAAAACCTAGTTGCCAACCAAAGATTTGAAAAGCTGAATGGGGCCTCCAGACAGTGATGATGGGAGACACAGAGGTCAAGGAAACAGATAGGTATGCTAGGAATGTTGGTGTTCCTATAGGGATCCACACGGGTAAACCCACGGGTGTCTCAAGGCCAACCCGTACCCGTACCCGCCATGGGTATGTACCCATAGACACAGGTACAGGTACGGGTGCGGGTGCGTACCCATGGCAGGTGTACCCACCCCCACCTGATCCCAGTAGCCACCAGTGCTTAGCGCACACGCCTGGCACACGTCAGCAAATGCTGACGTGGCTTGGATGTATGCAGAGGACACTGGAGAGCGCCAGAAGAGTGGAAGGAGGGACAAGACAGGAAGAACAAGATGGAGGGTAGGATGAGGGCATGAGTGGTGGTAGTATGGCGCGAGTGGTGGTAGTAGCACACTGTAAAGTTAAAGATATTAGTAAACGAGAAAAAAAAAAACATGCGCACCTGGAACAAGCAGCGAACGACTGAGAGCAATGAGCAAAAGATTAGCAAGCGAGAGAGTGAGAGCAGCAAGAAACACACCTTTGCCACTTAGAGCCTCAACCCAATCACTACACCCCTACAAGAGTTAGCTTGAAGGCTGGGAATCAGGTGCTGGTATTGGTGGTTATCATGAGATGAGAGTCAAGCGGTGGTGAAAGTGTGAACACAAATATTTGTAAGCACGCTCGGCAGTACCCGCACGGGTAATGGGTACTCAAGACTCTGACCCGTACCCGTACCCGTACCCATGCAGATCCCTATGTTCCTATAGTACTGAAGAGGGCCAACCATTTAGTCTGAGACTGATAAATCCTGAGAGAATGAGATTACATAACATTGGTTTATATTTTACTCACCTGAATATTGTGACATGTGAGCCAGCTCAACCTCAAGTAACAACAGGCAGATGTAGCCAGAGCTAAATTTAAATATTAGTATTTGAGAAATTAATTAATTAAGGAACATACCATAAGTGGCTAGGGCCACTGCCATCACCAGGATACTAGCCGAAATCTCATTGGTGTAATCAAGGACCGCTGTCGTAGAATTGAGGTGGAAAAAGCTGAAAATTGCGCTGAACCCTCCAAAGGCAAATGCTGGCTTGTGCAAGTCTTCAATCCATGTCTTCCACTTTTCTTCTGTTTTGATGGCTTCTCATATATCTTCAAACCTTGTCCAGTTCAGCCCATACAAAACTAGGACATGCATCAGTCAGGCCAAGTGTCACATCAAATTAGGTACGTACAATGGAGAAACAGGTCATGTGTCACCCTGCGCAAATGGAGGCCACTGTCGGGGTGCTGGTCATCAGCCACTCTGCCATCGGTGTGCTGGTCAGAAACACCAGGTAGTGGTATCGCCGCCGATTCGCCCTCGGTGCAAGAAACAGAAGCAAGTTCTATCTCTGACGTTCCGTCGTGTGGCCCGCTGCCAGCAGAGTTCTCGTTCCCAGCACCAGCTGACATGATTGGGGGTATATTCAACATTGGGTATAAAGGTAACCGTTCTTCGTATTCTAGTAAGCAGTCAGCCTGGCAAGACGTTGTTTGTGTTTGTTTACTGGGCCATGTCGATGCATTGCAATCGCAGTACCAATATATTCCCAATCTATTCTGTGGGTCAAAACAACATCACTGACTAGGTGCAATACGGTCCATCGTGAATACGCCTCTCGGAGGTAGACAGATCGTGGAGTGCGGTATCTAGTGACATAGGAACACATCGCCCACTGCTAAGAACATGCGCTATGACAACACCGATGTTTCGGTCTACGAGAACATCTTATCGTACCGGTTCAGGCATGAATACCACTCGTAGTCTAAAGAAATGATCTTCAGTGGTAGTCCAACATTTGTATGGAAATACTTACCGAAATTCTGACCAGGGTCGCACCAACACTTTCCTTTTGCGTGTACATCTCCCTGTGGACAATGCTGGAAGGGTTCGTGTCGATACCCGATGTCATTGAAGAAGTGGATTTGTTCCTTCTTTGCGAACAGTGCAGCTCCGATGCTATGAACTGGTGCATCTCCCCAACGCTATTCCAAATGAAACTATGTCCCAAAGCGTGCAAACACAAGACTCACCTCATAGTAGAATCCACCCTGCTCATCAAGGTATTCGAAGAATTTGGAATATGCCTCGTCTCGCCAGAAATCAAGATCTGCGATCTCAAAGTTGCTCCAGACTAACCACGTGATTGTGTTAGCATGAGGAACGTTGTGATACGCAATAACCTACAGTGGCACAGATTGTAGGACTCTCCTCCATCATCAGATAGAAATTCCATCGCATTTCCGGGAGCCACGAAATCAGGATTAGCATTAATAAAAGCTAGGGGAAGGTGAGATTGAAATCATAGTGAATACCGAATACGCTTACACTTTACAACGTTCCATAGTGTTGGGATAGTAGCTTGGTATTCGTATAGTGATATGGTGAAGCCTGTTGATGTTTGAGACTAGCATATAATTGAAAGCATCGTTTGATTTACCATACACCTTATTTTGGTCTTGCATCACGAGAAAGGGATCATAATCCACGTCGCAGAAGAGCTTGATGTCTGGCCTGATTGGGGAAGGTAAAGTAAGCCAAGCTACATCGCATCTCCTTTGGTTGCGTCTACTCACTCGACTCTCCAATAGTATCGGTATTTCTGTAGGAGCTCATGTCGATAGAAGAACTAATGACTGGTCAGGCAACCTCGACAGGACGCATTATGATCACGTACACCAGAGTTAAAACGACACATATTCCGGTATCTAGGAAAAGTCAGTCAGATGCAGCGACGATAGTTTAGCATACGCACGGAACGCTGCCTAGAAAATAGTTGGACTACATGTACGCTTGAAACTGTAAAATAACGTACCTCCATAAATCACATTATTCCTAACCATGTCGTCGCGAGATTTGCTGGCTCGATCTTCATCAACCCAAGATGGTTGATGCCAATGGTCGGACGGGATGACACCGAATTCGACTGTAGTATTGGTTAAGGCCTGTATGTGGCTTTATGGCCCGTCAACAGCTTCAAGATTACAAGCGCAAAAAGACGCACTCCTTAAAGTTCTGCGTAAAGGGCTCGTCGTTAAGGAACACATAAGGATACTGGAATTTCCTGTTGAACCTATCCTCGATTTGCTTCATACTGCTCATGATTCCTGAAAGGTCGGAGTTCCGTACAAGCATGACGAATGAGGCGTTCGCTTTGCGGTCTTGTAAGTGCATGGGTGAATCAGGCTTGTAGTACTCGTCGGGCAGGGGTGTTTTGTAGGGAGGGTTTGACTTCGGACCAGTCCATTGCTCTGCTATATTTGAGATGGATGTCGCCTTTCCGTACTCTTCATGCGTAAAGCTCAGAATGTAGTGAATTGAGATCTATTTGATTGTTAAATCAGCCGGATTGTCAAGTTGGCATGAACACGTACAATAACACCCAAGACAAGCAAGATGTAACGCATCGGGGTCATCATCTTTCCAGAGGTGCTCGTCCCTTTGGGACCTTTATTAGCGCAAATCGAGAGAAAGGTAACTGGATGGTAAATGCAAGAAAAAAATGAAGAGGATATAGGACTGCTGTTGGTCGCGGTGGAAGGATTGAGCCACGCCACCTAAAACAGCCAACTGAAAACGCCTGGCCTATAATGGACTGCGGCGTGGTCCGGTTTCAAAGTTCTTCCTGCTCCACGTGGTCTGTTTCCTTCATCTCCGAGTCCTCTCTCGATGTTTTGGTCCAGTCAGCACGCATCGCTACATATCGTCCCTGTGACCGTGCCTGATTAATATATGTAGTCATGGTCATGAAAATATGCATTATTACTAGGATCAAACGACTTAGATTAGTTTACCCTGTAGTAGTCTACAGTGGCCTATGGTAGAAATACACATATAAAGTCGTACGTCTACTAGTACATTCAATCAATCTAATCGTGCAACCGCATAAAATGCCTGAGGCACGAATTTTGGGCAAAATCTGTGACATCGTTAGTCTCACCAGGAGAAATCATGGAGTATTATCGCACCGAAGTTATCGTTTGGATCACACGAACAATGTCCTTCCCGCCACTGTTTACCCTGCGGACAATGAGCGAATTCAGCGTGTTTATAACCTGCGAAAGGATCAGTTATGAATATGAAATAACATGACCTTGGCTTGCCTATATCCTTAAAGAAATGTATTTGATCCTTGCGCGTAAATAAGGCTGCGGCGATGCTATGAACAGGTGCGTCTCCCCATCTCTGTGTATGGCATTCAACGAGTACGAAAAGAAAGGAAGAACTTGCAACTTACCTCATAGTAGAAGCCTCCTGTGTTCTCAAGGTACTCGAAAAATTTCGTGTAGGCTTCGCCCCTCCAGAAATCCATATCTGCGATCTCGAAGTTTGACCAAACTGAGTGGGGTCAATGACCATTTTGAAGCATGAGATCGAATGACTCTTACAGTGACACATGTTGTAAGAATCGCCCGCATTGTCAGATAGAAAATCCATTGAGTTGTCTGGTGACACATATTGAGGATATTCCGCGACGAAGTCTGCCAAATTGATTCACTCTCAAGCTATCGTGCGTGATTATCGGTGCTTACTTTTCACCGTGGACCATAACGAGGGTATAGTTGGTTCCCATTCTGTTAAGAGCGCGATTCACGCTATAATTAACTGAGCAGAGATGAGAATTTACCTGGCATAGATATCGTGAAGCCTGTCCTTGCATAAATTTAGTAGCCCAAGCAACTATAATGAGAATAACTTGCCATAAATTTTGTCATGATCCTCCAGGAATAGAAAGGGGTCATAATCCAGGTCACAGTAGTATCTAACATCGGGCCTACAGAATGGGTCAGAACCTAATTCATCTATATGGTGAACGACTGACTGACTCTACTCTCCAGTACCATTTATATGGCGTTAAGAGTTCATGGCGGAAAAAGAACTGTAGAGAGAGATCAGCCAACGAAACATCCTTCCTAAACCCGCGATGCTGTGCGCTCACCCCTGAATTAAACCGGCACATATTGCGATAACTAACGACTGAGGATGAGATGGTATTCGAATGGGTTTCGAGGATACGTACGAAACACTTCCTGTGGTTTTAATGGTAAGATAACAAAAAATGGCTGAGGAATGATGAACTTGCCGCCATAAATTACACCTTGTCGTACAAGTTTATTACGTCCCTCCTGAGCTCGTCCTTCATCTATCCAGTCCGGCTGGACCCACTGCTCGTGAGGGACCAACCCAAAAGAAACGTCTGCGTCGGTTAAGACACTGACACGCCTGACAAAGCATGAGAAACCAATTGCGCTCAGGCTAGGTAGTGAGATGGTATACCTTTTGAAGTCGGTGGAGAAGGGCTCGTCGTTCAAAAACACCCAGGGATAATTAAACTTGCGATTAAACTTGGCCTCTAGCTGTTCTACACTTGATATCACGCCATTGAGATCGGAATTACGAGCCAACATTACCAAGGTAGCGTTGGCTCTGTGGGGAGGGTGAGAGACTTGTGGAATTGGATTTCCAAGGGTGGGTGATGGCTTGCTCTTTAATGAAGAAGACAACTCCGATGGTGTCTCGCTTGTTTGTTTGACATCCAAACCCGCCACAGTTTCAGAGTCCTTGGATGTCGACAATTGAGTAGACAAAGTTCTGAAAGACGCGGAATGGTCTTCACGACCAATAGCCATGAAATAACACACAATCAGCTATATGTGAAGCTGAATATGAGGTAGCAAAACGCGATGTGTTTGACGTACCACAGCTGTGACTGCAATGACGATAGATCTACGATGTGCCGCAGTTAACGGGAGAGCCATGTTTGAGAATAGGGCGCCCTGATGCCAGTCAGAGAGTTGACCTGGGGACGAAAAAGCTGAGATGGGGAAGCACTTAAGTATTATAACAATACGAAGCGAGGGAAAGGAACGAGTACTGATACAATTTAGAAATGAAGTATCACGCAGTTACGCGGAACTGCGCAGCAGCGGTATCGAAACCTAACAACAGATGTGAAATTAAGGACATGCGGCCGGTGTTACTAGTGTTTCCACGGTATTGCCTTAACGATTAGTGAGGTCTGATGTAGTTGGACGTTAGTGGATGATGTGGCGCCTCGACAAAGTATGCAAACACCTTACTCAAGCACTAGCTTCTCGGCATGTATCACCCACGAGCTTCTATATAAAGTACTGGTGCACGCGGTCAGGCTACTAACTCATGTCATGACATGCTGGACAGGCCGGTCAGCGCAAACATGTTGGCTGGCGCCGCACCCTGTGACGGTAAAATAATAATGCGCGGCAACAGCCATCAAGCTCAACCTGAGCCCGGAGATTAGCCGCGGGCTCGTGACTCACATGGTACCGTCTAATCCAATAACAGTCCTCTGTGGCCACCACGGGTCAAACATCAAAATTCCGTTGAGAGGTCCGCCGATTATGACTTTAGACGCGCTATAAAGATAGCGTGAGTATATGTTGTGCTAACTGTTGACGGTACTGCAAAGAGCCTGTGCACCTAGCAGTACTAGACTAGAGTGACAGCCTGCACCGCAATATCATAATGGATGGACCTCACCTAGCCTAGCATCGCGACAAGACTGAACTAGTTGCACAGACACACTGCTATCGCCTCAGTAAACTTTTGGAATTCAGAATAGTAGCATTTAACGATCCTTGCAATGCAGCTTGCTCATGTAGAAGAAACGTCAAAGAACTAATAGAATGATACGCAAGCCAGTTCAAGCTGGAGAATAACGCTAAGACCGAGTTTGTCAGTGTTTGTTCCGCTTAGTTTTTTTGAAGCTTTCGTCACTTCGGTTTGTAGACGTGTTGCGTTGTTCTATGGCGTCTCCCACATTTCCCCCTGCAAAAGATGCCTCTACGGACCCATCGCCGTCGTCCGTACCGCAGGCACCAAAGTCATCCTACACGTCTGCCCTTTCTCCTCTGACCAGCGCTTTCAGCCGCTTTTCACAATGGCGGAAGTCATTTGATCTCCCGAACCCGGGCACAGTCGAGAATTTGCAGAAGGAAGTCAAGTGTACGCGTTTTCCCTCTGTCCTTTGGTCTTCCAGCCATTCCTGACATTTTGTAGCGACTCATCTGACGAACTTTATGTTCGATGGTGCTAGGGCTGATCTCACGAAGAGTTTGTCAATGAACCCGGCATTTCAAGTCACACACTCTTTCATTCTCGGGTCGCAAGTCTCAACGCCATCATATAACTTTGGTGCTGTCTTCGCCAACAATGATGTTAGCCAGTTTGTCTTGCGCGCCTTTGTTACTCTGTCTGATTCTTTCCGTGCAGATGTTCCTCCAAGGCAGCGTTGACCATGAGGGTAATGTGAGCGCACGGATGAATCAAGGGTGGGCTGAAAACTCCATCACGAAGATTCAGACGCAGGTTTGTTTTCTATCGCACCGTCACACGCATTCCGTCTCACATCCTCATCGATAGATTTCATCACAAGCTGGCCATAGCATGATCCAACTGGAGCACGATTACCAGGGTCAAGATTACTCCTTGAACGCGAAAGCTGTCAATCCGTGGCCCGCAGATCTCACTGGCATATACATCGGAAGTTACTTCCAGTCTGTGACAAAAAACCTTGCGTTAGGCGTGGAGACACTTTACCAACGGCCAACTCCTGATATGTCCGACTTCACGACGTCATATCTAGCCAAGATCACCAGTGATGACAAGAATTGGATTGCAACTGCACAAGTTCAACCATCCGGTATTCTACAGGCTACATACTGGCAGAAGCTCCACGAGAAAGTGGAGGTCGCAGCAGATCTTCAGCTTATGGCCTCTCCTCAACGAAGAGATGCTATTGCAACTCTCGGTGCAAAATACGACCTCCGGATGTCGACCTTCAGAGCACAGTTGGACTCAACGGGCAAAGTTTCTGCTCTGCTTGAACAACGCTTTGCTCCAACCTTTGCGTTCCTTGTGGCGGGTGAGATTGATCACTTCAAGGCAAGTGTCCCGCTTCACTGCGATGTTGTCCAAACTGATGTTATGCAAATTCAGAACTCTGCCAAGGTTGGTGTCGGTGTGATGATTGAGAGCTCTACTTTGACCCCGGAGGAGATGGGTATGCCCCCTCAACATTGAATTAATTACACTTAGACACGTACTTTCGGACTCTATTATTGGCATACATCTCTTCTCAGGATCTCTGCAGTACCAGTGTGGTTGTCAGCTAGCCCAGCAGCACCCCCACCTTTGCAGAACATCTGGTTTGACGAAAGTACACTACGTAGCACTTATAGAGTGCACCAATCTGAATGCGCACAAAAATATGGTGTGCTACTTAGTGGTACCAAGGTAGCGACCGCCTTCCCTGTGGGAAACCAACAAGTTACAACACAGCTGAGCGGACTCAGTGGACACTGAAACTCACCATGGCAAAGTTGATTGAAGTCTGCAACGTCGCCTGCAAGAAGGACAAAAAGCAAGTCATTTTCTCTCAATTGAACTTCGATGTCAATGAGAGAGATATCATCGTTTTACAAGGCAAGAGTGGTGCAGGGTGCATTGACTTCTCTCCCTGTGGTACATTGTTTGGAGGCTCAACCTATGCATATTCAGGAAAACCACCCTTTTAAAGTGCATCGCCCATTTGAACGTTTATGATGGGGAGATCTTATACAGAGGAGGGTACGCTCCTCACACCTTCAAGTCGATTCCTCTCATGTCTGACACGCGATGTTCACTACCTCCAGGACAGCTAAGACACATGGTATGCATGACATCTGTCACTCGCACACGAAGCTCATGAAGATGTCCCGTAATTACAGGTGTGCCTGTGTTTAGAACACGGGTATTCTACGTGCCCCAGAGACCCGCTTTACTGCCAGGCACGCCGCGCGATTTCATGGCAATGGTCACATCCTTCCAGTCCCGTAAATTGACCTCGGAATCTGATCTCGCCAATGCTATGGATATCTCCAAGGGGTGGGGTGTTGATCATGAACTATGGGACAGGAATTGGACTAGCTTGAGTGGTGGCGAGGCGCAAAGGATAGCGTTGGCCGCTGCAGTGGGGCTGAACACCGCTGAAGTCCTTCTACTGGACGGTAAGACTCGATTCATATTGCATATCGTCTGTATTATGACTTGCCTTGTATTTCTCCAGAACCAACATCAGCTCTCGATCATCACTCGACTAAGCTTGTGGAAGACTTCATCCTGAATGCTCTCAGATCCCCACAAAACGGATTGAAAGCGATAGTCTGGATCACCCATTCTGAGGAGCAAGCAAGAAGAGTAGGAACCAGATTCCTTCGGATCTCAACCTCTGGTTGTGAGGAAGAGCCACTTATGCCTGAACCGTAGATATTGTGATGTTTTCAACAGGACTTGAACCGGATATCCGATGCTTTACATAATAACAAACAATGCGCCATCACTCCTCGATAGTCCCATAGCTCAGTGGTCAGAGCGTTGTACTTATGAGGTTACATTCCATGCAAGGGTCCCGAGTTCAATCCTCGGTGGGACTAGTTTTTTCATTTCGCTTGTTTGGCTTCCATATATGGGAATTCGCGCTTTCTTCTCAATCATCCCGCTGACAGCCTGCCGGCTTTATCCACACTCCTCCACGCCCCGGCCCGCCCACGTTTTTCTTTCCTTTCTCTAGCATCGTTGACGCCACCGACAATAATGGCTTCGTCTATGCTCCTTCGCTCAACGCTGCCTAGAACCTTTGCCTCCGCGACTGGACGTAATGTCTTGCGATCTGCATTGCAAGGTAAGGACATTTTGAACCTTGTCTCCTCATCCACTTATGTTACATTTCACAGTGAGAGCAAGTTCGACTGCTCAATATGTTCCAGGTGGACGTATGTTCAACGAACCCTTCTCTGTGATACCTGACGAGCTTACATACACTCAACAGCTATCATTAAGGGCACAGTCAACGACCCTGTCGAGTTCCCTCACCCATCAAAGGTGCATGGCTCGTATCACTGGGCATTCGAGCGACTTCTTGCGGCCTCCCTCGTTCCCATGACCGCAGCAGCTTTTGTGACCTCCGGGTCATCTTACCCAGTCCTCGACGGATTGCTTGGCCTCAGCTTAGTGATGCACTCTCATATCGGGGTGCGTCAGCGATAGAGTTGGTATTCCGCGAGGTTTTGACGTCACCTTCCCTATGCTAGTTCGACTCAATGGTTGTGGACTACGTGCACAAACGCAAATTCCCTATCATTGGCCCTATCCTGACCTGGACACTGAGAACCGCGACGGTTGGTGTGCTTGTCGGCGTTTATCAGTTCAATACAAATGATATTGGTGTGATAAATATCACTTGTCATTGTTCCTCGTCTGACTCAGATTTCTATAGGTTTGACGGAGTTGATTGCGAAGGTCTGGACAGCGTGAGATTATATGCAGGTTATATCGAGAGACAAGAAATCGCGAATTAAGTATAATCGTACTATCCATCCTCTCTAACAGAGATACAAATTCTACTAGCACTTGCCCGACTGCCTTTCGAAGTTCCCATTATCCGAACTTCCGCCCCAATCTCGAAACGACCAGTGCAGAGGAAGCACAGTGGCACTTCCACAGCCTTGGTTTCGTCGGGTTTCACCTTCCCTATTGCGATGCTAGATAAAACACCTTCCGAAAGGACCTGTTCAGCTGGATCAAAGATCAAGTCTAGTGTCATCGCAAGAGGCGATACTGTGGGCAAATTTAGCGAGCTGGGTGAGAAAGATCTTGAGAAATAGCGAACATGATGAATTGGCAACCTCGACGCGAAGATAGAGCATCTCGTTTGGACTGGCGATGTATTTGCCTCGGCTATAATCGAGTTCTTGGGGTGAACCGTCTGGGTTGTCCACTATTAGCGTCAAGTCAATTTGCACCACGTCTGTCCGCAAGGCCTTCAACATTGGGAGCGTCAACCGTTGTTGTCGCAGCGATAGATCTCCATGTCTATCGCCATTCGTCTGAAACCAATGAATATCAGCGACAAATATGACGGGTGAAGAATGGATGACCTCTTTCCATCGAGCGGATACAATCTTGAGGAGTTCTTCGCGATACCAGAATAACTCTCGTTGAGCTTGTTCCTCTTCTATCGACAACTTGGACTTTCCGACGACGAACTGACGGTCTGATAATGTCGGTATAGGTTGCGAAATCTGATCATCTGATAGCCTGAACTTCTTAACCAGAAGCATGATACTTGATATGCCAGGCGTGAGGTTACGTGTATGAATGTTCCGTGAACGACTCACCGCGACATTGACCCTGGAGGAACAGTTGATGAAACAGCTGCAATTTCCGTTCCTGTAGAACTTCAGCATCAGGAAGGAATTTTTGGGAGTATCTAGAAGTCCTGTGCTTACCAGCTTGTTCACGTCCGAATGTGACTTCGAATGGGAGCCCATATGTGTTGCGGACGTCAATTGCAAACAAGCACCATTCTTTCGGATAATCAACTTCTGGAAGGAGGTGTATCACGGAATTGCTAGCCCGGCGACTGATGTCATCATAGTCCACATCAATCATTGGCATGAGTCTCATATCATGACACTCCAGCATATGGTAAACAGTCACTGCCACAGGATATGATAACTGTCGAGTGTAGAACACCTCGGGTACGGGCACCTGTTCCTCGTGGTCTCGATTGACCTGGGAATATGATATGTGAACGGTGCCATGTGCACTAAATTTCGACGATTTTAGTGCCGATAAAGGCGGAGAAATCAGCAACAACATACCAACCAACTTTCCCTACGCAGGTCACAGAAAGAACCACCTTTTGGTTTGGCAAAATGTTAGTGATCTCCTTCTCATTGCGCCACGAAAATGCCTTTCGGTGCAGAAGATCGTATTCTGTCTCATATGTTTCGAAGACAGAAAGTTCTCCTTCGGAGAGAGCTTCTTGTGCGGGACCTATGGTGGAGTCTTCAAAAGATAACCGAATGAAATCAATCGGCAATGCGGAAATATTCTCCAAAGTCAAGCGAATGGTTGATCTGTAGCGCATCAATCAATAGAGATATTTAGAAGAACGAGCATACATACTCTTCACCGTTGTACAGCATGACTGCTCCATGTGTTAACGACGTCCATCTGATTCGGAGGAGGGGTTGCTCAGAAACAACGACACATTGTAGGAATTGAGGTGGATTTTTGAGGGATGGGAGTAAGGTACTGAGTCGCCTCCTATCCTTCTCCCACGGCAGAGAGTCGAGGCCCCAATACTTGGTGCGACCGCTTTCGCATCTCACAGCACTTTGACGGCGTGCAAAAAGATTCTGATCGGCATCAGTCGGGACAGGTAATAGAAACTCTCTTGGAGCTCCCCAAGGGGCTTGAACAATGCATCCTCGGAAAACCAAAGTTCCTCGCGTTTTCGCAGTACCGATGATGGTAATTGAATAGAGGGTATTGGGAGGAATGACGAGTGCTGAAACAGGACTGGATTCAAATTCCACACCAGTTGTGCTAAAGATCTGAAGGTTAACTCATTGATCAACTGACACAAAAAATGCTATACCTGAGCGAAATACTTTGGATTTCCAGATCGAACACATAAGGATTTCGTAAGGTGATTGTGAGCTCAATAGGTTCATCTTGGACAATCAAGTTTTTGCTCTATGAACATCCCAAAAACTGAAAATATGTTTCACTGAGTAAAAAGGGACTGACCTGTGGACCTGATGATTTCCTGGGGTTATATAGGAAAGGGTCAATGATCCCGCTAAGCAGAGAATTCGTGGCAGATGATTTTGCAGCCAATATAGAAAATGGATTTTCAATTGGCAGGCGGTGCAAGGCCAACCTGTAAGGGCGGGAGTTAACATAGTTATGACGTTTGTGGCAATTACATACGGCAATAGTGCAAGACTCATGATAGGGTTCCCAGCCCAGTACTCGACTGCAGGTGCGTCACCGCGCCGACGCATAGCAGCAAGAGCACGTCCAGCAGTTTGGTACAGATGGTATTGATCACTACTGGCCAGCACGGAATGCATTGTTCTCAACGCAGAAAGTGATATTCGCGCTACAGCGAGCGGATCTAGGGTTGTCTTAGAGACTGTTGTTTCATGGAAAATACTACTCACCGGGAAGGGCCTCTGCCACAGCAATGGCCTCGCGAATAACTCCAACTTGAAGTTCTGGCCACCCGAAAGACTCCCTTGCCGCATCTGCCAAGCCCTCTAAGTCCACCATAGCAGAGCCGTTATTGTCTCTACCCCCTGCTTCGCTGCTGTTGCCGTCTGTTGCCGTTACCACGCCCACCGCTTCCAGATCAACACCAAGGACCTTGCAGGCACGGACGAGGAGTTTCAGGATGCTCTGATTGCCTTCCAGGATCTCATTTTGTCGCACACCAACAGCCCCCTTCCCAACTGCACTCACTTCGTCACCATTCTCGGAGCGATTGCCTGTGTTTGCGCTTCCAAGGTCAGATTTCCGTGAAAGATCATTTTCTTCCCGGCCACAAACAATGAGATCCATGATGCAACTGATGACTTCGCGCAGAATGAAGGCTTCCTTCCGCTTGTATCCAAGGGATGAATAAATGGTCGCCATAGATTGCAAAATGTTGAGCCGCTCATGAGGACCAAGATGCAGTAACCACGGTCCGTGAGCTTGCGACACGGTGTTTGCTATTTGTGAACGAGACACGCCTGACACGATACTTATGCGCTCCAGATTTGTCCAGGAGTTATCGGATGTTGTCTTCTGCGTATATGAGGTCGACGCTGGTTGTAGCATTGAAGCAAAAGCTAATGCACCCCATCCCTTGGTAGACCAGGTGCAGAAAAGGAGTGATGTTTGGCGCATAACAGCTGTGCAGTATGTCAGGGCCAAAAGTGAATGATCCTGGCTAGGCTCAGAAGGTGCAGGAGCCTTGTGATAGAGAGCTATAGCTTGAGACAGTTGCTCGTATATGTCGGCCCAAGGTTCCTTGATGCCGTTGTTGCTAACAGATGATTGCTGCATACGATTTCAACATCGCTCACCAAAAGCGATAGCTGACTTACCAGGCCTTGGCCAGCCGACCATGCGTCTAGAACAAAAACTGTTGCCATCCCTTCTAACACGGAGCCATGCCATACAGGATCCTGCCCGGTCTTGAATAGCACAATAGCTTCTGCATACCTTGGGCGAAATCAACGTGGTGAACTGACAAGATGAATAAAGGATACAGACCACAACGATGCATCCTCTGTCCTACCAGCCAGCAGGAAGAAATCGCCAAGAACCTTATAAAGTCTACCATGTGACGAAACGGCACCAACCGCACTGATGCGTTTCCTGACTGCTGGGGGACCAAGTGTAGTTTGCCGAATAAGGGATGCCGTATGACTGTTACCAGGTCCAGCAGTCGAGCTGCGCTTGATCTGAATACCTGACGTTGCCAGGCCTGATGATTCGAGTTCAGGCTGGCTAGAGTACAAAGGATATCCAAGATTTCCGGAACTGAGAGGAAGCGGCATCTCAGAGGGAGAAGGGAGTGTCGGGAAAAGAGCAGAGTTCAGATACTCATTTCCTATGGGACTCTCGAGAACATGATACTATAGATCTGTTAGTAGTGTCTTCGATACTCTATATCAAATGTTGATCCATACCACACGACCAAGTTCGGCTAGAATGTGAGAGCACAAATCAGCAAGCAGAGTACCGATATAAAGTTTCTTGTTCCCCATCACGCTCGGAATCGAAACAATCCCAGGTAACGTATCTCCGAGACCCGTACTCCCAGCACTTTCTTCATCCTCAAAGGCCAGGCAGACTTTGGCAAGAGGAAATGTCGAGCCTTCCGGAAAGATGTCAAGCACAGTATTCTCGAATTGCTCGAGAGCAGAAGCAAGGGGATATGAGGATGAACACGCGGCGACACCGATTATGCCTAGCGTGAAGTGAGACGGTCGGAACAGAGACAGCGACATATGGCGAGGAGGAGGGGGATGGGATGGGTAGCTCAGATATAGATAACCACTGGAAAGTGGATTTGGCATGAAACGAGCTGAGGTTCCATGAACAACTGTTGTTTGAGTAAAAAGAGGGCTTGCGTACCTCGCTCATCCTTCATTCCAGCAGGTATGTCGCCTAAGCGAATTGAATCGAACGTCCTGATTTCTGCCGCATACTTCTCAAAGGCAGCACGGGGTATTGGGCCCACAGGGAAGACAAGGATTGGGATATGTGCAAGCGCTGCAAATGCATGAGAGTTCATGGGATGCCTTGAGCTGTTCGTTACAAGCTTAAATCATCAAGTACGAAAGTCGGATTCTCTTGGTGCTCAGCTGCTCGCAAACGTTGACAATGAGCTGGCATGATTTTTGACTCAGAAACAAACTACGCACTCGTGTTATGTATGTAGTGGTGTTTTCCCGGTCCGCTAACCCACCAACTTTGACTTTTGACCGACTCCGGACTTGCACGCAGTGCTCTATTCTTTATAATTACGCTCGACCTCAGATTCAATTTCCAAGTAGGTTTAACGGACTTTGCGATGGTGAGTAGTAAATATATGTGATGTTTTAAGGTTGGCTGATGGTCGGAGCAACCATCTAAGGGTGTAAGTGACAAGTCTCTTGGAGGGGTGATGTTGCTAGTTGCTGGTCTCGTGTTCGCGTACTACACGACATGGGCCATCTTACTCGTCAGTTCGCCAGGCTTACGTTGAACGGACCATATAGCTGACATTTTTCAGCCCTTCTTCGATGCATCCAGCCCCATACACAACTATTTTCCTGCACGCGAATGGGCAATACGGCTGCCAGCATTCGTGCTCGTGCTCGGACTTTCGGGTATCGGTTTCTTCGTTGGCTCCACCATCATGAAGGAGAATAGAAAGAAAGCACAAAAAGCGAAACTCAGGGCAGCCTGACAGCGAGAGATACGCATATCCACCGCCTCTCCCTTTTCTCAGATTTATCAATTTCCTACAATTTCTTATTGCAAAACCTGGGGCTATGTAGGAATCCGCGTGTCCCTTTTACGTTCAACGGGTCGCTGCACGCTTTCAAAGACTCGCAACTTCTCTGCATTCTCAACATCCTGCTTTGCTTGAGCAATGACCGCGCTAGGCAGCAATTCAGGTAAAAGCTCTCCATCCAGAGCCCGGGACAGCTGCATATAAATAAATAAGCATGGTTCAAAGATAGGACAGAAGAGCATGCCTTGCTAAGTGCGGAGTTTCGTCTTCCAGAGTCACGCAAGCGATTCAGCATTACCACATACGGCACGGTGTCCAACCCTACAGGTGAGCGTGATTGCAGCACAAAGAGAAATAAGTTTGCTACGGAAGCCCATATTGTCGTGGCCAGTGGCTGATGTGACACTGTCAGCACGAGATTCTTGAGCAGAGGTCAAGTATCGAATGCTTACTAGGAGATCTTCCGGGACACTGTCAGCTTTAAAAAGATTTACCAGCGCTTCGAATGGGGGCCACAACTCGTTCCAAATGACTTTGACGCTGGGTGACTCTCTCGTCGGGTTGGCAAGCGGCATTTGTGCAAGCAGCAGCCACAACTTAAGAGCTATGAAAGCGTGTTCCACATCTGCCACAGCAGATTCGGAAGGCGTCGTCCCCTCGAGTACATATGTGCCTAAGCACTTGTAGTATGCCGGCGTGAATGCATTCAACTGCGGTAATAAGACTCGGATGTGAGTGTCAGCAGAGTCGCTAAGCACACCGAGCAGTAGAATATTCCAAGCACGGACAACTGTGCCAGCTTGTGTGGATTTCTGGTGAGGCTGTTGAGTTTAGGTCCGTGATATTCATCGAACACGTACCTCAAAACCTTCGGCAATCATCTCTGAAAGCGATACGCGCCCGGCATCTACAGCATGGAGGACCAAACGCGAAACAGAAATCGAGGCAGATAACTCCGCACTTGAGTCAGAAATTGTCCATGCATGATTGTGCAGAAAGTAAAGCCCGCTGCACGCTACTTGTCTGAGTCCAACAATTCGGACATCAGTGCAGAGAATCGTCTAAGGCAATATTTAGATCAGAAGCACATATTTTTGGGGAAAAAATAATTGCCTCGACGATCGCATTCAAAGTGGAAGGCGTGACTCGTGCTCTGGCTCGAAAAACATCCTCCAGTATTTCCAACAAGATGTGCGTTACGTGGTTGGTGTTAGACGATACCAAGTCCTGCTTTGAACTCAGAGATGTATCACTGAGCGTATCAAGATATGACCCTTACACGTACTTAGCCTTTTCATTTTACATACACGAACACTCCTCCTACCATGCGTCATACACGTTTCCTATTGACTCTCCGTCCCAATCAAACGTATTAATTCCTCCTCTCGTCGAACAATCTCCCTCAGTCTTTTTGAACCAAGACTGAGTTCTGTTCTCGCCCTTAGTTTCTCTAGTCCGAGTCTCTTCACCTTTGATAGGTTATGAGCCCTGGCTCAGACTAGGCATACATTCGTTTCTCGCTTCCACTCGCCTTATCTGAGCCTCTCCGACCTTTTCCGAACTGGAACAAGGTCGCCCTCTATCCCCGCTTGACCTGCGGATCTTATCCATTCCCTTGCCGCCATCGCCGCCATTAACGCCTGTCGTACCAACTCGCTCGTTACCACACCCATTGAATCTTCCCATTCTATTGTCGCCATCGCCGACACATCGTTCGACACCTGTCATGTCCACCATATCGTCGTCCAACATCCGGATTCCAACATCTTTTCCTCACCCTCCTCTGGACGCCAATGGCTCCAACTACACCTCGTGGGTAACGACCATGGACCTTTGGCTCTCGCTCTTCAACCTTTGGCGCCTCCTTTCAGGAGATGAGAAGGGTCCTCCGCGCCCAACCAGAAGCACCACTGAGACTGAGGCTGACTTCAACAAACGCCTCGCGGCACATGATGCGAGCGCGGACGTCATTTCTTTCCGAGAACGCCAAAGCATAACCAAAGGACTCCTTGGTATGACGGTACACTCAAGTGACCTCATCCACTTCATGGGTGTCACTGATCCAGCCGTCATCTGGAAAGCGCTAGAAGACAAGTATCAGGCGTCTGTTGGCATCCGCTTTACGAGCCTCATGGGCCGTATCTTTGACCTTCCCAAAGCATCTGATAGCGACTCTCTTACCAAGACCATTAAGGAGATCACGGACATCAAGGCCCAATTCAAGGTCATTGAATCCATCGAATGGAAGTGCAACGAATATACCCTTGTCCAAGCGCTACTGCGTGCCCTTCCCGACTTCTATGCGCCGCTTTCCCAGCTCATACTCCATAGTGCTGACGCCAATACCGGGAAGCTAACGCTGGAAGGAGTCATCAGCCAGATCAGGAACTCGGAACAATATTATGCAAGTTTCGGCTCTGCAAACCCACATGCGCACCACACAGCCATGGCTGCTAGGGTGGCGAAAGCAGGTAAACCTACTGAGCGTGCCAAACCGAAGGATTTTGACGCCTCCAAGGGAGATAAATGGGAGTTGTCGTGGCGCTCGACGTGCGGATCTTGCAAGCGCACAGGCCATATCTGGAACAACTGCCGTGCTCGTCTAGCAAAATCCGACTCATCAAACACGTCAGCGTGCATTCCCCCCTCACCTTCACAAGGTACTGACATATCAGTTCCCCTACCAGGACAACCTGACGGCATTCCATCGTTTCTTCGTCTTCCTACACACTCTGCTAGTTTCTCTAATACGAGCACTATTTCTTTTCAATTCCACGTAGACTCTGCCGCCACCGCACATATGGAATCCAATCACTCCCTCTTCACTCGCTACAGAACTTACAACCCTCCATTAATCGTGAAACTTGCGAATGACGATACTGTTCTTGCCCCAGGTTGGGGATTCATCACGCTAGTGCTCGACGGAAGACATGAGTCTATCGAACTCCCTTTCCTCCACGTACCAGACCTACGGTGCACACTGATATCAGTGTCTGCTCTAGCGTCGGAGGGAATTTTCTTCGAAACGGATGCTGAAGGAGGACAAATGCGTCGTGCTGATAAGACTGTGATCGCACGTGTGGAATGCTCTGCCGGTCTATACTACCTTCGAGCCAAGCACACCCATACGGCCTTTGCCACCAGGTCCACCTCGGCTACGCCATTACCACTAGCTGTATGGCATGCACGCATGGGCCATGCCGCAAACTCCACCTTGCGCAAAGCTGAGAAGGTTGTATTAGGACTGTCACTTAACCTGTTAGACGAGTCTACAGGACCTGGTGACCACATTGACTGTCCGTCGTGCCTAATGGGCAAACAAAAACGATTGCCGTTCCCGTCTCATGCTCGACACCGTGCAACGCACGTCGCTGAACTTGTTCACACTGACGTTTGGGGACCCGTCAACACTGCAACCCCGTCCGGCGAAACATACTTTGTTGCCTTCACTGATGATTTTTCGCGTTATTCCACTATCTACCTCATTAAGCACAAGAGTGAGGTACACTCGCACCTTCTGCGATATATCGCCTGGATTGAAAACCAGTCAGGGCAACGAGTTAAACGCCTCCGCAGTGACAACGGTGGCGAATACGTCTCTCACGCTACTATTGAATTCCTGCGTAGTAAAGGAATTGAGCACGAACTTACGATGCCTCATACAGCCGAACAGAATGGTGTTGCCGAACGTGGACACCAGACCATTGCCACCCGAGCATTAAGTGCCCATCACCAGAGTGGTTTTCCTCGTTCGTTCTGGGGCCACGCCATCCTCAACTCAGTATACATCAAGAACTTCCTCCCGTCGTCAGCTACTGACAACAGAACGCCGTTTGAACTCTTCTATGGTGAACTACCAAATGTCTCGCACCTACGTCCGTTTGGCTGCCTCGCATATGCTCACATCCCAGACGACAATCGCCACAAGTACGACTTTGTTTCGAGACGGTGCTTCCTACTGGGGCACGTCAAAGATGCGGGATATCTTCTATGGGATCCAGCGACACGACAGACGGTGCGCTCTCGAAATGTCCTTTTTGATGAAAAATTCTTCTACGGCACACCCAACTCAGTTCTCTCGCCCCTCGTTGAATTACACAACCAGCGCATTGCAATGCAGCAGCCCACCCTCGCATTGCCACATGATTTGCCGATATCAGAAGACGGCTTCAGAACCACACGACCTGGAGAAGATGATTCCGGTATTACACTACCAGGACCCAGTACCGTTTCAGTGGGAGTACTTCCGACTTCTGCTCCTCTCATCCCCGAACCTCCACAGCCATTCCCGCAGTCGAACGACAATGTTCTCCCTGTCCCTGCTGAAGTTCCGGTAGAAACGGTACCATCTCCTGAGCCACGACGTTCGACACGTCAACGCATTGACGCGCGACCAGCAGTCCCGAAAACTGTTGCCATCCCAACAAAACATGTCCCAGTACAGCGGCGTTGGACTTATGTACCGGTCACTGTTGAGGAGGAGGTTGTTGAAGAAGAAAATCTTAGTATTAGTGCTACCCCCGATGTCACCATTGAGCACTCCGCGAAGCATGTATCCTTGGCGGACAGCAACAAGATTGATGGACGGAAGCTTCCCCCCAAAACGATAGCTGCCGCTCGCTTGTCAATGGATTCGGGTCATTGGGAAAGCGCAATGAATGAAGAGTTAGCTTCGTTGGGAGAAAAAGGAGTGGGTGTCTTAACACCACTCCCATCAGGGAGAAAAGCAGTCGGCTCACGGTGGGTGTACTCGCACAAGTATGACGAAAATGGCCAGATTGCCCGCCTTGTTGCGCAGGGTTTCACACAGATCGAAGGACTAGATTACACCGACACCTTTGCTCCTGTTGCAAAATACGACACCGTACGTGCACTACTCTCCATGGTCGCTAAGTTTGATCTTGAACTTGATCAAATGGACGTGAAGACCGCCTTTCTCAATGGCGAGCTTGACGAAGAAATCTACATGCGTCAACCTCCAGGCTTCGAAGACCCTGAGCATCCAGATTGGGTCTGGAAACTCCTCAAGGCCATCTACGGACTCAAGCAAGCCGGTCGTCAATGGAACAAGACACTCGATGATTTCCTGCGAAAAGAAGGTTTTAATTTTGTTCGTAGCGAAGCAGACTATAGTCTGTATGTTTTACGAAAAGATGACAAGACCATCTGGCTCCTTGTTTACGTCGATGACATGTTGCTCGCATCGAACTGTCGGGATTTCCTTAACGGTTTCAAATCGGAGATGAGCAAACGTTTTGAAATGAAGGACCTTGGTGAAGCGCGTCATTTCTTAGGAATGCACATTACACGAGATCGCTCTAAGAAGCACCTTACCGTCAACCAATCCTCCTTTCTCGAACAGATTCTCAGTGAAACTCGGATGTCAGATTGTCGACCAGTATCTACCCCCATGGTTCCAGGGATCTCCTTGACGAAGTCATCTGCACCCCCCACTCAAGCCGAAATCCAACAATTTGCGCACATGCCATACGCGCGTGTCGTTGGGGAACTCAACTTCGCCATGCGCGTTAGTCGTCCCGATATTGCATATGCAGTATCGGCGCTGTCAAAATATCTGAGTAACCCTGGCATAGACCACTACCGCCAGCTTCACCATCTCCTTCGTTACCTTCGTGGATCCACACATCATTCCCTAACGTTTGGTTTGTCCAACCAAGGACTCATCGGTTATTCGGATTCTGACTTCGCGTCTGATAAAGACGACAGTCGCTCAATTGGGGGCTATGTCTACTTTCTTTTCGGTTCCCCCATCAGTTGGCGTTCCCAAAAGCAATCCGTCGTTGCGACTTCGTCTACTGAAGCTGAATACATCTCACTCTCTAACGCGGCCCGCGAACAGATCCATCTCAGCCAGCTGCTATGCGATTTTGGTCTTGACCTCTCGCTGATCACCCCCACCACGTTATATGGTGATAACAATGGAAGTCGCGCACTAACGAAAAACCCTCAATTCCACGACCGGGCCAAGCACATTCGCGTCCGCTATCACTTCGTTCGAGATCTGGTCAGCGACGGCACCATCATCATTCCCTATGTACCCACACATGATATGATTGCCGACATCTTCACGAAATCCCTACCACGAAAACTTTTCCGCAACCATCGACACTCGCTTGCTCTTCGTTCATCGTCAAACGAAGACCCAGTTGAATGAGCACGCCCGCGTCTCTAGCGTTTTGCGTTCGAGTGGGAGTATCAAGATATGACCCTTACACGTACTTAGCCTTTTCATTTTACATACACGAACACTCCTCCTACCATGCGTCATACACGTTTCCTATTGACTCTCCGTCCCAATCAAACGTATTAATTCCTCCTCTCGTCGAACAATCTCCCTCAGTCTTTTTGAACCAAGACTGAGTTCTGTTCTCGCCCTTAGTTTCTCTAGTCCGAGTCTCTTCACCTTTGATAGAGCGAACTGACAGCGTGTGATGCCCGAATTAGACACTGTTTCTCCACATTGGACCTTGATAATGCGACCCTTAGTACCGTTTCTGTGCACTCTAGAAGATCCTAAAGGAAACGACAGGACCGATCATTGATTCGTTTGGGTCGAGAATGCTGTATATCTTTTTACCTTGGTGTGTGCTTTGTTATACTGCAAAAGAGTTGTGGAAATATACAACAGGAGATTGGGGTCAAATCCGGCGTTGCTTCCCAGAGCCGATGATCGGCGTGCCGTCACCATGAGCCAATTCATGAGGTCTGCCCAATCCAATTGGCAAGATGGGTAGAAATGGAGGAAATATCTCTTACCTTTGATCAACCGTTTGCTGAGCCCTTCAAAATGGACCAACTCTGTGTATTCCTTCACGTTCAAAGCAATATTATTATTGGTCTTCCAATCCGCGTCTGGAGGCTGTGTCACGACACTCTGCAAGAGCACTTCGCGCAGGCTTTCTTGTGGCGAGGGTGCCCTGCGGGATTCAGCTTCTGCGATGGATTTTATTATCACAAAAAAATCCGAGCCCAGCGGGCGCTTAAATGCGCGTTGATCAGTTTGAGACACTCAGCCCACTATGCGGATAACATACTTTGCATAGACTACAGAACACTCCACTTTGAGCCAATCTGAGCTAGATGTTGTCAGCGGGTAGGGAACGAGCAATAAAAGGCACCATACGTGACAAGCGTGTTCTCGATAAATGATTTCGCTCGAGTGACTAACATATCTTCGGTGTTATGTTTCAACAACGCAATCAGTGCAACAGCACGTTCAATTGATTCACTATAGGTAACTTTATATCAGTTATCAACAAGGTTGTAAAGGTATACCATGCTCACGTCACTAGCGCGCCAGATATGGCAGACCCCCTCTTGATGTATGTCTCTATTACAGATAATGCCACTTGACGCAAGTCATAGCTTAGGTCAACTAACAACAGGTCCAAGGTCTTCTTTAATGCCTTGCGGAGTAGAACATCGAGATGTCTGAGCGCGGGGCTGTCGAAGTCGTGCTTATAAATCATTGCCATTAGTGCTTCCAGCAAGCTCTTCAAGGTAAGAGCTGGGAGCTCGAGCGGCTCGTCTATGGCGCAGAAAGCACCCAGTACGGCATCAATCCAAATGGACCCAATAAGCACGCGACAAGGTCTGTCGTCTTCGGTAAACGGACTGTTCATAAGGGAGGGCGGCAGGTTAAATGGGTGGGGGGCATCCAAGACGCGTGCAAATTCGTTCACACACGGCAAAGACTGTTGTGGGATACCACTGAAGCCATCCAAGTGGACTGAAAACGCCCGCCCGTTGAATACAGAGACCATCTGCGCTCCACTGAAGCCAATCATTTTGGTTAGATATAACTTAAACTTCAGACATGACATGAGGTCGATCTCGACTCCGTTTTCCATCATGCGCAACCCAAGCAACACAATTGATGTCTGTTCGAGGAATCAAATAGAAAAAATGATGACACAGCAGCCCCTCGCACCTGAATGGAGTGAATTTCTGGGTCTAAATCTTGCGGATGAGCATCATTTTGGTACATTTCCTGCCGGTATGTATGGTCAACAGAATGTTTGATTCATTGACGGAAGTTGTGACGAACAAGGTGAGCGACGGCAGAGCCATCTTCATCGTTGCTGTTATGTTGCAAGTGGTCGTATTCAAACAGTGTCTCGACAACTGTGCTCCAGGAGAGCACTGCGACAAATTCACACTTAATCTCAGCAGAATCAGGGTATAAAAAATGTTACCTCTCCACGTCGGGAAATGTGATTGGAGCTGAAGAAGAAAGGAAACCAGCCTGAGACGCTTTGACATAGGTAGGTCGGCAAAGGCATCATTCCAACATGATGCGATGGCATCTAAATGGGCTGAAAGCAATGTCTGCAACCAGGTGTCAACTGCTGTCCTGACTTCCTCCTATTGGCAATGGTTGCATCAGTCGTGTGCTCATAGAATAAATTGCTGTCGACGTACCTTCTCATCGATCCAGAGCGGTTCAAATGCGTGGTAGAAGAGGTTGACGACGCTGTGCTTCCAGAGCCGATCTTTGACCACGAAGTCGGGACTAGTGATGTCTAGCACCATGCGAAAGAATCTGTCTAGGGACAGGAGTCTAGTCGCCAGTACGTTATTCGCATCCCAAAGGCGACAAGAATGTAGATACCTGATGTCCCATGCTACTGTTGGTCCGCTCATCGAAGACATAAACTCGTAGAACGACTGTGGATCAACAATCGATATTCTAAGGAATAAGGTGGTCCTGATGCTTGCGATCTCATGATGCTGGATCCCGTAAAAGTGCCAGATACTGTGATAAGAAAGAATTGTCTAGCAGATGACAAACTTAGGAGATGATTATGCATACCATGGATATAGAGTGCTTCCATTGCGCAACACGAAGTTATCGACCTCATGTGCCTCGAGAAGCGAAGCGTGCATAATAAAAGAGTGTAGGAATTTTGCAATGAGACAAACGACTTGTTCCATGCCGGTTGCAACGAGAGTACTGACAACGAGCATCAGTTCACCCTCGATGATAATGGGGTCGGTAGCCTGAGCCACGCGTGTGTTCTGCTTTCTCCTGGTGTTCGGTCAGCTTGGGGCCATGAGCCGAACATGGTCGGTCTAACTTGCCTTGAAGGAAGAATTTTGATATCTTCTTCTGTTATCATTTCGTTTGAAGTAAGCATGGCGCGATCGCATCCGTAAAGCAACAGGCAAGTAGCGAGACATTGTCTGATGAATGTCGATGCACTTCAATCATGTAGTCAGTAATGAGGCAGTAATGAGGCAGTATAAGTAGTAGTATCCGGAAACCCACCATGAAGCATTGTCACTTGAGGATCGGAGGGCACTCTTGATAGCAGGCTGTAGGCTGACGATCATAGTTGAGATCGATTTCTGTAAATCTTGTCGGCCCATGGACTTCGTCCACACAGACATTAGGGTGGCTTCAGCGAAGACCGAGGCCTGCTTCAAAGTCACAAGGCCCTTCCGTGATAGTTCGCTGTATGCAGCAAATATTGGTACGTTAATGTCGACGCCCGAACGAGCAAATAACCTCAGCCAGCGGAGGCTGTCCAAAAGTCCGTTGCCCTTAGCCGCCTGTCGAACTATGCCCCATGGATCAGATAGCTTCACTACGTGCCCATCGGCTTGCGCAAAAACCTGGTCGACAAACGTGGTGTGGCGAGATGCGTTCTCAGCTGAATCTCGATTGAGGAGACGTTGCAGAATTGGAAGAGACTTTGGATTAATGAGCATCGGTCGCCGAATTAATAAGTATCGCATCCCGTACCGCTGTATCAAGCACCTCGGGTTCGAGTGTCTGAAGCCACATGAGAAATAAATCATCAAGCACTGTGAAGCTGACTGAAGCTCTGCACAGTCTTGTGATAAAGCGCAGTGATCTTTCCGCGGTCGACGATGACTGTCAGGCTTCCAAATTAGTTTGCAAACTATACTTCCATAGGAGCACAAACTTTGTGTGCATTGAGACATGAGCTTTCGTGACGAGAAGCAATATCCTGAATAATATCAGACAATAATCGGGCATACGCAACAAAATCTTGATCATGCAGTGCTAGAAGCCATCGGGCAGCATATCTTGAAAGCAGACAACGCCTGGCTGCAACATAATCTCCACCGTTATTGGTGGAACTACTTGGTGCGCGACGCACGTCATGAGTGGTTGGCCACACGGGAACATCAAAACCGCTCCTAACACCTGGGAGATTGATCCCTTGTGGGATGAAGTCACGAAGAATTTTTGCCAAATTGTCATCCTGAAAAACAAAGTCAATCATGTACCAGCTGTCAAACAATTAGTTCACCTCGGCAAAGATCCAGGATAATACAGCATGAGATAATCTGCGCAGGGCATAATCCGATGCCAGCCCGCTGGGCCAGAAGCGCCTCACCAAGAACAAGAAGCCGCACTCGTTAACCGAAAGGTCCAAATCTGAAAGGCAAGCCTCGATAGCTGACACTAGCGTTTCCACATCAGTGGACAAGTCAAAGCCAAGCGGCAGTGGGAAGTAGCAGTGTTGGCTTGATTTTGCAAGCTCGGGTACACAAGTAGGGAAATCTGCACATGTGAAGAAGCCAAGTTTGTGAAGATGAGATAGACAGTGACGCGCAGGACCCTCGGATAACATATTGAATTCGTATCCCAGGGAATTACGGAGATGCCCCAACGTGACGACCTCGAACTGATGACGTGCTGCATCATTGTCATCTTGTGTCGCCATATTTTCGCCAGGCACACGCAAGTCTGGCCAAGCACCTGACGGTGGACTTTGTACGTCGTGCGATGACTTGATGGTGGAGGAGATGTAAGCTAAAGTTGACCAATCAAACATGATCACCGAAGAGGATGGGTTGTGTTGGTTGGCCTCTAGATATTCAGCGAGAGTCGCAGAGACTGGCAGCTTTCCAGAGGATAAGTAAGCTTCGTAAAGTTCAACCAGATATTGCAACTCGAATGCCTTGGTTGGATCTTCATGACTATCTGATGCTAGGACAAATGAACCGAGAGCAAGTCCATTGTTATAGATTTGCAGCTGCGTCCAGAGCATGGCAGATGATACAGAGATATCCTCAAAACTCCGCTTCCCAAGGTCTTCGGAAGAGAGGAAGAGATCCCCGTAGTAATCTGAAAATGTGCGGCTGATGCTATCCAATGATATTGTCATGTGAACAGAGCTGATATCTACAATTCCGCAGATTGCGAGGGGTCCATCGAGGCACGTGAGATGCATAAAAAGTTTGCATGACGTGCAGTGGAGCGCCTGACTACCCCATATCGGCAGAACACAGTGAAAGCAAATGGGCAGGGTAAAGAGATTGACATGTCTGAAAATATGTTGAGCTCTTTTCACAGTAACGAGGTCGGCGTCCTGCTTAGATGGAGGAATGAGGCAGAAACGGTGAACAGCCAACTTCCTTGTTGCCGAATCGGACACCGCGGCGTACTGATGATGAGCATTGCCTTCTGGATAGTCGTAGCAATCGAAGTGCACGGCGCACATACACCCACAGCAGAGAAGTCCAAACCCTATGATGGGGGAGGCACATGATTGACAGGAACTTGAGCCGGCTTCGTCAAATGTCAATGGCCGCTGTGACTGAAGGAATCTCCATGGTACAAAATCGTGCACGTAAAAAGCGCTTGATTGCAACGGAGGAGTGGGTATACTCCCCGACCAAGGTTGCTCCCCCTGATCAAGGACAGGCAGGGACTTGCTGAGGACGACATGTCCAAGAGCCCGTGGCCAAAAAGTTGCCAGCAAGCAAAGAGCAGCGCGGCGACTCTGAGGTACATGATATGCTATCACTTCCAATACATCCAAATATGAGTCTGGCTTAGAGTTGATTATAATATCAAGCAGCCGGCATAAACTATACGTGGGTGTCAACGACGTAATATCAATGTTTTCCAGAATGGCGGCCAATAGCGGAGCAGTTATAGAGGCCAGGTAATATACAGGCAAAGGCTGGAGAGGTGCATTGGTGGCCTGGATACAGGGATGACTCGCAGTATCGAGAGACGTCCGAGGCTGCCACAAAGCTGTCTGGTGAGATGAACTCTCTTCGTCGTCAAGGGCCATTTCAACTTGAATAGAAACAGGGTTTTCTTGGCCTTGACTAACAACAACTAGGTCTTTTGCTGTCAGTAAATTCCCTATCACCCTAAGTCAGCTGACTGAACGTACCTGAAATATCTGTAGACACGTATCCCCTGATTCGATTGAGATCCTCAAACACCCCCCTGAGTATCACATTGCCGAAGAAGGACAGCAAACGCGGATGCATCTCAATTCGAAATGTCCCAAACGCAGGAAGAACCGCAAACGCAATACGGGATATTATTGATGGTTCGTTGGAGTGGACATGTGCAAGAAATTGGGCAATGTCAAGGCACACTGATTGCAGCGCGTTCGGAGGTTTCGATGGTCTGGGCGAAGAAATTTGAAAGCGACAGTCTTCCAATATCACTGAAGAAAGGATGGAGATGCACGACGTTATAAGCGAAGCAGCTTGTGGATGTCCCTTTGACGAAGGCGAACGAGATCTTGAGCGGCCTCCGCTAATGCTACTTCTTCTCATAGAGCTGCGAATGGTGAATGGTGATGGTTTGGTGGATTTTTCGGTATCTGAACCCAGTCCAGAAGCTCTACGCAAGTTTCAGCGATGATTTGACTAGGACTGGAATAATGATTTCATACCCTTGGTCAAATACCTGCCAGCCCTGCGAAGCAGAAAATAGCAATACCTCTTTCAATTGAACCATGAGGTCGAAAGTAGTTTCAGAAGAGAAAACGTCATAATCACTCCCTTCATCGTCACTATCCTCCTTCATGGATTGCAAGCGTTTGTGTGACTTCTGTTTGACTATATCGCGTACTGCTCCGAATATGTGACCACGACCTGCCTCAGTCGATGGAGTAGCATGAACATTTAGCGCATCGAAAATTGGGGGAGGACGCGTTCTGGAAGAAAGCTGGTCAAGAAGCAACTTTACCAGCTTTTTCGACTCCTCTCTGGCGTGATTCGCAGAGTCACGTTGCGACAGCGCCATTCTGGCTAATTGAGCTGAAGGAGAATATTTGTCTACATTGGGTGAAAGCGGGATGTAGAATGACGGTGAAGGAGTAAGGCTGGCGCTATTCGTCCCGCCAGGAGAGCCATCGTAATCTGACTTGATACGGGCTGGAGGAGTGAGAGATTCAGTGTCAACGCGAAGCAATGGTGTCAATGATTTCACTCGAGTCGGTGTGGCCATATGTAGCAGCCTAGATTACCGATTGTCCCACCGCAGTTTGGTGACAAGTTGATGAATTGATTAGTCATCGTAATATGGGTCCACAGCCACAGCATTAAGTACTTAGTAGTTCCCCCTGGCAGATCGATTGACTGTATCTAAGCACTCCATTCATAGACTACACGCACAGCTCGATGAAAGCTAGCAAATCATCTTCTCCGAAGAAGATGAAGCAGAAAACTTTAGGCGATTTTCTATTTCCATCCTCTCCACCTCCAATCTCACCGCCAGCACCTGTTAAGAAGAGACAGGTGAAGCAAGAGCACAAGGTTATCGCTCTTGACTCGGACACATGTGATGATCTGGAACAGGATAGCGATGTCGGCGCTATAAAGTTTGAACCGCAAGTCATTGATGCCAGCGATGAAGACGATTCTCCACGCCGACCGAGTGCTAGACGGTTCAAGAAATCCTTCGTTGTCACAGACCGTCTGCCAGATATGGCAGCCAGTGATGACTCGCTGGAGGATCATATTGGCATACCTATTACTTGGAAAGGAAGCAAGAAGGGGAAGAGGAAGCGAAAAGCAATAGCAGATTCTGACGATGAATCTCAACCGCGCAAACGAAAGTTGATCAAGGGCGCCAGACCTCCAAGTCCTGAAGGAAGTGTCATCGATGAAGTCGATGAGAATGGTAAGCACTATCTACTTTCCTCCTTGCGGTGCTACACCTGTTTTTACAGACATCATTGAGTCGCGTCTTCGCACTTGCGACAAGAAAACAACATTTCAAAAACGTCTTGAGAAGTTGAAGAGTGGGTCAATACCCCTGACTCGTGAAATCCCATCTCATTGAACCTTCTGTAAGGTTTCAGGGGCAAGAAACGCTCAGAGATAACCCTTGAGCTTGATTCAGAATCCTCAGAGTCAGACGTCGAGCCACCGGAAGGCCCGGTGGTGCGACCCTTCAAGGGTGCGCGACCAGATCGTGGTCACGAATCTAATTCCTCTAGCGGGGAACATGAAAAGACAGATGAAGATGACGATTTTATCGTGGAAGATGACGAGCATGGTATTTTGACTACGCAGCTACCCATCGCTTTCAGCATGAACACCCATCAAGATCTCGCCCATCAATTCAAGATCGTCTGCCAGCTATTTGTTCACATGGCTGTTCGTTTTCCTCCTGACAGACGCCCATTCATGAAGAAAATGTTGGAAAGTATGCATGTTCATTGTCATTAAACGGACTGCGCTAATATGGACTGCAGCGGAGGAATATTTCTCTGTCCCACTTCAGGTAGCACGACGGAAATTATCTGGGATGAAAGACTCTTTGGTCACATCCTCTGTCTGGAAACCTCAATTCAAGAGGCCTCTCGAAAGATACCCCAAATTCGAATTAGTACGAATGAAGTTTAGCGCTCCTCAGTGCGATGCTTGCAATCTAGGTGGGAGAATATCCACACTAATCGGCCGAGTGAGCGGCAAGCCATATGACAAATACGATTTCGAGGCATGTTTTAGCTTGTCCAATCGTATTTTACGCAACTGATTGCGAGTAGCCCGAGTCAGAAGACGAGTCATCGAGTTCATCAGACAACAAGTCATTGTCTCCATCAGGCACTGACTCTGATGATATGATTAGTCACAAGTCTTCTGGCAAACAATTTTATCTCGGCCGCTTCTGCGCTGCTCGAACACGAGTCTTCCACGAGTTCAGTCACTGGGAGGTAGGATGTCTTTGAAGTATTTTGTTCATTGCTTGACGACTTTGAAACTAGTATCGCTTGTATCACTCTTTGTTGGAGCAGATCGATGAAGTTCTCGATGGCAATCGTGGTTTTGTCCGAATCGCTTTTGCGGGGGGTTTGGAACCTCCCAAAGATATGCGAGATGCAGATAAAGTGATGGACTGGCTTGATCAGCGTGGATTAATTGAGTTCGAGTGGCAGAGAGTTCGGGAGTTGATGGATAAAGCCAGGAATCTCGAAATACGTGCAAAGAGAGGAGGCGATCAGGACGATCAGGATATGTAATCTATGTCAATATTCATTATTTTTGTTCACACCATAATTTGTATCATCGCCTACTTGGATCCTACGTACAGCCAAGACTAGGGGCAGCACACGAAATAGGAATGTGTCCCACGGCTTGTCCTTTGCATCCTAAGTTGTGAACAAAGCTCAATGTTCATGTCGTACTCACATTACCAGCCGGGGCAGCATCCAGCGGGGACAACATATCCGTATTATCACCCAGGTGCACCAGGCGCATATGCTCACCCTCAGACTCCAGGCTATCCAGCCTACCACCAAGGCTACGCCACAGGTGTGACTGGCTACGGCGCATGGCCATATCCATACACCTATATCCCACAGCAGCCTGCCCAAGCTCCTTCTCAACAGGCAGCGCGGCCCACAGTACAGACAACGGCTCCGCCTGCCGTAACCCCTACTCCCACTCCAGTCGCTGCCACCCCGAAGACGACCACATTTACATCATATACCCCAACCTACGCCCGAGAAACTGCTCCTGCTGCCACAACAGGTGGAGGTGCCGGGCGCAGTAGAAAACAGGCGAATTTCAAGGGCCTTTTTTCCAAAGAACGTGCGTTCTGTTAGATCTTTTCCATCGAATTCTTTCCAGCCAGATCTCTCCAGTGAAAAACCTCATGTATGGTTTCGGCGATGATCGCAATCCCGCCAATGACACAGTAAACGTCATGGAAGAAATACTTGTCGAGTTCATTGCAGATATTGTACGTGTCTTCGTTTCTTGGTATTGCGTTATACATACATGTGAGTGCCGAAACTCAAACGAAACATTACTTGGGGCAGTGTCAAACTGCTGGTGGTCCACAACGGAAAACACGATTGTCTATTGAGGACCTTCGTCGAGCTCTGTCGAGGTTGGCAGATGCAAAAAAGCTCGCTCGTATGGAGGAATTGTTATTCATGCAGGAAGATATCAAGCGTGCTCGGGCTCAGTTCGAGGAATCAGACATCACGCAGTCAAAGGAGTACTAGGGAAATTATTGTAGTAGCACTGTCTTATTTTTTACATCATTGTTCTACATCTGTATTTTTTATATCTTGACACTGCAGACCCATTCGCCGATGCCAACATTACATTGTTTCCGATTCCGCAACATGACTTTCTTGCAGGCATGAGGGAGGAAGCTGTCGAGACTAACAATGTGGTGGGGTTTCGCTGAAACAGTTCGTTCCACTTGTCATGAAATGGCGACTAAGTCAGCATGGCTCAGCTACTCTTCCATTGCATCCGGCTCTTCATTGTTGGCTTGTTCTTCGGCTTCTCCAGAAGGAGCTCGTTGGGCCGTACGACCTTGCACACCTAGGGAACGTCAGTAATACATTACGAACATTCGCAAAGTTGCTAACCTCCACTTTGTGCTAATGGCTTCGCGAACTCTTGCAGCCATTCTTCTGACTCCCAGACTGTTGGAAGGAAAGACTGAGAGGAGGTCAGTAATTTGTCGAAATAGTACGTACTAGCTCTATTCCCATCTGGAGGTTGCAGGCTTTTCATAGGCTTGGCTTGGTTGACTTTCAGCACCCTGCCCCGTAACTCATTGAGATCCATGTTGTCGATTGCATCCTGAGCATCTGTAGGAGAAGAATATGTCACGAATGCAAAACCACGATGTTTGATTTCTATAAGTAGTCAGTATATAAACAATTGTTCATAATTGTCCGCTTGCCTGTCGGCTTTGATGGATTGGGTGGTGCTGGTGGTAGCTGTACTTCAATGATGTCACCTGCGGTTTCGAAACGTTTAGTGTGAAGCTGTCGCAAAACAGAACACTCACCAAAAGCCACAAAATGCTCGTAGATCACCGTTTCATCAACATCATCCCCAATCCCCCCAATGAAAATGGTCTTCTTACCCTTGGTGCCTTCTTCCATCGACCAGTACTAACAGTGTGGTGTTGGGCTAAAAATATTGTTATTCAATTGCTTAGTCAACGGCTTCAGAATTCAATACAAATCAATAGCTCTAACTTTAGCACCAAGTAAGACATCCGCCCATCCGTCATCCGTCACATCCGAGGATGTCGCCACACTTAAAGGCGACGGCCTTCACTTCCTTCATCTATACATCCTTGTTCACAAACGATGATGCAGAATATCGATAACATGCCATTTTGGGGATCGCACTCTACTTTACTGTCCCTCTATCATTTCCTTTGGCAACAACAAAACCAGTCTGTTGTGAAGCGAGGGTTGAAATGTTATGCTATAGATTCGGAGGGATCCCACGGGTTAGTCGGTTTCCCTTCTTTTGGTTTTGGGATGATATTGAGGCTAATACAGGGTGTACCCACTCACCTTCGACGCTATTGATCTATCTGGATGCCCTGGTGCCGAGTTACCAAACGGAGCAACTTCCATGCTCATCCGTTCAGAGTATGAATCACTCTTTGAAAACATCTCCGGAATCGAGCGCAATTTCGTAGTGCATGGATCAGCAGGCATTGGCAAGTCGAATTCCTTCCAGAGGCACTGCTGCTCAATACAACTGACCATCCTTAGGAAAGACACATTTCTTAGCATATCTCCTCGTCAAACGACTTCTCGCTCGTCAACCGGTGACGTATCAAATTGACCAACTACACTCATCCGTCATGTGCTTCACCGCGGACGGATTCTTCACCCTCCCGCAGGAGAGCAGCGAGTATCACCCGCTGTTCCAACGCGAAGATGTGTGGCACCTTATCGATAGCACACATGAAGATCCTACCACGCACCCAAACACTGCACACACTCAGGCATTGATGTGGGGCACGTGCGGCAAGGCCATCTTCACCACGTTTTGGCCGGACAGTCTGGGCTTCAAAATTGACTGGTCACCTGGCTATGAAGTTTCTCTTCAACGGTGGATGAAACCATGTACTTGGGACGAGATCGTTGCGATGAGGTAAATATCATGTTAGTGTTCTTTCATGACGACTGACTATTTCTCTTAGTGCTCTTACGGCAAATAAGCACGACAAGCACGATCCAGAGGCCCTGCGATGGTCCTACACCCATTTTGGGTCCAACGCGCACGCCTGCATACAAGTGTCTCGCCATCCCGGCCGCGCTGAATATTACCTCAACGAGCTGGAGTACGCTCGCGATAATTTTTGGTTCCAGCATCCCATATTGCGCGAACATGAAGCCCTATTCAACCGTAACCTATTCGCCGTACAACCCGGAGATACCCGCACAGAGCCACTGCCCTATCCGGTCTCACAAGTTGCCAGCAGGCTCCTCGCAGATGGCATCGCTTCCTTAGACCCTTCCACTGCTAAGGACGCTGTCTGCAACCTGCTGAACTCAGGGGACACTGAGGAGTCGGGCAAGATATTCTATCGTCAGGCTGCGATAGCTCTTATGTCCAGGTTCGGAGGGGCCTTCGAACTCGGATGTCCCGACTCACAGGGGCATTGCCAGCCAGCACACAAAGACCTAAACTTGTGTGCCAAGCTTGACCTCGTGAATAAGGAAGAGCGGGCTATACTGCTTTCAAACTATTCATACTCCACCCAAGGCGAACTTGCAGCGCTAGCGAAGAATTATCCGCACGTTCTTCACTCGCCAAAGCATGCGCTCGTGCACCCAGGCATTGATGCAATCATGTTCGACGATAGCACCTCCACGGTCTGGCTTATGCAGGTGACGTATGGACACCCGCGCCCGATATCTCCCCAGGGCCTGCTCTTCCTGCTCAGTGCTGCAAGAGGCACCGCCTACGAGCCATCCCCCATCCGCCCCTGGAATCTTGTATTCGTATCCCGCGAGCAGGCAACTACAGACTCCTTCCAGCTAAGTGGGTCGAAAAAGACACAATTTTTTTACTCTGTATTCTGGGACCCACGCATCAAACCATACGTCATGCAACTTCGTGATGCGGATAGCTCTTCAAGTGACGCGTACGAGCAGTGGGGTTTCCCTTACAAGATCCCACGGAAGCATTCGCTCAGCCTCTCACGGCGCCTCGCAAATCGACTGGTGGATCTGTTACATAGGTCTCGGCGGGAAACTGTACTAGACAGTGCAGATCAGGTGACTGCAAGGCTTTGGAGTACGACTATACAGACGTCGGGGGTGCCGGGAGCTCAGTTGCTTGGGGAGATGACGAGAGAGCAGCCGGTTGGCCCCAATGGATTTCATACGCGAATTCCTATGAGTAACACGGAGGAGGATTAATGAGTCTATCACGATCCTGTAGAAATGTTGTGAAGTCAATACACTTTGTATCATACTCTACGTGCAACATCAATGCATCACCTTTCAACTTCAGCGCGCGCGTTGCAGGACGACACTCTTCGTTAGTCGGCACTTGTCGGTTCGCGTGTGATATACTTATGTCGCATGATGACGTATTGATCAAATTTGTAATATAAATCTGAGACATGTAACTGAGCGACTCAGTAGGTACGTACTACACCACTTCTCAACTGTACATTCCCCAGCCACCTATTACTTCCTATCACACCTGCCATCAAGGCGTGTTTAGGTTTTGACATCTGGCGGCGCATCACGAAATGGGGCTACCACTAGCAGGTGAAAACACTTCCTAATTAGATGCGGTTACACGATAATTTGTTCTTTGTAGATCGTGCAGGTGTCATGTAATGGACGGATTTGTGGTGTAGAGTCACACCTCCTTCATCGGCCTGAGAAGATATATCCTCGAAAATTCAATCATGTTGACCCCATTCCCCTGCAATCATCGCACGCCCATCTCTTTTGGCAAAAGTTTCTTGTCGCTTGTTTTCGATAGTGACCGTCGAGCCGTTATTCTCGTGAAATACCAATTGACATGCCGTGTTCCGTCAGGAAGACAACCGCAAAGTCGTCTTATATCACCCACGACATTGAGATTTAATCCTGCATGCACATCAGCGATGCGTTATTCGACACTTCCCTGTGGGTATTCAAGTTCATGACGGTTGCAATCTCTTATCCTTAATTCGATCTCCATTGTCTGACCATGACTTCATCCACTGAATGGGACCTTGAATCCCTGGCGTCCAGCACATCCTCGTCTCCATCTTCCTGTGACGAAGATGACGTCAACGCTCGTGTTTGCCCTGACTGGGCGAAATACCGCTGTCACATCGAACGGAGGGGCTATCGTCTGGACACCGTCCGTGATGTAAAAGATCATTACCGGCACCATTGCAGCAACATAGAGAAGCAAGGGCTGCACGTATATTTGTCCGGCTATCACCGCGCCCTTGCCAGGAGCGACGAAGATGCTCTTTGCAAAGATGTTGGTCTGGTAGGTCTACTAGTAAGCTGTCAGGTGCCATGCGTGATTTCACTGATCAAACTAGCGAGAAAGCCTATTTAGAGCCACCCGTTGTCTTGATGGAATGAAGGTGATGGTTAAAGCAGTCCATCGTGATAGCAGGGAGCTTGATATCGTCCGGTATCTGTCTGCGCCAGCTCAACAATGTGATCCCATGAATCACTGTATACGTAAGCTTCCCAAACAGATAGTTGAATTTTATTCACCATCGAAAAATCCAGCTATTCTTGACCTCATCGATGCACCCCAGGATAATCTATGTTTCATCGTTATGGAGGAATGGTCAGCAAATATGTTCCCAGAAGCTCCAATTAGTCTCGGCTGCCTTATGGAATCTTTGCGCCATTGCATAGAGGTATGGAAAGGATTTGTCGAGTGTGTATGCCATACTAAAAAGGTTCCCTCCAGCATATCGCATTCATGCATCGTCATCGCATCGCACACTTTGACATCTCGCCGCACAACTTCCTCACGGATTATAACGGACGTTATGCTTGCATAGATTACGAGCTCAGCCGCCGAATAGATGAGGTATCTTGCCCGCGAATATCATACTCTCGGGGGTCGGAGATCCCACCAGAAACTGAACATGGTCGGCTATGTAACCCGTTTATGATCGATGTATGGGCACTAGGGGTTCTCATTTTCAGAGCGTGCGAGGTTCGTACTATAGCAGACTACTTCCCACGGAGCTATGACTGACGCATGACTCAAATAGCTCGCTGAGTTTCATGTTCCCGAACTTATGCATCTAGCCAAATCGATGCTTCATGAAAACCCTGACAAGCGGCCACCGGCCCCTTCAGTGCTGAAGGAATTTCAACGAATACAGGCGATGATGAGAAAAACACTACATGGCCATCACATCTCTCCCTAGCACGCTATTTTTTAGTCACATCTGGACTTGACATCAGACTCGGCATTGGACATTCATTAGTTGACATCGGGCAGGGGTAATAGTCACAAGTATGTAGTACTATCATATATAAGCACTTCAAAAACCATCTCTACGCTTATGATACCGGATCGTCACCTCCACTAGCTACTACCGCTTCCTCCTCCAATTTCCGCCTTTTTCTTGCTAGGTAACGTGCACGGATATTCTGCACGTCTTCTTGTGTATTCCGCTTTAATATTGTTCGCTGTCTTGCCTCTTCCTCATGGGCCTCTTTCTGCTTTGACACTCGTTCACGCTCCTCTTCTAGCTGTTGTTTGATTTCCCGTGCGCGACGTTCATTTATTTCTCTCCGGCTGGCTGCTGTTCCTACTGCCTGGTGAGCTTGGACCTCACTTGAGCTGGAAGTCTGTTTCGTGATCTGGAGCCCAAGTCGTCGGGTATTGGGAGCAGACAAGTTTAAGCCAGCAGAGAGCAATTCTCGCTTGTCGACAATTTGATTGTCGTCGTTGAGTTCAACATCTTTGCCTTGTTCTTTAGCTAATTGCGCAAGCTCAAGATCTGATTTTGGTGTCAGTTCCGGAGGCTTGGTGATAGTTAGATTCGGAGCAGGTCCTCGTGGACCAATGACGCGTTTAGTCTCTGTTGCCGCCACTGCCTCTTCGTGTTTTTGCTCTGACTCTTCCAGGAGTTTACGGTAGAAATGGGCCATGCCAGTCGGTGCTCCCTTCTGTTTCTTTTTCTCAGCCTCTAAACCAAAAATCAATAGTAAGTTGTTATCATCGCGATTGAACATACCTTCTCTCTGTCGTTCTTCTTCCTCCGCTCTCCGGACTTCAGCCATTTGATCCTTGTATGCCTGAGTGACGAAGGCTTCCTTGTCGGCGAATTCGTCTCCTTCGGCTTCCCGTTCTCGTTGCATCATCTTCTCCTCTGCACGCAAATGATCCAGACGTCGTGTGGCAGCTGTCGTTAGAAGGCCTTCTATGTACTTGGGCTATATAACATTATTGACAAGATGGTTCCAGCGGCACGGGTAATTAAAACGCACCTTTCGTTGTTTCGAATCGACCTCTTTCGCCTCTTTCTGCTTGAGTTTAACCTCTTGCATCCTATCCCAAACTTCATCATACTGATACACCGTAGCGTCAACCTTCATCTCTTGCTCCATGCGTTTCCTCGCGGCCTTCGAAGATTCGACATTCTGAGCTAATAGCTTTTTGTTCGCTGCTGCGCCCTTATTATCGGATAGGGTGGGAGCAGCATCCACAGGGTCATCATCGCCAAGTGATGCGAATGCTGCCGGTTTCTTTAGAGGTGGTGCTGCACCGACTGGCTTTGCGGTCTTGGGGAGGGAAAAGGAGAGCTTCATGAAATGCTGGGTTATGTAAGCATGTTAGAGCTGTTTGATAAACTTGTTCCTTCGACTTGAATGCAACGTTATGGCACAAAGTGGGAATGACCGCCGGCGGATAAATGGACCAGAAGAAAGCTTTCCGCCCGTATTCGATGATGAGGATGATGATGATTTCAAGTTGAGATCGCAGCGCAAGCGGGGACCTGGCGATATCAGGCCGATATGTCGGTGCCTTCTCTGTGTTTTTGTTAAATGGTGCTGAATTTTCGGACAGTCCTCCAGCCAGGTCTTATAAGCCAGGCCAATGGATCTGCATATATCGAAACAGAAAAAACCAAAATTGCATGCGCTGTGTACGTTCGGAATCACTTTAGCCTTCATCAGGCCCACCTTTTCTAAGTACCATCATAGGTATGGACCACGGCAGTCTAAAACTACTACCTACAGCGAAAAGGGTCGGCTGAATGTCGAAGTCAAGTTCGCCCCTTTCTCGTGTACGCGTCGAAGGGCACCGATGCGCGTGAGTTATGCCTACCCCATGCACTTAACGTATTGAATGTCATAGGCTCCTCAAGGACGCCGAGGATAGATCTATTGGTGTATCAATACATCAAGCAATCGTATCATCAATACGTTTGGAGTTATTCCCAAAGTCTACGATTGATGTTTTCATCACGATCATCGAGAACGATGGAATTGAAGGCTGTATTGCGTCTGGATCATTGGCTGCAAGCACTGCGCTTGCTGATGCCGGAATCGAAATGTTGGGGCTCGTTGCATCATGCTCCGCTGTACGTGATTCTATTTTTCGTTTATCATTAAGCTTATATCTGGTCAGGCTATTGTCGGAGATGGCATTCAACTTGATCCAACTGAAGCTGAAGCACGGGCCTCCAGCGGCACTGTGATACTTGCTTGTATGCCGGCTTTGGATAGTATCACCAGCATCTGGCAGTCGGGACAAATGTCCGCTGACTTGTCTTTGAAGGTAATGATTTCCGATCAACCACAGCAAATGCTAACGAGGTACCGCAGTGCATGGAACAATGTTATGAGCGGTGTAATGATATTCATTCGGTAGTCGCGCAGTCTCTACTTGAACACAGGAAAACCGATTGACATCGCTTTCGGTCTCCGAGGTGCATTATCACTTTTCACACATATGCATCGACGTTGGCCGTTGTACATGATATTGGAACATATTTGTCAGGACGATGTCTGATTTTCAATTTTTGACTAGTGGTTCTAACTCCACAAGAACAAGAAAAGTTCCAAGCCTTTCGTTTGTCCTATGCCTATGTAGTATTAACCGACGACACACAAGTGTTCGGACTAGCACACCCACTGGTGGATTTTTTTCTCGAGGTCCTTCACGCGCAATCCTGATTCCTCTTCGAAGTTCGGCACTATAATTATAATAAAGTTGTTACTTGTTGTGACGAGTATTCGGATTATATGTGAGATTCTCGGGTCTATAGTACACGCGTCACGTCTACACGAGTTAACGAGAATTCGAGCTTGTGGTCCTTTCTCAACCGCGAACAGGTCTGAAAGTTTCACGACTTGTTTTAGACAGCCGTTTTTCCTATTCCCACTCACTAACAGCCGAACCTTCGTTTGATGCCGGAGTTGTTCTACGACAATGATCTTTCCCCACCCGCCTCTCTCAAATCATCGGGGGAGCACCACCACCTCACCTTTGTTTCAGCACGCGCTTCTCATGACTCGTCAGACTCCCTACGGAACCTGGAGCTCTCGGAGGGACCTATTGCAGAGAGAGGGCGGTCAAGATCCTACTCGATGACGGGCTTTGATTTCCAACGCGACCTATTACCCTTGAGCTCGAGTTTAAGTGAACCAGATACTACCTCTTTCGGAGAAAGTGGGGAGAAAAACATCACATTGCTACATGGTAAGTTATCCTCCTGGCAACATAGCGCGATATAAGCGGTTCACAGTGCACAAAAGGGATTGGACTCATCGTCGGCCTTCAAGTCAGCTCATTCATTTAATTTCATACGCGCATGTCTGATATATTCTCTCAAAGATTGGATCAGGAATCTTGTGAGTAAACCTACCAGATAGGATCAAACCCCAATCTGCAACTGTTAGTTAGTTCCTCACCAGGAGTCGTAGTTGCAAATACCCAGAGTGTGGGGGCTAGCTTGCTTGTATGGCTTGTCTCTGGATTGCTTGGTTGGACGGGAGCCAGCAGCTTTGCGGAACTAGGGTTCGTCTATTCCACGTGTCATGTTACTGGTGATTGATAAACACTTTGGTTTATAGCTCCAGCATACCATTGAACGGTGGAGCCCAGGCCTATCTCGCGTATGCGTACGGGCCACTTGTATCCTACCTGTTCGCATGGACAGCGATCTCAGCACTGAAACCTGGTTTGTCTTCTACCTGAATTTCAGTGAGATTGTCAGATATACATCCAGTTACATTACAGGTGGAAATGCGGTCATTAGCCTCATCTTTGCAGAATACCTGAACCGGCTGGTATGGCACACTACTCAGGACGAGGTAGCACCAGATGACATCCCCCAATGGGCCATCAAACTCACTGCGGTGGCAGCAGTACTCGGCGTTTCCATGATCTGTGCAGGTACGCGGAATTTGGGCACCAGGGCTTCTGTGGTGTTCACCACAGTGAAGGTATGTTTGTTGTTAGTTGATATCGTTTCTATCTAATAACGGCCCGACCTGAGGTCGCCGCCCTCGTGAGTGTTATAATACAAGTACTGAGTCGAGGCTCATGCCTTGTCAGATATTCGTGATCGTACTAGGGATGATACAACTTATTCGGGGGAAAGCATCAGAGTCATTCTCTCAACCTTTATTCGAGGACTCGAGCCATAGTCCGTCGGCATATTCATTAGCTCTTTACTCTGGGCTATGGGCATTCGACGGATGGGATCAGGCCAACTATGTCGGAGGCGAAATGAAAAACCCTGGCAAAGATATCCCAAGAGCCATACATTCAAGTATGGCGGTTGTGATGGTAAGTAACAGAGGTACCATTTGAGATTTGTGGATGTTGAGCCCTTTCAGACACTTTTCTTATTAGCGAATGTGTCGTATTTCGTGGTACTAGACGAAGTCACTGTTGGTATGAGCAACACGGTTGCCTTGGACTTTGGTCGAGCACTCTTTGGACCAGCAGGCGGTGTGGTTTTTGCTGTGATGGTGGCTATCTCTTGCTTCGGAGCGTTAAATGGTGGATAGTCCCTGCATAATTTCCAGATACTCGTACTTATCACCTACAGGGAGTACCTTCACTTCTGCACGCCTTATTTGCGTTGCCGGACGAGAGGGATACCTTCCTGCAATGTTTGGTCGTTTGAACAAGTCGAGGCAAACACCAGTCAATGCAATTCCTCCTCCAAGCAACCATCACTATTGTGTTCATCGTGTTGGGAGGTGGGTTTCGGTCGCTGATCAACTTCTCCGTTGTGGCGTCTTGGTCATTTTTTTTCCTTACTGTACGTTTGGGCGCTCCACGTGTGCTATCATGATCTGATCTGCTTTTTTTTAAGGTTCTGGGGCTTGTTATACTTCGTGTGAAGGAACCAATGCTAGAAAGGTGAGTCGTCGGCACCCAATGTACTACGGAGTTGAAATTAATATCGAAATCAGACCCTATAAAACATGGATTGTGACCCCGCTGGTGTTTTGTGCTGTAAGGTTTATAAATACTTCCAAATGGACATCGGCTAACACAAAACGACAGGTTGCGCTATTTTTGTTGTGCATGCCAATTATCGCAGCACCGCTAGAAGCTATGGCAGTTTTAGGTGATTGATGAGTCCTGCTATAACGAATGGAACTTCTGATTTCGTCATTGCAGGGTTCGTGATGGCAGGGATACCGGTGTACTATTTGACGAATCCGAATCGTGATCAAGCCAGTTTGCCTGCCTTTCTTGGTGAGTGACTAGTTTTACGCTGACATCAAATGATGACGTCGATGTGTTCCATCAGGCTTTTTCAGTACTTGCATTGCTAGAATTAGAGGGCAGAGGTCCGCGGGCACGGGGTGGGTAGCGGTGGCCACGGAAGGTGACGAGGTGGAGATGCTTGATAATCGGACATGAAAGCTTGACGCTTGAACGTTGATGATGATTAGTGCAGCACGATCTTATACATGATGTTGACTGGCGCTTCTTGTATGCATACGACGGATGTCTGTTTTGGGAGTACTAGGACATGCTGGCTATGTAGGTACCGCACGGGAGATTTAGGACACATCGGCAAGCTCCGTCGAGCAGTGTCAGCGAGTGACGACAGCGCGATTTGGGCTGAGTCGTTGTATATAAGAGCCTTTCGGTTGTGAAACAAGCCACATCATCCGTCGACGAGCCTTCATCTGTACATAATTCTCATCTATCTATAACACCAAGTATGGCAAGCGAAGTTGCTGAGCACAAGTATCAACTTAATGTCAAGGTCTGTTGCCGATAGATCTGCTTGTCAGTCTGATATGAACTGCTGATTGTATAGATGACTTGTGGGGGTTGTTCTGGAGCTGTTACTCGTGTACTGACCAAGGCGCAGCAGGAAGGTGAGGTGGTTATGATGAATGATTAGTGCAAGGCTGAGTGAATGAAATACGTTAATAGGATCAGTTTCGAGTTTTGATGTCGACTTGGGGACCCAGCTCGTGAACGTCACAGGTCCTATCGAAGAAGCCGCTCTGGTAGAGAAGATTCAGAAGACGGGTAAGCAGGTAAGCGCGTATCATGGTCTTCTAGACCTGGGGATAACTTATCGAGTGTTATGGGTTCTAGATTATCTCGGTTACGTCCCTGGATGACTCGGTGGCCGAAGTGGCAGCGGTCTGAGTAATCACAGGAGGATTTCATGCCCGTTACTTATTTTTGTCTTATTACCCTGGTGATTGTTATATATAGAGTCTTGTCACGTGGCAAGGTGAAACGGAAGTTACTGCGAGAACTATTAGGCTCCGTCGTCATGCCATATCTAGATTCCAGCGGACGACTATCATAGTACGGGTGGTACTCGGTAGCTGTACACGTGAATGATGACGTGACGGCTTGCGGAACCGTGTCTGGTTTGAACCGATACACGAGTCTGTGAAAGACTAGATATCAGGCTTCTGACCGAGTAACACCGGGTTTTACTTTCACTACCATGATTCACACTCCTTTCTTTGCTATCCTCTTGTAAGCTTGGTCTGAATCCCTTACCCGCTTCCGAGCTAATTCCCTTTTGGCCTCATCCCGAGTCTTCTCTCCTTTAAACCTAATCTTTATCTTCGTTCACTTCCAACCCTGCCTACGAAGCTGCGAATTAGGAGGAGTCTGCGCCCAACTTCATGTCCTCGGCTAGTGTTGCAACAGCGTCCAGCACCGCGCTTCCTACTGATCCTACCACCCCTGCATTCTCGGACGACCTTCAATGGATCACGGCATATCTTACAATTCACTCCCTTAGTATCCCCAGTCGGCGTTATTCCTTTCTTATCTGGATTGTTGTCGTTTTATTTTTTCTTGTCTTCGCCATCCTGCACTGGACAGGTTCAAGGGGTGGTTTTCTCGGAGCCCATTGGACAAAATGGACTATCCGCCGACGAACTTGGAGAAAGAAACACAACATCGCACTTGCCCTCAAGAACGACCATTCACACCGCCAGCCCAATTCTTTGCCTTCCAATGCCCAACTTCTTTGCTTGGCACTGCTCTTGGGAGGTTCTCTAGCCCTGGCTTTTGTCGGCCCAGACTATATTTCTCCAACTTCTCAAAGTGTGGCAAGTCCGCCGAGACATTCCCTTCGTGGAGCCCCAGCGTCGTAATTTTATTCCCAACATCACCCCCTATTTACCACTTCAACCACAATATACTATCGATAAAGCATGGTGGACTTCATCAGCACGCACAGGGCAAATTGCATTCGCTCTCCTTCCTCTTTGCGTGCTTTTTGCCCTCAAAGCGCCCCCTTTCGCAATCTTTGCCATTCCTTTCATGATACAGTTCTTCTTCGACAAACTCGCTTGGCTTCACCGCTGGACAGGCAGGCTAATATGGTTTCTTACATCAATTCATGTTGCACTCTGGAGCGTTCAGCTCGTCCAAGACCATAATTCCAGCACTGGTCGTGTCGCATACGTGTACGCTTTCTCCTACATGCCCTTCATATTTGGCTGGGTCGTGAGTCAGACTTCTTTTTCATGCTGAGAGTCTGATGAATTAGCTAGGCGTTTGCATTGCTGACATCCATAATCGTTCTGTCCATGAACTCCATTCGAAGAAACTTCTATGAAGCCTTCTATTTCTTGCATGTTTTGCTTGTCCCACTTATGCTCGCCTCTGCTGCATTCCATCATCCCACACTCTGGTGGTGGTGTTGGGGTGCTCTCGCAATTTGGGCAGGTGAACGCATTTGGCGGTGGACGTGGTGGTTTGCCGCAAATACTTCCATTCTAGGTAGCAGTTCGTCATCTAAGCGCTTACACCCTGCAATAAGTACTGCCGACACGTTTGAGACGGAACATCTTCGTCTCCGAATCACTTGATTCGCAATCCTTCCGTTCACCGAGCTCTTTGAACCCACATTATCAGTCTGACAAACACACAGTCGGTCCACATTCATCATTGCTGCCCATTCGTCTACCCACAGGATCGCTCGAACTGGACACCGCTAGGTCCACAATACACCATCCCTCTCCGTATATTCCTCCTCCAGGGTATGCCCACGCTGAGCTTCTCTCTGGGCATACAGTGCGGCTGCGTCTTATAACCCCCGGATTTCTACCGTGGGCTCCGGGTCAACACTTCCTCATCAAAATCCCCAGCGTCTCCCGATTCACTACCCATCCTTTCACCTGTGCTTCTGTATGTGACTATGAGTCACCTACAGATGAGGGCCGCTTGATAGTCATGCTCATCCGTACAAGAAACGGCTGGACTCAAGATTTATGGAATTTAGTTTCCCGTATGACCGCTGAGCACTCACCTGGTGACACCCCAATTTGCGCTGCAGAAAATCTTCCTAGTCACGGTGTCTTGTTGAGGACATATGTAGACGGACCTTTTGGTAGTTCGATTCGCGCTCGTTGGGGGAACTACTCGACAGTGCTGATCATTGCTGGTGGCTCAGGAGTGAGCTTCGGCTTGTCTGTGCTGCAGTACATATGTATGTGCCTTTCCGGTCGGGACGGGAAGAGTTTGGGTGGCCAACCTGGAGGTTGGGGGAAGAAACCATTTCTAACCAAACGGGTACGCTTCGTATGGCTTGTCCGTGAATATTGTAAGTGCTCAAAAACTTTCGTTCGACCATTATAAACTCACGTCACCCTTGTGTAGCTCACATACAGTGGTGTGCTTCTATTGTTCGCCGTTGTCTTTCCTTGGTACCATCGTCTGCATTGCAGATCGACATCTTTATTACCAACTTCAAACCCATTGCTCTCAAGAAATCCGATATCCCTCCTTTGCAGGTTCCTCAGCGGCCACTCTTTACTCCTGAGCCCGTTCGTCCTGAGGACCTGCAGCCTCCTCACCCATCCTTTGCACGTGGCAGTCCTTTGTCGTTCCGCTCTGATTCCAACGACTCCCTTGACAATTCCGATAGTGATATTGACCTGAGCTACTACACTGGAGAATCTGGGGACCCAATGACACCAGAGGAGGATATTGGCTTGGCACATGAGTCTCACATACTCGAGTTGACCAACTTCGACGGTGACGATGACACTGCTCTGCCCGGGGAACACAATCTGTCCCGCAAGGTGAAGAAGGAAGGTAAGCTGCGACGAGCTCAGTCGCGGAAGCTCTCCAGTGAGAAAATGGTGCGGTTGCTGCAACCTCCCAGTCGTCCCAGCAACATGCAGCTCGCTGCGAATGGAGTATCTGCTATCTCTGCCACCTCAGGACTTTCTACGAACAGACCTACTGCCATTATCTATAAATTCGGACAAGAGGTGGTCTGAAATATCAATGGACACCTTCGCATCTCCAACCTCCATGTACGGCGATTCACCGACCCGCGGTCGGCAGTCGACGTACCATGAGCCTACCTTCTCCCTGAGTGGTCGTTCTTCTCAAATGGGACATGCAGGGCCGTCAACAACCAGGTATTCCACCAGTAGCTGGGAAGGCAAATCAGATGCTGGCAGTTCCCGGGGTCTGTTACCATCTTCCGCACCCAATGGCTCGCTCGATCCGGTCCAGTTTGACATCAGTGAGGAAGAAGCACGGGATATCAATGCTGTTGCGGAGCATGCACGACCTGGTAAACCCAAGCTTGACAGGATACTTGCAGATGAAGTCGAGCAGTCGGAAGGCTCCGTGGTGGTTGCTTGTAAGGTCTATCTCGCTGGTTTTTCGACGGTGCTGATTTGTTCTGCTCAGGTTGTGGTCCCACCTCGCTCAACGTGATGGTTCGCAAAATCATTGCCGAACAGATCGACCCTGGGCGGGTCTGGCGAGGTGATATGCGCGGGTCGATATCACTCATTTCCGAGGAATTCGAGTATTGACGATTTACTGTGACATTTTGTTTCACTCTTCATTTCTCTGGATATTGACGATTCATCGGGACATTTCATTGTACTCTTCATCAAACAATATTACCTTTACCATGTATCGTTTCCCTGTACATTTCCCCCTCACATTTTGCATCTCATCTCAGCATCCGTCGTAGTCGTTGTCTGGACATAACATAAGTCCACTAGAATAGTCGGTCAATGTACTCCTCGTTGGGTCCGTTGACGTACGTATAAACCCATCAGTTAGATACTCCTATCGACTAACTGCCGATGTCAAACGCGCCAGGACGCCTTATACAGGTGGCTTGACGATTCCCTGGCTGATCTTATAATAGACTGTTGACGTGTCTTCCGAGGTAATGGCCACATAAATCTCTGACGGTAAAGGATCAAGGCTAGTAAAAGCAGCGCGAAGCCTAGGGATGCGTTGAACACAGAGTAGATCCAGAGGTGGTCTACCGAACGTACCACGATGCAGATATTGACTCAGACAACGAGCAAGGTACTACAATGCAGATGGACGGCGCTCGGTCCGTGTCCTGTCGTGCACATCAATGAATTTCATACGCTGGCGCAGAAAATGCTAACAGGAGTTGGCCGTTTGCCTTTGATCGCGGCTCGTTTGCAAGCTGGAAGGTCGATAACCTCGACATCGATCCATTTTTGTGCTGAAAGGAGGCCATGTCACCGAATGGATCATAGCCCACAAAGGCTGCGTACCGAGCGTCAGGTCATTGTACACCTGGAACAGCGCGCCTCCGGTTGCAGGATACTTTTCGAGCAGTTGCGAAAGCACCGGGTACTACACGCAAAAAAGGAGTGAGGATCCAGTCTTGTAGCGAACGACTCGTCACTTGCAGATGGATGATTTTGCATGTAGAGCAGAATCTTAACTCGGTCAAGGTTACCTTGAACGTAAAAGATCACGCGAATTACGTGGTAGTGCTATGGAAGTCTGCGTCGAGTCATTATGAAGCACTTCAGACAAGATATTCGTCTTGGTAATCGCTAGCATCCTGAGGTCTCTACTAGTACTCCTCGCTATCGGCAGGCCTCTGCGCCTTGGATTCAACATTTCGAATTGTCGTCCACCACGATTTGCATTGCAGATATCACACAAAAGGACCATGTCAGATTCCGCTGGTAGCTCGTCCATCACGGTGCCAGAAGGGTTTACGCTTCACACGGAAAACACGTCCCACATCCTGATCTCATCGAAGGAGGAGGCATTTTTGAATCCAGTTCAGGAATTCAATCGGGATCTCAGCGTCGCGTGCATTAGAGTATGGAGCGAAGAACTGAATAGGGAGAAGGAAGCAAAGTGGAAGCAGGCTCAGGAGAGACGAGCGAAAAGGGAGGCGGAAGGAGAGGTGAAGACGGTGCAGCAGAAGAAGGCAAAAAGTGAGCATCTCTCGCGAGATATCCAAAGTCTTCTCAATGAACGATTGTTACAAGCGGAATCTACTGAACCGAGCAATGATCTCGATGATGATTTACCAAGAGATGTCTCTATCACCGGAGGTACATCTGAAGGCAACAAACGAGAGGTACTAGTGGGTTACTCCATATTCTGCAATAGTGGTTCTGAATCGTTGTCTAAAGTACCGACCTCATAAGTTTGTGCTACTCGAAGCATTGTCGGCAACTGGTCTTCGGTCTATCCGCTATGCAAAAGAGATTCCTCTTGTGAGGTTTGTGTCCCAGTTTTGTGTACGAACATATATATCATCGCCCTTCAAGATTCGTCATTGCGAATGACCTGTCTGCGTCTGCCACGGCTGCCATGAAGAGAAATGTAGAACTCAATGGTCTTGGACCCTCATCTCCTGGTGCTGACAGCGCGTCATCATCTACGGTACCGGAGCACCAGCCTCTCCCTGATCGCGGAAAGGTGAGAATCAATGAGGGCGATGCATGGTAAGTCCTTGATTCTCGAGCTGTAGTTTTGTCTAAGGTACATACTACGTAAGTGCGCTCATGTACAACCATCGCACAGAGAAGACACGTGTCGATGTTGTCGACCTCGATCCATATGGTACTGCCGCGCCCTTTATCGATGGAGCTGTTCAGTGCGTCAACGACGGAGGGAAGTCGCCTACAACTTGAATGCGTGCCTCACGCCAGGGCTTACTTAGGCACCCTACAGGACTTCTATGTGTCACATGCACAGATTTGTCAGTTTTGGCGACGACAAATTACCACGAGAAGTGGTACGTGGGCCGGCTTGCAACTGATAAATGATTGATGGGCTGTGAAGTTTCTCAAATTACGGTGGTATTCCTGTCAAGGCAGAGTACTGCCATGAGGCAGTATGGGCGTCCTCATGATCAAGCCGAACCTCACTGACGTCCCTGAAGGCTCTCAGACTCGTGTTAAACACATTGTCAACCTCGGCAGGCCGATACGGAAGATACATCGAACCGCTCCTGTGTCTATCTATCGATTTTTACGTTCGGCTCTTCGTCCGCATTCACTCCGCGCCGATAGAAGTTAAAAAGACTGCTAGGCAAGTTGCGCCATGCTATGATGTTATCACATCGTCATGCATTTCGTTCCTAGCAAGACAGCAATGTATTTCGTATGTCAAGGTTGTCAGGCATTCTACGAGCAGCCGTTGGGCCGGATCGTGGAAAAAGTTCAGGAACGTTCTGGCAACGTAAACCTCCTGTTCAAGACTCAAGCGGGCCCCCCTGTCCCACAAAAATGTACCGAGTGTGGTTCTGCGTTGCATGTGAGTAGAACAATCCAACTCGGATCAAGGGTAACGAGTCATGTTCGTGGCAGGTTGCTGGTCCAATGTGGTCTGGTTCATTACACAATAATGGCTTCATCTCAAAAGTGCTTGAGCACTTGGGGAGTAACCAAGACAGATATGGTACAGCGGTCCGCATGAAAGGAATGCTAACGGTGGCCAGCGAGGTACGATCTGAACTATATCTACACCGCAGACGACCAATCTCTGCCCTTTCAGGAGTTGCACGTCCCATTCTACTTTACCCCATCCCGGATAGCTGGCTTCTTTCACTCTGTTTGTCCCCCTTTGGATGATGTGGCGTATGTCGTTATCTCTGAAATGAAAAGCATGCATGCACTGAAACTTCATCTTAGCTCTGCTCTCCTGAACGCCGGTCACACCGTATCGCGTTCACACGCCCTACCAGGCTCTTTGAAGACTGATGCGACGCGTCAAGCTGTGCACGACGTCTTCAGGTCTTGGGTGAAGAAGCACCCCGTGAGAATGGACAAGGTCTCTGAGACCTCTCTCGCGAGGCAATTGCTCGCAAAGGAAGCGAGGTAAGTGCCAGTTCTAAGAAACAGAATTTACCAGCTAATCACAAACTGCATGTAGGACGGAGGCCAATTTTACCAGACACCCTCGATCAGTGACGCAAGCATCAAAAGTAAAACTCGTCCGCTACCAGCAGAACCCAGCTCCCAATTGGGGCCCCGGGACGAAAGCAGACACCGGTACGAAGCGCAAACGCGAAGAGGAAAATCAATAGCGTAAATCAAATATCAACCTAGTGTGTACCCATCGGTATAACAAATATGCAATTGTAACAAGGTACATGCGTGCGAGTATGGTAATGCCAATAACGTTAAGTAAACATCCCAACAGAGAGAGAAAGAGACATAGATGTGGAGATATTATGCCGAGATCTCAATAGTTGGAATAGACTTGAGAGCCGCATTCTTGCTCGAGAATCCTGCGTGCTTCTTGACGGCGACCCAAGGGTGCTGAAGCAGCTCACCAGCGCTTGGACGAGCTGAATGATCGAGATCAAAAGTCTTCGTGAGGAAGTCCTGAGCCTCTGAAGAAATATCTGATGGTATAGTAGGTTTAGCAGATTGACCGATCTGCAAAAACGTTCATAAGAGCATGACCGACCAAAAAAAAACACCAACCTTGAAAATCGCTTGCATCTGGGTCAGTTGCGCCCATGGATGTTCCCCAGTCAACATCTCGACAACTAAGCATCCCACACTCCAGATATCGGCAGCCGAAGTATGCGCGGTCTGCTTCACGACTTCAGGTGCCATCCAGAACACTGATCCTTGCAATGATGGGCGATTCATCCTTTTGCCTGTGAGAAGGTCTGACAAACCACATGCATGTCAATGTGAAACGCCGCATGCCAAGATGAAGCTACTTTTACTCACTGCCGTCAACTTTCTTCGAAATGCCAAAGTCTGAGATTTTGATGCCACCTTTGTTGTCAACGAGGATATTTGCTCCTTTAATATCGCGATGTATGATGTCGCGTTCGTGCAGGTAGTTAAGGCCTTGTAAGATTTGTCGTACAAAGTTTTTGACGAGAGGTTCCTCGAAAGCGCCGTAGCTACGCAACAATGCAGTGACAGAACCTCCAGGAACGTATTCCAGGAAGATGTTGAGAAAATCGTCGTCGACTGAGGAATCTTTGTTTTTCCGTGGGTGAGATTTTCAATGGTATTTGAAATAGCGTGTAATGCGCGGACTTACAGAGGTACTGGACAATATTTGGGTGGGATAGATCTTTGAGAAGGTCAATCTCTCGTTCCAATGCGCTGAGCATATTCTTCTTCCGCTCCTCATTTGGAGCTGAGCCCCTTGGCAGCTCGACTTGCTTCACTGCCATCAGAAGACCGTTTACAGCATCCATACCCAAATAGACTTTCCCAAATGACCCTGCACCGATGAGTGCGCCTTTAATCCACTTGCCTAAAAAAACTCTGAAATTAGCGCACATACATTCGAAATTGTTTTCAACTTACCGCCGCTAGAGTTCATAGCCTGGCCAGTTTCGTCTTCCTCCTCAACTTCCTCACTCTCATCTTCATCATCCTCATCGTCCTCGAGCACGGCATCACCCTCCGAAAAACTGATAACATCATCGATATCAGGCTCCACCCTCGTCCAGTCTTCAGCCCCCTCAACGCCCATATCAACCGCCATACTCTGTCTCCGATTTTCTACTTCAGCAGTGATCTCATCCACAGTCAATAAACTGGCAGTATCTGACCGATCACGCTTGCTCCTCAACTCAGTCATGAAACTCATCCGTTTAGACGCATTCGAATTCGACCTCGGGCGCAGAGGACCTGTAAGGTCTTCCATAGACTCTGAAAGTGATATCGAAGGGAACGTCACAGGAGGGAGTAATTGCGGTTTTGAATCAAACGAAGAGAGCTTCTCAACATCATCTCCAGTCAGGATCACCGATCGCCCGTCTTCAGTGGATATCGATACTCGCGGAGGGTCCTCACCAATCGAAGGTGCTGCCAAAGACCGGTTGTCTGGTATCGTGGAACTAGTAGAGATGGTGGAGTTCCGTTTGGAAGATATCGTTCGTGATGGCGACATCGAGCGCTGTGCTGATCCTGAACCCTGCGTGCTGGTGCTGAATCGCGAAGGAAGAGGTGGTGGATTGAGGGATAGCGTGCTATCCCTCTTCTCCCCACTCACGCTCGAAGCCCGGAGCATCATACTGTGCCGTGCATTCCGCAACATTTTCCTGTCTGTGAACGGGAAGTATTCCGTCAAGTGCGTTGTGATCAACTCGCTCGGCGGGCGCTGGCCGAAGAAATTGCGTAGCTTTGAAGGCTTCTTGGCGGAATTTACGGGTGGGAGCGGGTGTTTTGGGTGGCTTTGTGTAGGTGATGCACTAGGGTCGAGAGCTTTTTCCGGGTCGCGCACGCCAAGGCCGCTGAGGACGCTGATAGTACTTGCCCGTTTGATTGCACGTGCTTTCTGGCCTTGCGAATCATCGATGTTTAGGATCATGCCAGGATCAAGCTCGTGGTCAGATTCGGATGGCCTTGGTTGGATGCTGGGGGAGGTAGGACTGATATTCCGGGGAGGGTTCTCTCCAAATATTCGCTGGAGATCTTTTGAACGTTTTGTGCGCCCGCTTTTGCGGAGCGTTAGGCCGCGTCCTTTGACAGGGTCATCGGAGGCGCTGTGACACACTGCTAGGAGTTCTGCTTCGGAGAGTGGTTTGCCTGTCCGCAAA